TTGTAGTTGTAGCCCCCTTGCCAGCGATTCTCTCTCTAGTTTAGCATACTCAGCCCGACTCAGCCTGGTTGTTGGCCCGCTAAGAACCTCGATTTTATGGGGCCAGAAAAACTGTGAAATAGTACCCACTAGCCGGTACTACGCCAAGTGGAAACGCAACCAAAAACGGGCTGTGCACGGCACGCTTAAACCGCGCTGTAGTGGAAATGCGCCATTAGTTGTTCGTGCCCCTCCACTTTTGTACATATAAAAACGCCACTGCAAACAGAATAGCAGCATTCAACCAGAGATGTGTGTGCCAGATAGATAAAGACATTTAAATTCATTTGCAGGCAGATGGCCTGTTGAGACTTAAGGCACGGACACACCAGGCCGATTATCGGTGTCGGTGGGCGTCAGGCCGACGATGAGCGTTTTCAGCCGTGCCGACGCCTTTTCGGCCAAAAACCCGCCGAATCGGCGGGCAGTCGGTCAAAGGCAGTAGGCAAAAGAAATCACTCTGATTGGCTGTTCAGCTAGCGAATCAGTGCATGAGAAGCGAAACGGAAGTGAGGGACCCAAACAAACTATTACGGAGCGTCCACACAGCAGCGTTAAAAAAATCTTGGAGGTGGGTGTATTTGAAGCTTGGGGATTTTTTGCGAGCAACGCGACCAACAACCAATCACATGAATCTCCCACCCCCGACATACAAAGCAAAAAACCCGAAGTAAACTGGATATAAACTCCCCAAACAGGCGAAAACCTACCACTGTCTCTGCCACCTCCCTCCATGCCTGGCTCCTCCGGTTTGTATCCCGGTAGGTAAATAGGGACTGGTATTAAAGCACCGGGTGATTCCCTACCGCTAATTTCTCCTCCATTTTTTGGAATATGAGGAAATGAACTGCGGTATGTCACTCCCAGCTTACACGCAGTTTGATTGGCTAGCGCTTGAACTGTCAGATTTGCATTAACGGGATTTGATTGGCTGACGCTTCCACCTCAGCTTCAAAAGTTGAACATTGCTCAACTTTGAATCCTGAAAATCCTGAAAATCTCCGCTCTGCTTCCCACAATGCAGTTCGGCGAAAAGTGAGGCAAAGTGACGTCACCCCATTCAAAGTGAATGGGCAGAAGCGTTAGAAGATTTTTTTAACGCTGCTGTGTAGACGCTCCGTTAAGAAGGCAAATCTGAGATTTCATTTAACTCCAGCTCTCGACACAGGTTCGGGAAAGCCCCATGAGCTTCTCGTTGTAGAGTGAAAATGGAACGCACACGCTATTTGTTGTTTGTCTATATCACGCAGTCTGTTCTTCTTCTCTCGGTTATCACGCAGTCTGTCTTCCGGTTGTTGCCTCTTTTGAATGACGAATACACACTACCGCCGCCTGCTGGTAAGGAGAGTTATTGCCACTCACGCATGCACAGTTCGTACGTGCTTCTTGGCCGTCGGCTGAAGTCTTTGCGCCACCCACGGGCCGATGAAGGCGTGGGCGACGCCCAAAGCTGTTGCCGAGGCGAGGGAAGAGGCCAGACAGGGTCCCGAAACGTGCCACGTGATGAAAGCATGGGCGACGTCCGAAACTGTTGAGGCGAGACGGGGTCCAGAAGTGCTTACTACTTGTAAACAGTGCACTACACTGTCCCGACTTTTACGTCAGCTTCGTCGCCTGTGTCGGCTGCGTCGGCTACGTCGCCCACTACGCAGCCCGCCTACGAACACACCGCAAATACTTCAGTCGACGAGTGGCAAGAACTGTCCTTACCAGCAGGCAGCGGTAGTGTGTATTCGTCATTCAAAAGAGGCAACAACCGGAAGACAGACTGCCTTTTATACACCAAGAGAAGAAGAACAGACTGAGTGATATAAACAAACAAACACAACGGGTGTTTCTCAATCATTCATCAATCGCGAGTACGCTTGCTTGGTAGCACATGTCTGCTGAGCATCTTGCTTCAGAAGCGAGTCAAGAATACTTCCTGGCATTCGGAAAACGAAGAGTGGAACACGCTAGCAAGTGTGCAGGTGTGCGTCATATGAGAGGCCCCGCCTTACATCTTCCGCCACAGATTTGGGGAAATTGGTCCGTGCGCAAAGCATTGTGGGGATTTTAAGACCGCGGAGTCTACTCATGTGCAGCCCTCGATATTTCTCCAAACGGGTACGCCGGGCTCGGTAGATTTCCAAGTATGATGGAGATTGGAACAGTACTTCGGCGGCACTCGATGACGTAGTATGCTTGAAATAGTGGCTCTGAAGCAGCTTTACTCGCGATTGAGAAACACCCAGCGTCTGGCCAGGTGGTTTACTCCATTGTGGCAGATGAGGCATTTCCCCTGAAGGAGCACCTGATGAAGCCCTATCCGAACCGCAGGCTAGCTGTAGAGCAACGCATCTTCAACTACAGGCTATCGTGGGCTCGGAGGGTGGTAGAAAATGCCTTTGGCATCCTAGCCAACCGTTTTCGGGTCTTTCTCACTGAACTATGCCAATATTTTAACGGTGTCGGTGCAGTGCCTTTTCAGTGGGATAAGATATAGCAAATATGTCTAAAGAACTGTACAATGTCAACAATCGACTACAATACGATAAAAATAGTGTGCAATACAATAAAAAAAAGAGTTTGCCAAATATGTCTAATGCTGTGTTATCAATGGCTGTAGTATCAAGGTACGAAATAAAGTTTTGTATTGCCTATCCTGCTATTTGTGTTTATTCTTTTAATCACACAGCGTTAATAAAAAATAAGAAATGTGCCTACATAACTGCCAGTAGCAGCCGCACATTATTATTGGTTTAACTACTAACAGTATATTTTTAACACATTTTAAAATGACCATCTTGAACAGCTACAACGTTAAAATACTTCTAGGCAGATTGTGGAGGATAATGGGAGAAAGAATAGAGGGGCAGACAGAAACACTATCTGAATAATGGCCACTTCTCGCAAAATGTACATGACTTTCCCGACGCCTCCCGCACATGTTGAATCGGCCGCGGGAGGCGTCCGGAGGTGTGAAAAGGTGCCGTAAAGAGACGACGGTGCGGGACACACAAACCTGAGTAGGGCGCCGCGAATGCCCGACTGCCTCTGACGGCCTCTGACGGCCTCTGACTCCCAAAATCGGACTGGTGTGTCCGGGCCTTAAGACACGAGGATAGGAGTCGAGGAGGGGAAATTAGCGAAATGAGAAAGGCCCCGGGCCTTTAAACCGTGTTTTTGTTGCCTCCAGTTCTTTGTTTGTAGCTTTTTATACCACGTTGCTAATCGGTAAAGAGTAGAGTCTACACACACAACAAGGGCAAAAGGCAAGCAATTCAAGGGAGAGCTAGACCACACCTGAGGCAACAACATGAGCAAACACTGGCTGAGTCAGACCCAGACCAAAATAGACTGGGAAACACAGACCAAAGGCAGGTTTTTAAATATATGTCTGAAACCGACACATGATACAACTGAAAAAATGAATTAAATTAAATTATGTATATAGATAGACTGACCTACCTTATTTTAAAGCACACTTGCTTTTACTAGTTTAAAACAGTTAGCTAATCCTTTGGGAAACAAAATATGCTTGCAAAAGCAAAATACATGATTTAAAACGGATTCTTAATGTAAGGATTGGTAAATAGTTCATGAAACCTGTGTGTTAATTTGAAATGTTTAAATAACCACCGCCCATAGACTGTCTAATGGCGCAGTTCCACTGCAGCGCGGAGCTCGCTTTAAGCGTGCCGTGTCGTGCCGTCCCCTTTTTTGGTTGTGCTTCCACTAGGCCAATTACCGGCGCGGCACGGCGCGGGGCCACTTTTTCACCTCTTTTCTGGCCCTAGAAAATTGTGGTTCTATCGGGGCCAACAAACAGGGCTGAGTCGGGCTGAGTATGCTAAACTAGAGAGAGGAGCGCTGGCAAGAGGGCTAGAACTACAACAAGATGGACATATTTGACCGTGATTTAATTGTAATACACGTTTCAAAATGATGCCGAAGTAACAACATACTGATACCGGTTAGTAAAAACCATGAATTAATGCTTTGTCAAGTCTGCAGACAGACGGCAGGCGAAAAACCTTTTAAAATTCGTGTTTTTCTAGATGGAGATTGGCTAAGCTAACGCAGTATATGCCCCGACCGTCCACACTCACAACAACGGCCTATACAGACATAAATAAAGCAGCGACTGTATTCACCATGACACAGGCAGTCTGTGGTGTGTACTTGTTTAACTTTTGTCGAGTTTCTGAACATATATAAGGAGCTGTGAGCTCTGAGTGCTAACAGCTAACGGCTGTGTTGTGTTTCTGGATTTCTCATTGAAGATGACGTCACGGCTCCGCCTACACTGCGTTACTATAGTAACTACCCCAGTTCCTAAACTGTAATGGAAGCGCAGCATGAAGTGAGTCGGCCCTGTTAAGGCCCAACGCGGCCGTGTAGTGGAAATGCGCCATAAGGCACCCTTCCGGTGGGACTCATGGGACCTTATTTCGGAAAAAGTTTGTTTTTAAGTCAATGGGGAGAGAAAGATTATCTTTCGATCCCGTTTGAATTGTGCCACGAATTACACATATGATGTTTGTCAATCTTAAATAATAGCTCTCAACATGCCCAGACTTGTAGTGATTTTCACCTCTTTTAATACTTTTCGCCTCATTCTGAAAGAAAGAAGTGAAATGTGCCAACGTGACGGCCGTCTTGGTGTGTGGTGCGAGACGGGAGATGTAGTTCATTGAGCGGTTTCACACACAAAAAAAGTGTTACTTTCACAGTTTTACGACACATTTTTATTTTTTTGACTTGTAAAATTATCTTTTAAATTGACAAACATCATATGTGTAATTCGTGGCACAATTCAAACGGGATCGAAAGATAATCTTTCTCTCTCCATTGACTTCAATGCATAACTTTTCCGAAATAAGGTCCCATGGAGCTCAACCGGAAGGGGAGGGACTTCGCCTCTCGCCACCGCCCTAAAAACAACTTCCAGTGACGTCACTCCAACCAGCCAATCGGAGCCCAGATGTGGTTTCGGTGCAGATTTCAAATCCGTAGAGCGGACAAACAACGAACCGTAGAGACTTCATAAATTCATAGTTAGGACCGCTTCTGCGTTAGGAAGACTGTTTTTTTATTTCTGTTTTGAGTCTGCGGTGGAAACATGAGAGTGAGGTTAGTAACGTAGACTTTTAATATAAATTGGTTCTAAATTGTTTACACTTAAACGATATTATTCAGTTAGCAAACATATTTCCTGATTAGGCTGTCGAGATAAAGCTAGCTAGCTTTAGCTACATTGACACGGTTTGTGTCACGCTGGGACGGAGTAGCCGTCCGTGTATGCTGCAATGACTAACTTTAAATGGTAATTAAGTTGAATGCTGTTCTAACGCTCCAGCTGGTAATATTTAACTTTACAACTAGCTAAGCTAATGCTACAAGACAGCTTCGGGGAGCGAGCATAGGTCAACTTAGCCCAGCGGTATCTAACGTTAGCCCTCTGCTACTGACAGTCCGCTAACGTTACTTGATTTGATATTATTCTCTACCGCTAACGTTAATATTGTACTGGTTTGACTGGTAACAGGTGTTTTTAAACGTATCCTTCACACTGCTGTTTTTCTTTTCCAGTGAAATCCACGCAGCAGAGTCTGTTGCTTATCTCAACAGAGCTCTGGTTAGGCTGCAGGATATTTGGGATGAAATCGGTATTCCAGAGGAACAGCGCGTACAGAGAACCAACGATGTCCACAAGCACATTAAAGTGAGTCATCAGTTTAAATAAGATTTAAAGTCTCGACTTACGGACGGAGTTTACAAATGATTTGTTGTGTTACTCTTGTCCTATAGGGGCTGTTGGACCTGATGATTACCGAGGAAGAGCAGCTAAAGAAGAGATTAATGAAAAACATTCAGGCATTTCTTGAAGAGCTAAAAACGTTGTGCCGTGAACTTCAGCTGCCTTCCTTTGAGGTACAGTTTCGTTCAGGAATATATCTAGGTGTTTTCATATTACTGTCTGGAAAAAAAGTTTCTTAAGTTCTTGGACTAACTTTCTGGATTCCTCTCAAGGAGGAAGAGGACTGCTCCATGTTGCAGATTGAGAAGAATAGCCGTACACGTTTGGAGTTGATGAAGGAGCAGAAGAAGCAAAGAATGGAAGAGCTAAAAGGCCTCCTAGGCGAAGACCGTGAGCTGTGTGACATTATGTGCACTACCCCATTTGGCATTGACCAGGCTGCCATCCCATCACTGAAGCAACTTGAGGCATATCGCGCCTACCTGGATGATCTGACCAAAGAGAAGGTGTCACTGATGTTCTGCTCATTTTAAATACTCAATGCCTTTTTCTTATAATGGTTGGGAGTCAACTTGAGTTATCTTTTTAGGAATGTCGTCATGATGAATTTGTGAGCCTCAAAAGGGAGGTCTCCGTATGCATGGATGATCTGGAGCGGAATCCAGAGACCAGTTTTGAGATGGATGTGATGTCTGAGGATGAGGAGGCATTTTGTCTCTCAAATGACAACATTGCTGCTCTTAAAGTTCTCCTCAGTCAGGTGAATTTCAAACATTTGTATCTTTAATGTTTTTGAATCTGATTCTCTGGTCAGATTGAAAGAAGTCTAAAACAAACATCATGTATTATTTCATAGTATAATTGATTGTTTGATATGCTTCCTTCCAGTTACAAGAAAGCAAGGCTGAGAACGAGCTGCGCTGCTCATCTTTGCGCATCACCATCAAGGAGCTGTGGGAAAGACTTCAGATTCCCCAAGAGGAGAGGGAGCCCATCTCTGAGCATATGGTCCTGTCAAAGAAGAGCAACGTTGAGGCAGTAAGAAATCTGCATTATTTGCACCCTTACATTAATGATTTCAGACAATGCATTGGTGTTTTGTTTCAACAAACTCATACATTAACAATGTGTCTTTCCAGCTCCAAGCTGAGGTCCAGCGTCTAGAGGTGCTGAAAATGCAGAGCATGAAATCTTTTATTGTGGCCATCAGAGGGGAGATCGCCCTTCTCTGGGAGAAATGCTTCTACAGCCAAGAACAGCAGCAAGCCTTTTTTTCATATCATGATGGTAAATATCTGCTGTTTTCTAACAGCCCGTACACCTAATGTATATGCTGTTGATCATCACAAAGGAAATGTGGGTCTAAGTGCACGTTCTCTCTACCCAGATGACTTCACAGAAGACATTCTCCACCTGCACGAGGCAGAGGTCAGCATGCTGAAGAAGTATTACGAGGACCACCAAGAACTCTTTGAGGGAGTCATGAAATGGCAGGAGAACTGGACCCTGTACTTGGAACTTGACGTGAGTACTGTCTTTGAATATAGTGTGGCAGCATTTAAAACAGACTTTTCTAGGTGTGGTTACATGTAAGGATGTATGTGCTTCTCTCCATCTCAGAAAAAGGCCAACGACCCTGCAAGATTCAACAACAGAGGTGGGAACCTTCTGAAAGAAGAGAAGCAGAGGGCTGACCTGCAGAAGAGCTTGCCTAAGGTTAGAATATATATAATTGGGAGGGATGAAACTCCTCTTTAATGGTCACACAGTGAAATGTATTCTCTGCATTTAACCCAGTCTGGTACTAGGAGAAGTGGGCAGCTATTGTACAGCGCCAGGGGGGAAGGGGGGTGTCCGGCAGGGCAGGAGGCGTATTGGGACCTCTCCAAGTAGCAGTCCACACTCCATATTTTAGGTCTGGTCGGGGACTTGAACCGGCGACCCTACAGCTCCCAGTCCAAGCCCCTACTGACTGAGCCACTGCCGGACTAGGAAGTGTTTAATTGTATGCTTTGCTCAGTAATTATAGAGCAGAATTAGTAATTAACTGTATTAAACTAGTCAAAAAGCTGTTAGTTCAATTCAAAACAACATTGGATAAACTAGCAATAAAACAAATTAGCTCAAGCTTACCACATGTTAGAGTGAAAACAGCTGAGGGGTTGTTGGTGCATTACTGATTCTCGCCAGCAGGTGGGGGTACTGACACAATCAGGGTTCCTAGCCGTATGGAAGTCATTTTAGTAGTATAGAAAAATATTTGCATTGGCTCTGGTTTTCTTTTAAATATAAATAAAAAATGATAGATTCCACAAGCAAACTGTTTTTCAATAAGTTTGGGGAATTGAGCAAAGCCAACATTATAACCCGTGTGTGAGAGAGCCAGGGCCAAGGGAAGCGTGATTATCAAAAGTGAGGAACATGTATAGTAGAGGTAGAATGAGCCAACTGCAAAAGTAAACATTACATGTCAACAAGGTCAAATGGTTGTTTCCTGTTTGTTTCAGCTGGAAAGGAGTCTTAAAGCCCAGATTGATGCTTGGGAGCAGGAGCACGAAAAGGAGTTCCTGGTCAATGGACAGAAATTCCTTGAGTACGTGCAGCAGCAGTGGGATCACCACCATGCTGAAAAGGAGAGGGAGAAAGTGGAGAGGGTGTGTTTTAACTTTGATTTAAAAGGCTAAATCAAGTCTTACATTTCTTTGTCAACAGGATTTTATATGACTATATTCTTCTTTTTGTTTAAATTAGCAAATGAAGAAAATCAAACAGATACAGGAAGACATGTTATATGGAACTACAATGAAAACACCATCCAAAAGGCCGATGGGAGGGACTCTCACGCCTGGAAAAGTGAGAAAGGTAAGATGGTGCTGCAATTTTATTTGAATGTATTTTATTTGAATGTATTTCATCAACTGACTATACCTCAGTGACTGAATAGATTCAAAGATTCACCCGCCCTTTTTCCTTCTGTCTTTTAGCTCAATGGCACCACCACCATGTCCACTCCTGGCAGCTTCCTCAGTGGAACCATGTCCCAATCGTCCGTCTCCAAACCCCCTCTGTCAGCCAGCAAGGTGAGCCCCCTGTCTCTCTGACCCCTCACTGACCACATTCACCATACATTTGAGAGCCTGTTGGATTTTGAAGGTTAGATTAATTAGCAGGCTGCAATATTGTCTCTTTGTTTTCTTTTACCTGTATATGTATGTCAGGGCATTTAAGCACCACACAGACATTTTGTATGGGGATTTCATCTTTTGTCCTTACTGATCAACACCTAAGTATAATACGTTTCAAGTATGCTGCAGACCATGACATGGAGAGATAAACAATAGGCTAGAAGTGAGCCCAATTGTAATAAGAGGAGGCTCATGTCCCCCCTGTATACTGCTCACCTTACATTTATGATATGATAATTGGATATGGCATTATTATCGTATTCTACTAAATACTGTTTGAAGCAATCATTTTTATTTTATAGTACACATGGTTTGTTTCACCTCTGAATGGTCATATAGTTTGGTCAAATGAAAGGGTTGGTGAGAAAGCACATTTTCATTGAAGCTGCTCTTGTTGCAGTTATCCGTCGTGCGAACCCCTAGACCGGCAAAGACTCCCCGGAGTGCACTAGACCGAAACAAGGAGAACATCTCTCATCTTCGAAACACTCCAGGAAGCACACCAATGTCTCAGGATACTCAAGAAAACACCATCATTGCTGGCTCCTATTCCGACTTTACGGTATATACATTTTTATATCGATTTAGTGAATCCCTTAACCCAAAACTCCACTTAAGTACTCTAGTGAAGGAAATGACTGCATTACCCTACATCAGTGCTATGGCTACATTCCATTTGAACTAGGGCTGCACGATATTGGAAAAAACTGACATTGCGATATTTTCTTCCCCGGCGATATGAAAAAATACAGGAATTTAAGAAAAGCCTTTTTTTTTGGTCCGCAAACCATCCTTTCTTGAACTTTAATGCTATACAATTGGTATTTTTGTAACTATATTTAACCGGATGAAGGATTTTAGTCACGGACTTCTGGATCTTAAAGGGGACCTATCATGCAAAATGCACTTTTGTACGTCTTTTATACATGAATATGTGTCCCCGGTGTGTCAGGGAACTCACCAAGTGTCAGAAAACACAACCCTCTCTCTTTTCCTCCATACCCAAATCTCTAAAAACGGGGCTGCAATTCTGACGTCAGAAAAGGGGTGCTCCGCCTATATGGGCAACTCTCCACCTATCAGGGGAACTGGAGACGCTGTAGTACATATGCCAGGCCTGTAAGTGGCGCTGTAGTCTGCCACAAAAGCAGAATCAGCCCTTGCAAAAACAGGGCTGGAATAGAGCGAAATGAGGCATGGCTAAAATGCATGGTCTGTTTTGTATTTTGAAAAAAAAACTTCACAGACATGTTTTATATAGGTATGGCCCTACAATATATGTTTCAAATATAGCATGATAGGTCCACTTTAAGTTATAAGAGCAACAAGCTGAGCTAGCTCGGTTATCCTGCTGTGATCTGAATGATTGTGGTTTGCTGTGCATGCAGAGCCTGCATGTCACTCACTCAAGTACTCCTGACATGAGAGCCGCGCAAGTTTTCCTTTTGTAGCAAGCAGCAAAATAATTGTAACATGACGTGTTTGAGTTAATTTGCCTACTTAATATCGCACGTCCTAAAAATAAATCAAATAAAAAATCGCACGTCCTGCGATGTCAATACATCGTATTGACATACGTATGTCAATACGTTATGCATGCGCATAACGCGATTATCGTCACGACACGATATATCGTGCAGCCCTAATTTGAATGCTTAAGAAGTTATCCTCTGCCGTATGGCATCACTGTCAAGTCCTAGAAAATGACCTAATGCATGTCTTAGGGAAGAGTTGTCTCTTTTTATATACTTGTACCGGATCATGTCATTTTGGATGTGCATTAACCATTTTGGTCATTATCAAATGCATCATCTAAAAGGCAATCACATGTACTCTAAGACTGCATAATGTTTGGAAACTGATAAAGACAATCCGTACATCCCTAAAAATACACATAGCAGTATATTTTCAAATCATTACAAGATTGTGAACAAATAAATCTCCTTCGCTGTAAATGACATTTTCCAACATATTTCTTGAAATCTAATTGTTTTCCAAAGTTAATGCATACAGAACACACGTTTATATATTACTCTCTATATAATAAGCATTTATATTCCCATGCCACAACAATGAATGCACATAAAGACATTTCAACTCCTTCCATATAAAAAAAACATACTGAAAATGTTTCCTTTTTTCTTTCAGAGAGACCTCTCGAAGGCTTCTAAGTCAAACGTAAAGTTGAACTCGACAGTCAGCCATCAATGAGGAATGTCTCCGGCGCTGCACATCACCTCTTTACGGCAGTTGGGTGTCATTTTTATAAAGGACAGGAGGGAACCATAATGAAACTTCTTACCAAACATGTAAATATTTCACTCTGTCATTTCCCTCTGCTTTATGCATTGTTGTGTCCAGCTCATGGCGTTTGTACTGGCTTTTTACCTGACTTTTTTTTCTTTCAGGAGTTACCGCCTTTTTTATAAGAAACGCTGTTAACCATATCTAGGGCATTACTTTGTGTTAGTACTGTAGCAGCTAGCTATTGCACCCTGACTTTATTTCTCCAGCTGGGATGACAGCTAAATCTTCAGTGGTCTTCTTTTCTTTGTTTTTAATCAACCTGTAAATAAACCTTTCGGATACCACTTTTTAATGTATCATCTTTTCATACATACCGGTGTGGTTGAATTGCACAGGTTGCATAAGAATAGAATAGAATAGAATAGAATAGAATAGAATAGGGAGGGATGAAACCCTCTTTAATGGTCACACATGCAGAGCACACAGCACACACAGTGAAATTTGGCCTCTGCTTTTAACCCATCCTAGTACAAGGAGTCTAGTACTAGGAGCAGTGGGCAGCTATTGTACAGCGCCCGGGGAGCAATGGGAGTGGGGGGGGAAAGGGGGTGTCCGGTGCCTTGCTCAAGGGCACCACGGCAGGGCAGGAGGTGAACTGGGACCTCTCCAAGTAGAAGTCCACACTCCATATTTAGGTCTGGTCGGGGACTTGAACCAGCGACCCTACGGCTCCCAGTCCAAGCCCCTACTGACTGAGCCACTGCCGGACTGAGCCACTGTATTATGCTTTGGCACTATATCAATAAATATTATAGTACATTTCTCAATAATGAATATCACATGCAGACTGGAAATGGGGGGATGTTTTGTTTAAGTCATGCGTGTCATGAGTTCCTCCAGAGCCCTCTCTCTGTGATTTTCATGAACAAGCAGCACTTCTTTGATTGCACTTTGCTGGAAGCCCATCTCATTAAACTGAGTCAGAAGGCGCAGGAACTCCGCAGCCTGAAAAGTCAATTATTACAGTTAATACAAATACTTATTAAAGGTTTGCTATTTTTGTTTTACAATCTTTTTTTGTTTGTGAGCACTGCCGAGTGGGAATCACCTTGCTCTCACAGTTCTGAAACATCTCCAAGGCCTCCTCCACCTGAGCCTCATCGTAACCCAGAGCACACAGATGCTCACTGGCCACCAGGTATTTTAGGAGCTGTGGATTACGGAACAGATATTTATAAAATCAGAAATCCTTCAAATGTCCCACAGCGGGGACATTTACAGCTCCAACAGCGAAGGGGGACATTTACAGCTCCAACAGCGAAGGGGGACATTTACAGCTCCAACAGCGAAGGGGGACATTTACAGCTCCAACAGCGACGGGGGACATTTACAGCTCCAACAGCGAAGGGGGACATTTACAGCGTCACAACAGTACGGCTTTATTGCTGATAAAAGGCAACAATAAAGAGGTAAACCCAGTAATAAAATAAATTCACATCCGTGGTATAACATAGTACTATAAAAGAAACAAAACATATAAAGGTATTGAAAAAAGTAGTCTGTCATAAACAATAATTTCTAAATAATGAATGTGTGTATTGCAAATGGCATTGATTATTACACATGAGTGTAGCGGCAGGTAATAACAAAAGAGTGTATTGCACATAGGGTTGGTTAATAGGCTGAAATGCTAGGTCTTGTCAAAGTGCAAAAAGCACGAGGACACATCTATATAATGTTAAAACGTCAACAGGGTTTTTAATTGAATATGTTTACCTACTGATACTTGACAGGTCACAAACAAGCTGTTATAATTGTATAAATAAGACCATTGGTTGCCAGGTCGTGCGCCCACACATTAGTCTAAGTAAAGATCTGCCAAACCAAAATGAACACGTGTTCTAAGGTGTGAGTTTTATTTTTAACATTATGAAGTCTTTGAAGGCAACTATAAAGTATTTTATTCATGCATTATCAGGGTTGATTAAAAGCACAAAGACTGCAGATATGGAACACGCAGTGGTGTCTACCTTCTCTGGGCTGTGGTAGCCTGTCCTCTGCAGAGCCAGGATGGCGGTGTGTAACGGGAAGCCCCTCTCCGTGATGGTTCCCAGGAGCTCCCTCTCCTCCTGACTCAGCGCTGACAACAGCTCTGCTGCGGAGTCAAAGAAAACCCCCCGAGAGCCTCCGGTCCTCTGGGCCTGGTGACAACGGAGGAATAGATACAAATATTGGGTTATAATGAAGAAGAAGAAAGGAAATGATGAATAGTTTTCTCATAGACTGGGACAGAAAAACCACAACCTGTCTGCAGTTTTTGACAAGGGGCCCAGCAGAGGAGGGTCTTGGCTGCCTGGGGGTGATTGGAGCAGGTAGGGTGGTCTGGGAGTGTTTTCTGCCCAGCGAGCGCTGCCTCTTCTTGCTGCTCTTCTGGGAAGAGGAAGGACCAGGCTGTGTGTCTTTGACTCTCGAGAGGGGCACTTTGGGTGCAGCGCTCCGGGGCCGCTCTCTGCTCAATATTGAGAAATGGGGGGGGTCTTCAGCGGAGGAGGCTTCATTATCCTCGTGGTACCCATCTTCCTCCTCAGAGTCAGAGATGAGGAACCTGACGGTGCGATGGTGCCAGCGGGGGTCTGCAGAGTTCAGGCTGTGGCTGCGGGGTCGAGGGGCCCACATCTCACGGCTCCTGTGATTGGCCCTGTGGCTCTCCTGAGGGCTGCTGATCATCAGCCAGTAGGGGGGGCAGGAGGGGGTCTCAGAGACTGGCTGCTGCCCACTTAAGATCCATTTCTCCAAGTTGAATTTATACTGGAAAAAGAAGATCTTCAGCAACAAGATGTATACACAGCAGTCTTAGTAACAGGTGTTACTGATAACATTCACATGGCTCCTTTGCATTCAATTGTCTCATTGTCCCTGAAAATGACACAGGTAATGGAATTCATCTATTATTTATTTACATCCAAGCTTTTTCCTTTGTCTCATACCACCATTGTGTCTTACTTCAAAAACACTTATAACATCAATAATAAATGCAAGAGAAATGCATTGATTAGAAAGTCATATTGTGGTTGTATGCCTCTGCCATCAAGCTGCAGCCTTAATTCATATCCGATCAAAATTGAATCACTTCATTAATTCATCCTATTAGACATTTGTGTGGAATTGTCGTAATAGACAAAATCTTGGCCAAAACGAAAAAAAAACGTCAGAAAAATAGATAGTTGATATGTCATAAAAAGATAAAAACGTCATTGTATAGGACGTCATAGAAATGGACTTATGATATAAACTACAATGAGAAATGGATTTAGAAAATATGGTAAAGCCATCGAGTCAAACTTATCACTGGCATTGAATTGATCTTAAAACTTTAAATCTTAAATATGTTGATGTTTAATCAGATGAGACCTCAGTGTCTCGCAGTATCCGAGGGCAGTCTGGCAGAGCGATGTCTGGAGCAGTCACCTCCTCCTGCAGCGGGCCCAGCAGAGTCTGAAACGGGACGTCCTCCAGAGTGCTCATTTCCCCCAACAAACAACCTTCACCAGAGAAACAGAAAGAGCTTCTGAGTTTTAAGTTTTCAAACCAGAGCTTCAGGGAACTTGTTTTCATTCTTACCTTTGACAGCTATTCTCTGTGAAGTCCGCACTCAGCCATCTGAAGAGTTGATGGTGTTTGTTTGGAGGAAACACAAAGACATTATCGTACGTGATAAGCCTCCTCATCACTAAGCCTCTGACATCATGTGAGGAGTTGTTTACAAATGCACAGGTACAAGTACAGATTATGGAGAATTTAACCATATATACAAATAATGATATGCAAGACTAACATAACAATGATTAAAGAATAGCACATTAAAATATTATTTGTACTAGTAATATATTCATAATATTATACAGCATTATGATTTTACCAAATCACAATTTTCATGTTTATATGAAGACACATTTTCGTATGACTTTTTAATTTGAATCTCAATTTTCCCTCGAAGGGGATTATAGAGTGCTGACGATGATATCCAGAGATTAGCCGATTACATAAAGCTGACAGCGTGGCAGGCTGGAACAACAACGTGATGTAACAATTCATATTTCATGTCAAATGTAATCATATGGTTTGCAGTAAAAACATGAAAAATAGCAGTGATGAGATGTTCTTGTTTTCATGGACACTTTTTAAAAATGTGCCAAAGCTACATTATATATATGTTGAAAATCAAATATGATAACAAGAAAGAATATGTTTATCAAGATCATTTCCTGTTTCCTGTGAGGAAGATAATTAAATCATTTTAGAGCATGATGTGGTCTGCAGAAGTAAAAATGGGAAGCACAACTGAAAAGTATTGTACAGAGATTTACATTTTATTTATATATTTTAAACAATCACAATAAATGTTGGATTCACAAACTTGGGTGGGGGGGGTAACAGACCTCTGAAAACAGGAAAAGCAGTTTTAAACTTAACTTAAAAGAAAAAGGAAACTTAAAAGCAAAGGGAGAACAGGTCTAGTTTAATCTCATGTTATAGCACAGACAGCGTTTTAAAGGGTACAGCAGCGTGGTTCAGATCTGTCAGAGAGCAACGAGGCTTGATTACAGACGGGTGCACCGAGATACTTTAGTAACAGGATATTACATCACTAACGGAGAGGTGAGTTTCCAACACTGGGGTACGCACAAAGAAATAAAAATACTTGTGCTGTTCTGAGGGGGGACTGACACAGCAGGTTCAGAGCCAACTGGAAGAGATTATCCTTAGTTAATAAAGCTTGGGTAGACCATTTTAAAAAGTGATTTTGTCAGGTACTGGAGGCTATCTGTTCATCTACCTGCTGATCCTGCAGAGAGTCCTGTGGGGAGGAGGTGTGCGAGCAAACCGATACATTCTCTAAAGACTGGGCTACAAGAGGAAGCAAAACACTGAAAAATAACCATTCTTGCTGCTTTAAAGGTCACCATAATTATTATTATTATTATTATTATTATTAACCTGCTTGTTTAGTTTGCTGGTGCGTTACACTTCACAATGTGTTCATCTATTTAAAGTTCAAGGCTTACAAACTGCTTACAAATGCTACGTCAGCAGCACTTACAGCCCAGTTCTACTGTGAACACCATTATTACAATGGTGGTAAAGAAGACAACATCAACATATTGATGTGCTCGTGGAATAATATGCCCTTTTGATTTAAGGCATTACTTGACTTGGTAACATCACTTCTACACTTTTTCAGCTTTTTTTCAAATGTACAGTATGATCCCATCGTTTCCATTTGCTTCCCTTGCCTTTACAGTCCGTCACCACAAAAAGAAAAAAACAAATAAACTAGCTACAGATCCTTTCATGAATAAAATTGCATTATCTTTATATAGATACAAATTTGAACAATCCCCAGAGATTGAAATATTTTATTAAGGTCCACCCTGCGAGTGCACCGCTAGAGAATTAACGTTTCTGATGCACGGGACCAAAGGACTCGTCGTGAAAACACCAGCCTTCAATACTTCTACTACGGTGTCCACAGCTTGTTTGTCGGGGGTGTCCAAAGGTTCATAGTGATCTAATGGTTTCAGAGACTGTCTTTAGGTGAAATGAGAGACATGTGGTTCAGTTGTTAGCAGCGTCCGCCTGCCGAGGCCAGTTCTCCTCCTCGACGCCCGAATCGTATTCCTCCTCTGTAGACTCCTTGGCTGGAGCTCTGAAATTCAAATGGAGACTCAAGTTCAGGTTTCACACCGCAAAACACTGTGGACTCAAGGAGCTTGGATTGAGGAATCTGATCTCTAACATTACACACATGTGGATCTGTGAGCAGAGAAACACTGACCTGATATATCTGGGTTGTGATTTTCCCAGGACGATGTCTTTGTTCAGCTCAACAGCCATGATGTCAGAGTGTGGCACCTCAAACATGGGCTCGAGGAGGAGCATTTCCTATGAAGAGTGAGGATGTGTTCAATGAGTGTTACCTCAACAGCACAAAAGGAGTATTCAAGTTTGAAACCTGTCATTAAGACACATACCATGATGGACCTGAGCCCACGAGCCCCGGTTTTCCTCTCCAGAGCCATCCTGGCTATGGCCATCAAGGCATCTGGGGTCACGTTGAGTTCACACTGAAAAAACGAACACTGCAGATTAATTTTAAATTCTACATATACAAACATTCAGGTTCCAACCAATAGTTACATCCCTGCACTCCTTTTTATGCAGATCTGACACAAGAAAAGCGAGCTGCCTGTCAGCCGCCAGTGAGACAGAACACTCAGTGAGAGGGAATCTACCAGGAATGTGTACTCGCAGGTCTTTAACTACATGACCCTGCTTTGTGTTGTGACAGCAGCTCAGTGGAAACCCCCACTCAATGGCATACTCACTAAGCAAATGCAGTGGTCTCATTCAAATAAAAGCGGGGGCTGTGTTTGCTTAACACAGTGCTGCTGCCTGTCTGAATACAGCTTTAAAAGGAACAGTCAAATAAATAGATTACAAAATATATATAGATTGTTTTGGCGGGGGTTAATCAGTGTTAGAAATATTGGACATTACTCCGGACAATCCACAGCAACTTGCAAATGTATCACCACGCAGAAGGGAGCCTGTACTTATGGACAGAGGCTTGTGCTCACTCCTTAGCGGTCTATTTAGTTTCATTACATTTTAAAGAAGGCAGACATTTCTACGGCTGATATCTCCAACACGAGGCAACTCAAAGCAAAACTATCAGGATTGAAATTTCCTAAAAATGAAGGGGTCTTAATAGGCGCGTTCACACCAAGTACTTTGCCGTATTTAGTGCCGGCACTCAGTGCCCCGGCACTTATTACCCCAGGGCATTTAGTACAGATCGCGTTCACACCGGAGTACTTTTCCCTGAGGGAAGATTACGCAAATGAGCCGCTGACGTCACTTCGTCTTCTTCTGCTTTGGGTTTACTGGCAGGCCGCAAACAACTTCACGGCGTATACTGCCACCCGGAGTCCCCGCCCGGAAGTCCCCGGAGTTGGGGACTGGCTTCAGTAGAAGCTGCTGGGACTCCCAGCAGCTTCTACTGAAGCCTTCCGAGTAAATCGCCAGAACGCCGACACCTCCTCATCTCCACCGCTCCCATGTTTTATTTTGTGTTGCCATAAGTTTCTCCCTGCATTTGTGCACTGGGCGAATGCTAATGCTAATAATGCTAATGCCAGGATAATAAAATGGCGGCTCTACAAAACATTTCAGAGTTGTACGAGGCGTGGTTTGCAATTCGCCCAGCCAATCAGAACTGGGGCACTTTTTTCCCCCAGGAAAGTACCATCTCTCAGCAGGCACTAAAAATGGGGGTAAAAGTTCCCGAGATGAAGTGCTCTTTTTGGTGTGAACGCAACATAAGGGGTACTAACGGAACTAAATGCGAAAAGTACGGTGAAAAGTACTCCGGTGTGAACGCGGCTATTGGCTCAACGGTCCCTTCAACACAGTACTGTAGCAGCCACTGTAAGGCAGTGTTGTAGTCAAGTCACCAATTCACGAGTCCAAGTCACTCTCGAGTCACCACTCTTCGAGTCCGAGTCCAAGTCCGAGTCACCAAGGGAGAGTCGTAGTCGAGTCCGAGTCCAAGTCCGAGTCACCCAAGGAGTGTCCGAGTCGAGTCCGAGTCCGAGTCATCATTACCTGTGTTCGAGTCCGAGTCCAAGTCCGAGTCACCCAAGGAGTGTCCGAGTCGAGTCCGAGTCCGAGTCATCATTACCTGTGTTCGAGTCCAAGTCCAAGTCCGAGTCACCTAAGAAGAGTCCAAGTCAAGTCCGAGTCACAAGTCTTCATGTATTAATCTTCGTGGATATATGTGTTGAAATGTAGCTGCTCCTCTACATTGCTTTTATCCTGTCATGTTATACTAATCTGTCTATTGAACTGCTGTGAAGCCAGTTTGGCTACAATTCTTGTAATAGGTGCTATACAAATATAAAGCTTATTACTAATATTAATATTATTATTATTATTATATATAAATAAACTATGTTTAAAATGAGTTACATTTTAGAGAAGTGATTATATTTGTATGCCAATATTTTCCTATGGTAAAGTTTTCGTTTTGCACTTTTATTTTGATAGTAATAAGATCGGGACTCTTATTTTGAAGGAACTTTTACCGGTTAAATCGGTTTACTGATAAAGATTTAGCCCCAGAAAGCACACGGCTACTTAACATGCAAAATGACGTCATTCTGCATGTTAAGTAGCCGTGTGCTTTCGTGTTATCGGCTGAATCTTTATTTATTGATTAGATCACGTTACTCTGATGAGTGTTCAAGACAGCCTATATGTCTGAACTCGATGTTTAGAGTAATGTGTTACGGAGCCTTCTCTTCAATATTGTTTCCACAGAGCATTTTGCGCTGCTCTTTTCCAATGTCGAAGCAGAATGTGTGAAAGCATACAGCACGATGCGGGGTGTGTCTCTAGACATCTTTAGACTGGAATAGCGGGGCCCAGTACGTGAACTCGCCTCGCAGCCGGTGCACACGCCAGGATAGAGGACATCAGACTCCATAGAAAACTTGCTCGAGTCCGAGTCCGAGTCCAAGTCGGAGCGTCAATGTACAAGTCGAGTCCGAGTCATCGTGGGGGGAAAAATGCACGAGTCCGAGTCCGAGTCCAAGTCAGCGTACGCGATAATTCACGAGTCCGAGTCCGAGTCCAAGTCATCGTGTGCGAGAATTCACGAGTCCAAGTCCGAGTCGCGTCAATCAGTGCGCGAGTCCGAGTCGAGTCACGAGTCCCGAAAATCGGCACTCGAGTCCGAGTCCAGGACTCGAGTACTCCATCTCTGCTGTAAGGCAACCCTTACTTTGTCCATGCTGAACAGAGCCTGGTACTGGGGCACCACAGCGTTGCGTGGCTCCGTCAGGATTCGGACTAGCGTCTCTTGGTCCAGGCTGTGCAGAGGGACGACCACAGGAAGACGCCCCACAAACTCTGGGATCATCCCGAACTCGATCAGGTCTCTGGCCTCCACGACCTTCAGCAGCCGGTCCTTCTCCTCGATCTCCAGCAGGGTGTCTGTCTCTCCGCTGGTGTTGGCCTGGTCTGCGGCGGCCGCTGCACGACGGCCCTGCCCCATGTTGGAGGGAGTTCCAAAACCCAAATACTGGGGTGTAATGAAACAAGAGGACCAAGTTAGAGTGACTCTGTGAGCTGACTCTCTGAGGACACAAATAAGTCATATTAAAAACGTACCTTTTCATTCTTTCTTCTGCTGATGATTCTGTCGAGTCCGTTGAAAGCACCGGATGCCACAAACAGGATGTTCGTTGTGTCGACCTGCACCGTTTCTCCTCTCAGCTTCCTGGAGTTCTTCTCAGGAACATTGACGATGGTGCCCTCCAACAGTTTGAGCAACCCCTGACAGAGAGGAAAAGAAAACAACCATCAATATTACAAGTTTAACAACAAGGCATCAGGATACTCGTAACAGTAAATAAATCCAATGTGCTGCCGTATTTATAAATCAAAACTGTGTCTATAAAGAAATGCGTTAAATCTCTTTTGAGTGCAATCGGGTTGAACACTGACCTGCTGGACTCCCTCTCCTCCTACATCTCTCAGCTGATGGATTCCAGGCACACTGCCAATCTTATCCACCTCATCCAGAAACACAATACCTGCACATGAAACACAACATTAGTTTCACATCTCGCAACTCCATGACGACAGCCCCAGTCTTAAATCCACTGTCTGCAGACATTTAAACACTCTTAACGTCATATTAGTAACATCACATGATGCACTTTCAATCATGATAAAAAGGTCCAAATGATCCAACCACTGCAAAGTGAAGTAAGTCAATATCAGTTTCATCTTTGACAAAGGGTAACTCACTGCTGCGGGGAGAAACCCTTGTAAAAATGAAACTGATGTTTATTTTTGTTCATCCAAGTGTTTTGTTTTGTTTTAATTCCTTCCTCTCCATGCTAGCACTTACGATCAGATCAAGCCACTTATACAATACCCCTGTAAGGAATTGACATTGTGATCTAAATATGCACAATGGAACAGTTTGGAGGGGAATAATGCAGTTACTGCTGTAGAAGTAAACATTATTTTAACAAGGGTTAAGTATCCAAGAGTTTATATTTAACAAGATTCTTATGACATTGCTTTATAGACTTTAACCTGTAACTATTTAACATTTATAAGCTGTTAAAAGATCTGTGTATATATGAGAGAGTGCAATGAAAACAAAGGTGGTTCTGTTTTATACTGTATGACGGCTAATGGAGGATAGAGGTCACAGTGCCATGATGTTTATATTGACGAGACTCTTTCGCCTTGTATAAACATCTGCACTGTTTTGGTTTTCTGCTAACTTTCTCTTTTTAACACTGCTAACAAAACCAACTGCACATCCCTTTAGATTTGAATATGTAGTACTGTGTGTGTGTGCCGATTCAGAATGCCCATATGACATGTGAGAAAACAAGTCCTATCAGATGAGATTTGTCCACCTTTGAATGAATGTTATTGTAAAGTCACCTTGCTGTGCTTTCTCCACTGAATAGTTGGCATCTTGCAGCAGTTTGGCAATAACTGACTCGATATCCTCTCCCACGTATCCAGCTTGAGTTAGTGTGGTGCAATCGCATATCGCAAAAGGAACATCCAGACAACGTGCCAGGGTCTGTGCCAACAATGTCTTTCCTGGGGAAAAAAACACAAAACAAACATTGTACAAACTATTTTTGAAACACACTTATGTTAACAGGTACACTGAATATGAAGGTGTTTAAAACTGAATGATGAAGCATACGTTAGTGCTGCATTTACAGTATTAACAACAGTTCCTAACCTGTTAAGCCCCGAGCCTGTTCTTCAGGTTTCAGGCTCGAAAATGACATGCCCAAAACAAATGACTACAACTTAACTTCTAAAAGGGTTATATGAATAATTTATTTTAAGCAAGGTTACATCTGTGAGTTGGATGTAGAAGTGTCAGAATCAATATAGATGTTTCTCAATCAGAGTAAATTCAGATGGAACATCGCAAAAAAAAGGTAAATTCTTACCTCCGCCTAAAGAAAAAACATTACTTATAGTGAAAACCACCCTTGAATGATGGGATGGTAGACTAAAAGCTTTAGGAATCCAAACTATTACATATAATAAGTACCCTGTATCAAGATTGAGGCAAAACAAGTGAAATTTGACCTTTTTAGAGAGGTTTAGCAAAAAAAAGTTCCAGGCGGAAAAAGCTTTCGGCACATTTGGGTACATCTGGTTCCATCAGTGCCATTTGACCTTTTTCAGGTACCAGACACAATTTATTTTTTACACAATAAGACTATGAAGATCTTCCGGCTGTCTGGTTTGGTTGGGGATTGTTATCAAACTGATATAAAACAATATCATGTATGATATAGTAGACACAACACTGACCTGAGCCAGTGGGACCTAGAAGTATGATGTTGCTCTTCTCCAGTTTGATGTCGGTGTGTGTGGAGTCCAGCACCTCCCCGCCTCTCTTCTCCTGAGGCGCCTGCTGGCTGGCCTGCTGCTGCATGGACGCCCCGAGAGCGTTTCCATGAGGACTGATGCCCGCAATCTGCAGCAGCTCTGCAACACAAAGCAAAGACACAGGGGTCAGCTGAGTGAGGATATGAGAAATGACTGTAAAGATGCAGTCTTCGGTTTCAACTTCTGCATAATTTAAACAGGCCATCCATTTTAAGTAGGGATGCTCCGATCGCCAATTTTGGGGCCGATCGCCGGAATCAGTATTGGCCGATACCGATCGCCGATCCGATCGAGTGGGCGGGGCCTATGGGGATCTTCCATTTAAAGTGATGTTTAAAACTCAGTTAATGGGGCTCATTCACTGGCGCTTCCACAAACAACAACCAACATAATTATTACATTCAAATGAAGTACATTATTCAAGTTTACATTAACTTCGGATAATAACACTGAAGAAATTAGCGGAACTGCTCTTTTTTCCTCTCTCTCTCTCTCTCCTGACAGTCTGTCAGTATCTCATGCAGCTCACGGATCCAGTAATGAGTGACCCGACAGTGAAGAATAAACATATTTATAACTAGTTTAGCTTGTTCCAGAGGTAGATAAAATAGCTAAGTGTGTAAGGTCTAACTCTTAGTGTGTGTTTCCACTACAGCGCGGAGCACGGTTTAAGAGGGCTGTGACGTCAGCGGCCCGTCTTTGGTTGCGTTTCCACTTGGCCTAGTACCGGCCGGCGGGTCCTAATTCACAGTTTTTCTGGCCTCATAAAATCGTGGGTCTAGGGCCAGAGACAACGAGGCTGAGTCGGGCTGAGTATGCTAAACTAGAGAGAGAATCGCTGGCAAGGGGGCAACAACTACAACAAGATGGACATATTTGACCCTGATTTAATTGTAATACACGTTTCAAAATGATGCCGAAGTAACAACATACTGATACCGGTTAGTAAAAACCATGAATTAATGCTTTGTCAAGTCTGCAGACAGACGGCAGGCAAAAAACCTTTTAAAATGCGTGTTTTCTAGATGGAGATTGGCTAAGCTAACGCAGTATATGCTCCGACCGTCCACACTCACAACAACGGCCTATACAGACATAAATAAAGCAGCGACTGTATTCAGCATGACACAGACAGTCTGTGGTGTGTACTTGTTTAACTTTTGTCTAGTTTCTGAACATATATGAAGAGCTGTGAGCTCTGAGTGCTAACAGCTAACGGCTGTGTTGTTTTTCTGGGGTTCTCATTGAAGATGACGTCACGGCTCCGCCTACACTGCGTTACTATAGATACTACCCCAGTTCCTAAACTGTAATGGAAATGCGCCATAAAGTGAGCCAGTCCTAACGAGGCCTAGCCATACCGAGCGAGGCCGTGTAGTGGAAATTAGCCATTAGTGTGTGTTTCGCTCCGCTCACCGGTCCGTCACAGCGGGTGGAGCTGCAGGATTTCTGCTTCACACACATTGCATACCGCTATTTTATTGTCTTTTTCGGACACCTTAAAATACTGCCAGACTGGTGAAGCCATTTTGGCGAGCTTGTTTTGCCGCGCAGAGAAAAGTGTCATGTATTTTACGGCATCATTTTACGTCATGCGATCGGCTCTCGCGATCGGCATTTTTAGAGAGCACCGTTCGATCGGCAGAGAGTGATCGGAGCATCCCTAATTTTAAGGATGTTTGTGTCAAACTGTGCATAGAAACATTGCCATGTGCAGTCTTAACATATACATGGCCTAGTCAGTGTGGAGTTACTAGGTGAGGAGAGCAGGGCTGGAAATAGAGAAGGTACAGATGTGAATGCAGGTCACCGGGTTACCTCATTGTCCGGTAAATCAGAGATTAACAGGCTTAAATCATTTTGCTTCAGTTCTGCAAATGATAGTTAAATCAGTAGTCACTACTCTGAAACTAGAGATGTTCCCAAAAAGTATATTAAGTGATTCATTTGCTGTAGTAATTTATAGCTTCTAATCTGATTCTTTATGTTTTGTATAAACTTACAATAATTTACCAAGAATTTCTACCCGAATTAAAATCTGACTGAAGAGCTACAAGTCTGTACAATTTTGGCATTTGTGCAACTTGGAAAAAAAATCAGATTATGATGATTAGGTGGCTGTGATTTTTTGGGTGGTGCCTCTAATGCAGGGGTGTCAAACTCAAGGCCCGGGGCCGAATCTGGCCCGTGACTTCATTTTATGTGGCCCCGCAAGAGCTTGCAAAGAATAAAATATGTTTATTATACGGTTACATGCCGTTTCTTAGAATTTGCCTTTTTTCTCAGAATCTCAGATATATTTTTCAAAATGTAACTTTCTTTTTTTTATTTCATTTTTTTTTAACTTTTTTTTCCAGAATTTGGCTTTTCTTTTCACATAACTTTGTGACATTCTCACTGAAGAGACTTGCAATTATTTTCCCTAGAGCTCTGCTTTCAGACGTAGTTAATTATTAAGTTATTATCCTATGTGATAATAATCCAATGCAGAGGCAATAATGTAATATAATGCATTATTTTATATATATGATATATTTATATAGTCTTATATATAAAACTGGCCCTTTGAGTGCAACCATGATGCTAATGTGGCCCGAGATGAAATTGAGTTTGACACCCCTGCTCTAATGACACAAGAGTAAGGCGGACCAATCACTTACTTGTGAACCTGTACTCATCCTCTCGTCTTCTCATCTCTAGCTCTACAGAGAGAGGGTGAAAGTACTCAAATCAATATTATCAATAATCATTACCATTAGGGCACTATGGTTATCAGCTAAAACCTCTATACAACCGGTGTCGTCAAATATTGAACAAATGCCAAAAAGATTACAATTCACAACAAGTTATAATTTAAAAGACACAGCTGCAATCTCTCTAATTAGTTATTTGAATAGATTTAATTAATAAATAGCTCTTGATTACGTCTTAATGTGTAAACAATGTAAGATATTTTCCCCTAAATGTAATTGCTTGAACAATTGCATTTTATTTGTGTGAACACTGGCATGCCAACAAACAGTAACTTCTAACAATGGCTGGAGCCGTTTTGCTCGGTTGCATCTCCTCTGTTTACTTTATCAGGAGATTTATAAAACAGCCTTGTTGGTGGTATAATATTCAAATTTAGTTTTAAATATACTATATACTAATATACTACTGTTAGATCGTCTCAGAAACATATTCAAAACCCAAATGGTAGAACCTAATCTGTCATTTTAAATTACAGGTCCCTGTGTTTGGCTCACTCTCTCCCCACTTCCTCTCCGACTGCTGTGAAGAATGGAATGAAAACAAAGATGGCGTCCAAAAGTAGGTCAAAGTTCGGGACTACATATTTGAGCAAAACAAATTTAGTCCAAGAAAAAAAAGAGACAGAACCTTTTGTGAAAGTCACTTGAAAGGCAAATTTCCTTTTTTGATTGCATCTTGGGAGTTTTGAAGCTCAGACAAGAAATATGTTAGGGGTTTTCCAAAACTTTCATTTTCTTTTCTAAACACTCCTGTGTTTACCAACTGTCAGACTACAATAATGGTCTTGTTTAAAGTTGGAAAAATAACAGATTATGTAGTGATGTACATATTAGAATATGTACATCACTATTCATTAATATGAATCTTCTTCATCAAAACAAACACATTAGAAATAGCATTATCTAATGCAAAGCTGGATGGGATTTAGACCTAAGAGCAGCAGAATAAAACACTCTACAGACGACAGTAATACTGACCCCGGGGTGTGAGGGAAGGCTGTTTTTCCACCTCCACCTGCTGTCGACTCCCAGCAGGAATGTTGTTGTAGATACGCTTGTAGTGATTGTACACAGCCACGGCTAACACCTTTTTAGCATATGACTGGCCAACAACAAACTTGTCGAGGTAAGCATATATCTGGAGAAAGGAATTTATATTTCACTACAGTATCAAACTATAACAGACGGACTATTACAATGTGTTGTGCAACATGTCAATGGAAGTTTCATAAAAGCATAATTTTGTCTTCCTGCTTTGATTTCTCACCTTCTTAGGGGGAGGGGGCGGTTTCTGTGAAAATGCCAGTTTCACTGCCTCCGCAGCGGACTCAGGCTCTTTGTTTAGCCCCTTCTTAGAGTCCGTTTCAGACAGAACCACAAAAAAGTGATGGCATTTCTCACATTTGACAAATCGTGTTGATGCTGCAAAAGAACAACACAAAACGTATTAAAAACTGAAACATTTCACACTGGTTGATTCAAAAACATTTGCAACATTTAACATTTTCAAAAATGTGTTTTGCAGATCATTAAGCTGACTGAAAATCAAACCAAAAATAACTCTGTTTAGATTGAAGTAGTTTCCCTTTTTGCTGAAATGGACAAATGGCCTACGGGGAAACCTGCTGATAAATATGATGCAACAGGATAAATGTGAAAAACAAATAGCTGTTACACGTTGCACTCTTTGCTATAATGCACTTCAACCTGTCATCACAGTTGATAATCAGAGGACTACACATTGCTGCTTGGTGCACAATCTAACAATATAAACCACACTTTTAAGTTGAAGCAGGCAGCCGCTTATCCCATAGTTAATGTTGCAACCCAAGCAGAAAACAATGTTGTTGGATAACAATGAACCCAAACTCTCAGTGTTTACTTGCAGGTTGTCTTCTTAACAAGTAATGCTAGGAAATGACTTATGATGGATGTTTGTGGTGTACCATTGTTGTGCTGTTTGTTTATATTTATTTCAGTCCACCATCACACTTTGTAACACAGAACATTTTTTTTTAAATCCTGGATAAAACATTTGTATATCTGACGAGGCACTATGCTGTACTTTTATCTCTGTTTATTCAGTCACTGCATCAACCATCTCCCTCTGTATCCTACTCCTACCTGTCTTGGTAAATGCTTGTCTGATATTAAGAAGGTAACTCACACACAAAGGTCTCTACATGTGTGCAGGGGTCTCCACATTTAGGGCAGCGTAGCTGGCTTCCTCCCTTTCCTGAACCACCAGAGCCAGAGAGTCTTTTCCCCTCACTGACGCTTTTCTGTGTAGAAAGAGACTGTGTCAGCACATGTTTCATTGTATTACTAGTATCTGTTCCATGTATAACATTGTGTGTTAATACTCCCATGGAACCGAGCTACAAGTACATGTATCTTCCAAGAGCTTACCTTTCCACCATCACTTCCACTGTCCTTTGTTGTCCCATCTTTAGCGGCATAGCAGACCGCAGACTCTGAGAACGACCTCACCCTGACCCGGGGAGGGAGGTGAGTTTCCCGAGACCCATGACGACTCAGAGAAAACAACTGGATGCGGGAGCAGGACAATCCTGTAAACACAACAGCAACATCCATATTGATTTCCAATGTAAACATACATTTTCTATTACAGTTATTTTGTTTACCTATACAAAACATATTACCATGCATAATAATAGGGCAACAAGCTAAATGAAGAATGTCTTTGTACTTTTATCGTGTTAATAATCCTAAAGTGAGAAATTGAATTCAACAGAAAAATAATCTGCAAGCATTTAAACAAATTAATAATTCCACTTATTTTATAACCAAACATTTAGAACAATTCCTGTTACAGTTTCTCCAAGGACATTAGTCTGAAAATGTAACTTTGAGCTCAGATGGCCTATTTTCCTCATTTTGTTACACTTAATAATAAATAAATATGAATAATACATGTTTTGATTAAAAAATAAAATTATCTGCAGATTCATTAATAATGAACATAGTTGTTAGTTATGGCCCTATGTGCACCACTGCAGGCAGTGAACATAAGTCACAATACATCGGATAAGTCAAAAAAGCTACATAATGTTATATGCCTATATATTTCAGCTGAACACACTGCATACTATCAGGATCATCAGTTCATAGTCAGGGGAATAAAGTCCACAGTTTATACATGTGCTCTAGCTATTGTACATTATGTTTCCGTTATGCAAGTGGGACAGTATCTAGTTGCTGTAACGATTTAGCTTAGCTATTGCGACATAACTATACATGTACTGATTAGTGATTTTTCATGTGTCAATACACCAGAAGGCTAATTACAGCTGTACAACTTAATGAAAAGTTAAGAGTGATGCAAGAACTTCAGCTGCCTCACAGCTACACTTTAAGAAACTGTTCCACCTGCTGTTGACATATTACATGACGAACAGCGGTGTGGGTTATCTGCAGACCCACTTCACAAACTGTAGCACAATGTCATGCAGCTTTGCTGTACAATGTGTTCTTACCTCGGTGGGCTGTGTTAAGGAACAACCTGGCAGCCGAAGTGCATGGACAGGACATGACTCCTCTTTTGGCTAAAAATCCTGAAAATAAACACAAAGTTAACAGTGTCGTGAGAAAGAGACGCTGATTAGCCCTTAAAACATTTCAGAACTTCAACGTCACTGTTAGCATTAGCAGGTCATTTGCTGCCGAAGGTGATTTGCCTGCTTATGACTGTAAAACATCATCTTTTTTTTAAAGTGTAATGATTGGTTGGGCTTTTACGACCTCCTGATATCTACCCGTAGCAGGACATGGCCAAACAAATAATGTAGCTAGCTGCTTTCTATAAATACACGTTAGCTACTTAAGCTGGGCCCAAGCCTGCACTACCTGCTGAAACCCCCCTGTTTGGACAGACAGTCAACACTGCGCAGTGAATAATCTGACTGACTTTACCCTGAAACAAGCTAGTTGTCAGGACTGTTGTTAGTTAAATACCTAGATATATTCTGACATTACTTCAGCTAAAGGTGAAAGCAACATATAACTTATAAGCTAACATATAGCTTGTTTTACTCACAGGGCACGATGAAACCAGTCCCCTTCGGAAAAAAACAAAACAAATGTGCAATGTCACAGCAGCGTTTGCCCTTTGTTTTTGTGTTGTTGTTGTGTCGTAGTAATGTCACAGTATCGCATTAAAATGCTAAGCTTTTGCTCCTCTAGGCCACAGTTTCCCAGGTGGGACACGACCCAAAGTGATGTAACGCTGTTATGAACTAGGTTACGCGGCTAGCTGCTAGCTAACCTTCTCTCCGGGGGTACAGTAGCTAGCAGGAGTTATTAACCGATGTTAGTGGTGAAAGCAATATGGCGGCTGTATTCGTGTCTATGCAGTTCATACCCGTCCATATCTGTGGAGATCTAGTGCTTCATAATAGGCGTTAACAGGGATGAACCTGGTGCGTTCAATGATCCTCGTAATGTGCTTATAGTGTTGCCTTTGGGTGACACTCGTACATGTGTAATACTGTGTTGAATTGAGTTTTGAAGGAGAGGTGTCATGCTTTTCCGGTTATTACCCGTCCCCTTGTGTGTTATGAAGGTTTTTATGCATGTAAACGGTGTGCAGAGTCAAAACCCTCAAAGTACACCCTATAGCAAGTAAAACTCCAACACAGAAAATACCTCCCCAAAACGCCTCGTTGGAGATACGTCATTGTCCATTTAATTCTTCCGGGTACGGCATGATGTCAACCCGTACCCGGAACGAAATGGACCAATCCGTGGAGCAGTTACGTTACGTCCGCGGAGCCGTTACGTTAAGCCCCCGCTGATTGGTCCAAATTGACCAATCCACGGACTTCCTCACACACACATCTGTGTGCAGGGAGCAGGGAGCAGGCAGCTCAGCTACTAGGCTTGTTTGAGACGAGCTGCGGCTCGCCTCGAAAGTAGACGAGAATAGCCGATCGCAGCCGGGGGAGGTCTCAAAAAGCTCGCCTAAAGTCGGACAGCTCGGAGTCAGCTTCTTCCTCTTCTTCTTCTTCTCTCGGTTTTTTGGCGGATTGCAAACAACTTTAAGGTGCATACCGCCACCTCCGGAGTCGGCTTGACTCGGTTTGCATTTATAAAGAATGCACAAATGTGTTTAATCGTTAATGTCAGATATGTACTAATGGCTAATTTCCACTACACGGCCTCGCTCGGCCTCGCTCGGTATGGCTAGGCCTCGTTAGGACTGGCTCACTTTATGGCGCATTTCCATTACAGTTTAGGAACTGGGGTAGTATCTATAGTAACGCAGTGTAGGCGGAGCCGTGACGTCATCTTCAATGAGAACCCCAGAAAAACAACACAGCCGTTAGCTGTTGGCACTCAGAGCTCACAGCTCCTCATATCTGTTCAGAAACTAGACAAAAGTTAAACAAGTACAAACCACAGACTGCCTGTGTCATGGCGAATACAGTCGCTGCTTTATTTATGTCTGTATAGGCCGTTGTTGTGAGTGTGGACGGTCGGAGCATATACTGCGTTAGCTTAGCCAATCTCCATTTAGAAAACACGCATTTTAAAAGGTTTTTCGCCTGCCGTCTGTCTGCAGACTTGTCAAACCATTAATTCATGGTTTTTACTAACCGGTATCAGTATGTTATTACTTCGGCATCATTTTGAAACGTGTATTACAATTAAATCATGGTCAAATATGTCCATCTTGTTGTAGTTGTAGCCCTCTTGCCAGCGATTCACTCTCTAGTTTAGCATACTCAGCCCGACTCAGCCTCGTTGTCTCTGGCCCTAGACCCACGATTTTATGAGGCCAGAAAAACTGTGAATTAGGACCCGCCGGCCGGTACTAGGCCAAGTGGAAACGCAACCAAAAACGGGCCGCTGACGTCACAGCCCTCTTAAACCGTGCTCCGCGCTGTAGTGGAAACGCGCCATAAGTAAATACATTTGTTCCTGCTCAAGATTAGATTCAACTTTATTGTTATTGCACAGATTACAGGTACTGAGACAACGAAATGCAGTTTAGTTTCTAACCAGGAGTGCATAAAGCAGTAAAGTGAAAAGTAATGTACACAATCTACAGAATAAAATATAGAATGAATTGAATGATGAAAAAACAGTGAGGGGTATGAATACACTAGATATACACAGTAGCCTAGCCTAGTATGAACAGTGTGTTGTATGAATATGCTAAGATATATAAAGTATGACAACGGTAAGCAGTGCAAGTATAGTATAAAATATATAGATATTAATTTAATGATGATAAACATTGTGGAACAATGATGAAAAATGTGAATGGAAGTGGCGACGTAAAACTGACACAAAACAACAACACACTTTTGCCGAGCCAATGGAGAGTTTCATCACCAGCACGGGGTAAAAACCACCAATGAGCGCTCAGCTTGAGATACCAGCGAGTCGTTTCCCATCAAGCATTTCGCTTCCGCAGCCCGTGGAGAGAAACTGCGCCGCCTCGCCGCGCCTCGCTCTCAAGTCTGCGGGCGTCTTTGTCCCGCGAGATTTCAACGTCTCATGTAGGCGAGCCTCCTGAGCAAGTCGGACAAAATGACTAACCATCATGCAACGCACTAGCAAGACGTTGATCGCAATTGCGCAGGTCTGCGCAGGTCTCGCTTGTCTCAAACAAGCCTGATTTCTCCTCCCTGGCTGCAGGCTGATAACAGACAGTTGGGATCGCGGCAAAATTCTCTCTGCAGACCCATTCTCACAGCGTTTATCAACCTTTTTCTTACTCAATATCAAGCCACACTTATTGTTTTTACTTCGGATTTGAGTTTGTGTGTGCTCAGGATGAGTTTGGCTGTGTTTCGCTATGTATCCTAAACAAGGAAACAACACCTCCACGGAGCTCAGCGCGATTCACAACGTCCCGACCAATCAGAGCACACTGTGCTCACAGGGAGGGTGGGGGCTGGAGCTTTTGGAGCTACAACGAGCCGTTAAAGGCAGAGAGTGAAATTCAGTGAATACAAGTAGTTTACAGAGATGCTGTATGAGAAACCAATGTGAGTTTGGAAAAATGCACAGTATAAATCTATTTTAGTAGACCTCAACAATGGAATTATGATCAGTGGAAATGGCCATGACACCTCTCCTTTAAAGCTGCAAACTACAATTCAATGCGACCCATGAGAGATCTGTGCACTTTGACTCCACTACATTTATTTCATATATTTAGTTATTTTCTAGGTTTGGATTAAATATGTGAAATATAAACAACACTTAAAAAAGACTGTGGCTACCTGGAGTGACATTCACAAGCTACCCTGCAGTATATAAAGTATTTAAAACTAGCTGCACCTTTACCAACTCTGATAACTGTAACACATTAATGCATCAGTAATTATAATCAAAACGTTTCATATATTATTCTGATCTGCATTCTGCACAATGAGTACTTTTACTTGAGTGAGATTTTTAATGCAGGACTTTTACTTGTAACAAATAATTCTTACACTCTGGTACTTCTACTTTTACAATATCCCAGTACTTCTCCTACCTCTGATAATAATAATAGTAACTTAAACTATAATAAACATCAAAATGTATAGTTGCTTTATATTTGGTATTATAAATGAGAATCTATATATTATATAACTACACTAAAAGTCCTGTCATATTTTTCTCCAGAGGAGGATTAGTAGCATTCTTATCAGTCAGACTTTGCAACTTGATCTCTGCATAATACCCTCTTTGTAAATCAACATCTAGAAAGTTAACTGAAATAAAGTTTATAAGGGTCATTTAAAAAATTGAGAAAACATGTGGTATAATTGTATTGAGAGCCCCAGGTGGGGTAAGAGCTGCATTGCTGTCTCCTCCTGGCTGATCAATCACCTGACTTTTATTTTCTTTACTGCTCATATCACTCTGTTAGTGGGATTAGATCCACTGAAGACTAAGCAAACCAGCCAGCAATAAATAAATGAAAGTAACTTTGATTTAGAAAGAGGACATGATTTTTCTCTGGCTGTGTGATCAGAATGGTAATGTTTGACAGGTACATTTTGTCTTCTGGATATTAAACCCTCTTTTTGCTCAAACTCATCTATCAGCACTCGATGTGTGTAGACTACATCTAAAGCCCTTGTTCATAATTATATGTGTTATCTTACATAACATATCCACAGTGCATCAAAATTACACGATACATTTAGTCAAATATATTTGTTTATTTCATTATTTTGACCATGAGAACTCTGTTTCAACAACAAATATTGCAACAAATGAGGTAATATGAAAAGATTATTATAGAAGCAGACTGTTGCAGCTCTGTGCATCTCAACTCAATAAAAAATGTACAAATTACCCTTCATCCTTCATGCTGCTTAAATCAAGCATTGTGGTCAATAAATTAATTTCAACCGAATGGGAGTTGAAAAATAACTTTATTACTTACAAGGTTTGTGGTAATTCTTAGGTGTATTTGAGTTTGACCTTGCAGATCTTTACACTGCTGTTGTCCCACATGTACAGAACTTTTTTGTTCGGGTAATAAGACAGCATAGCCAGGGTGCCATTAGCTGGCCTCAAATCAAAACTTGCATCCAGAGGACTCTCTCTCATCAAATCAAAGGCATATGTGACTCTTCTGTCTTTATCATCTGTAAAATATAGCACCCCACATACAATGAAAGCATTGCCTGCTTTAGTTGTAGGGTAGTGAGTGTTAATGACAGACTCCACGGAGAATGTGTCAGGATTTAACTTTGCAACCATTGTATCATCTTCTGTATCCGCTGCAAAAATGACCCACAGTCCGTTTTCATCCACGGCAAACTTGAAATACGTCTTGGAGTTGCGGGAAAGATAGTTCAGGTTGTTATATCTGCTGTTTGCCATGGTCAGAGTTTTGGTTCTCCTGGTGTTCAGGTCAAATCTGTGAAATGATAATCAATGGTTAGTTAAATAGACCTCAAAAAAGTCAGTATAGGCAAGTTAATAAAAGTATGTATACCACTAAGACTCACTTTATAAGTCTGTTTGTTCCTCCGTTGTGAAAATAAAATGAGCTCTTGTAAACGACATGACCACAGCCCTGGAAGAACCTCTTGGCATCTATCGTCTTGGTTCTTGTATCCGGTGATGCTGAAATGTTCCTGTGCTCCACCAGATGTCGACCTGGAGAGGCAGTGTTTTCAAGTTCAAATATACACATTAACTCTGTCTGACTTTTTGGTTTCTTTATAAAATGAAAGGAAAATCACCTGAAAAATGATCGGCCAGCCAGTATCGATCTTGATCCACCTGGGATGCATCGGACATCCAGGCTCCAAAAGTGCTTTGCATTTTGGTGGCTTTCTCTGAACATTTAATGTTTCTAATGTTGCACTCTAAATCAAAGACACATATGCCCTTCAATATTTGTTAGAAATGATATACACACTTACATTCAAACATTATTTGAAACATGATTTCCATAACTGACCAGTTTTTGTCAATCTTTCATTGTTTTTCACATTTATCCTGTTAATAGTCTGGAGTGGATGTGATGAGTCTAGAAAAAGAGAAGAACAAAAGAAGAAGAAGAATAATTCATAATTTCATTTGAAGTATTAGAAACTAAAATGAGTAGTTAATATTATATAAATATGGGACACAAAACACAATCATACCCCTTTCCATGGGTGTATCATTAATGTTTCCAGTGTTGTTGACCCTCTCCAGGTCTACAGATAGTGAGGCTGCAACATGAATGTAAACACAAATAGATTAACACACAACAATAGTGTAATAGTGCAGAATAATTAATCATACTAAAACCAAGTGTTATTATTCAAAAAGAGTGCTTCCTACCTTTCAATGATGGCTGTGTAGCATTATTGAGTGCATCACTGTTTTGGTCCGCAGACAGTGGAGCTGTTTAATGAAATAAAACATTATATGTATTGTTTTAAAGTCACTTGCTTTCCTGTTCATTCAAAACAGAGTGCTCCTTGCCTGTTATTGTCGCCTCTGTAGCATTGACCCTTTCGGTGTCCTTCGATGTGTCGTGGCTGTCGTTTTGAGGAAGTAATACAGACTCTGAAATTAAAAGTATTGGGTTTGTTTTCATTTTGTTAAAGTTAATCTTAACAGTATCCTTGCAGCTCAAAATGGTTGTTTACCAGCTTCAAAGGTTGTGTCTTGATGTTTCTCAGAGTCAGAAACATCTCTGTTGATCTCAGTTGAATATGGTGTTGGTGATTCTGCAGAAAGAAAGAGGATATTCAACAAAAAGTCATGGAACAGATGTGCACCAAACACACCAAATGTGTGAATGATCAATATTGATACCATTTGATGACAGTTTCTTACCACCTTTCATGGGTTTATCAATAATGGTTCCACTGTGTTTAAAGGCATCATTGTTTTGTTCTGCAGAATCCGGAGCTTTTTAAAGAGAAGACACATTCAATAAAACCATTTAAAGTTATGGCCATTTGTTTTGCTAATTATTCAAACATCATATATCCTACCTGTTAATAATGTCAATGTTGCCTCTGTAGCATTTTCACTCTTGATATCCTTCAGTGTGCCATGACCGTTTCCTGGATAAAGTGATACTGACTCTAGAAGATAAAAAAAAAAATGTGTTTATCAATAATGGTTCCCCTGTTACTAAAGGCATCACTGTGTTGGTCTGCAGAAAGTGGAGCTTATAGAAATAAATGAAACATAAATAAACATCATAAAGTTATGGTCACTAGCTTTGCTCATAATAAAAACATTGTATACCTCTTAATATTGTTATTGCTGCCTCTGTAGCATGTTCTCTATTGGTATTGTTCAATGTGCCATTACCACCATCCTGATTAGGTGATACTGACTCTATACAATTAGTAAAGAAAATAGTGTTTATTTGTTTTTCTTCATATATTCAAAGTTTGTCTTAACAGTCTTCCTTTGTGTCAACATTACTTACCAGTTTCCACTTGTATGTTTTGGAGTTTCTCAGAGTCAGAAACATGTCTGTTGGTTGTTGGATGTGGAGTTGGTGATTCTGCAGGAAGAAAGATGACATTAAACCAGAAGAGATGCTACTGATATTAAATCATATTAAAATGTGATGTCTTAATTCCTGAACAGCATATCATCAAGTCCTCAGCTCATAAACGTGGCTGTTGTTTATTTCTGTAGAAGATTAAATCCACAGTTTACTCACCATTAACCTGGAACATCCAGTTAATCCATCTCTCAACGCTAGTTAATTTCTGGTTGTTGTTGTTTTGGGGTGATAATGAAGAGTCTAAAAGATTATACGACAAAGAGATATATTGTGAGTAGTCTCCAACTTTTATAAAGTTAAGTGTATATTGTGCTCCTCCACCTGTTTGAATAAGCAGCAGCAGATGTGTATTCTGATTCTTACCACTTTTAATGGATGTATCAATAATGGCTCCACTGTTATTGAAGGAATCGCTGTTTTGGTCTTCAGACAGTGGAGCTGTTGAAGGGAATTAAATATTAAATGAAGTTTAAAAAAAGTAATTTTCACCTCTTTTACTCATAATTCAAAACAGAGTTATTCCTACCTGTTAATAATATAGTTGTTATATATTGTATGTATAAAGGAATGGATTTAAATGATTGTGATAATTTAACATGACCTTTTTTATTTTGATTATTTATTTTATTCCATGTATTTATGATTTTTTACCAATACATAAATATCAAATGTTTTGCTGAATTTGTATGTCCTAACACACATTGTTCACTTTATGAGTTAAAGTTTAAACTATGTTCTAATATTAAGAAGGTCTGAAGGATTAAAAAGATCTGATACTGACATTTCTAGTGAGAAAAATAACAATACTAGGTCTTAAAATAAATCCTTCCAGCTCACCAGAATCTGTATCTCGAAATATCTCAGTGTCAGTAACATTAATATCATCTGCGGCTTCATGAGCTCGATGTTGCGTTGGTAAGACTGTGGAGATTTAATAAGACATCATGAATAACAGAATGAAGTTAAGACCAAACATTTCATTTAGGAGTCTGAGTATCTCTTACCTGCTAATAACTTTATTGATGCCTCTGTAACATTTCCTGTGCTGTTTTCAGTCCACGTATCATGTCTGTAGGCTGGACGCGGTGACACTAACTCTGTAGTAAATAAAACAGAATTTAGATGACGATATGTTTTTTAGATAAATAAAATACTAAACAAATATTTTGAGTGGTCTAAATCGTTTTTTGAGTGATCTAAATCGAAATGTGAATTGGTGAATACTGAGATCAAACATAGTCTATATAATATGAACGTTTCTTACCACTTTTCATTGGGATGTCCGTAATGTTTCCACTGCCATTGAAGGCGCCACTGTGTTGGTCTGCAGAAAGTGGAGCTTATAGAAATAAATGAAACATAAATAAACATCATAAAGTTATGGTCACTAGCTTTGCTCATAATAAAAACATTGTATACCTCTTAATATTGTTATTGTTGCCTCTGTAGCATGTTCTCTATTGGTATTGTGCAATGTGCCATTACCACCATCCTGATTAAGTGGTACTGACTCTATACAATTAGTAAAGAAAATAGTGTTTATTTGTTTTTCTTCATATATTCAAAGTTTGTCTTAACAGTCTTCCTTTGTGTCAACATTACTTACCAGTTTCCACTTGTATGTTTTGGAGTTTCTCAGAGTCAGAAGCATGTCTGTTGGTTGTTGGATGTGGAGTTGGTGATTCTGCAGGAAGAAAGATGACATTAAACCAGAAGAGATGCTACTGATATTAAATCATATTAAAATGTGATGTCTTAATTCCTGAACAGCATATCATCAAGTCCTCAGCTCATAAACGTGGCTGTTGTTTATTTCTGTAGAAGATTAAATCCACAGTTTACTCACCATTAACCTGGAACATCCAGTTAATCCATCTCTCAACGCTAGTTAATTTCTGGTTGTTGTTGTTTTGGGGTGATAATGAAGAGTCTAAAAGATTATACGACAAAGAGATATATTGTGAGTAGTCTCCAACTTTTATAAAGTTAAGTGTATATTGTGCTCCTCCACCTGTTTGAATAAGCAGCAGCAGATGTGTATTCTGATTCTTACCACTTTTAATGGATGTATCAATAATGGCTCCACTGTTATTGAAGGAATCGCTGTTTTGGTCTTCAGACAGTGGAGCTGTTGAAGGGAATTAAATATTAAATGAAGTTTAAAAAAATAAATGTCCCCCCTTTTACTCATAATTCACAACAGAGTTATTCCTACCTGTTAATAATATAGTTGTTATATATTGTATGTATAAAGGAATGGATTTAAATGATTGTGATAATTTAACATGACCTTTTTTATTTTTATTATTTATTTTATTCCATGTGTTTATGATTTTTTACCAATACATAAATATCAAATGTTTTGCTGAATTTGTATGTCCTAACACACATTGTTCACTTTATGAGTTAAAGTTTAAACTATGTTCTAATATTAAGAAGGTCTGAAGGATTAAAAAGATCTGATACTGACATTTCTAGTGAGAAAAATAACAATACTAGGTCTTAAAATAAATCCTTCCAGCTCACCAGAATCTGTATCTCGAAATATCTCAGTGTCAGTAACATTAATATCATCTGCGGCTTCATGAGCTCGATGTTGCGTTGGTAAGACTGTGGAGATGTAATAAGACAGCATGAATAACAGAATGAAGTTACATTACATTACATTACATTACATTACATTTCATTTAGCTGACGCTTTTATCCAAAGCGACTTACAATGACCAATTACAGGGACATTCTCCCTGGAGTAATTAAGGACTAAGTGCCTTACTCAAGGGCACACTAGTGGTGGTGTTCCTGGCGGGATTTGAACTCACAACCTTGCGATCTTTAGACCACCACTATCCCTATACTATAAGTTAAGACCAAACATTTCATTTAGGAGTCTGAGTATCTCTTACCTGCTAATAACTTTATTGATGCCTCTGTAACATTTCCTGTGCTGTTTTCAGTCCACGTGTCATGTCTGTAGGCTGGACGCGGTGACACTAACTCTGTAGTAAATAAAACTGAATTTAGATGACGATATCTTTTTTTATCTAAATAAAATATTAAACAAGTATTTTGAGTGGTCTAAATCGTTTTTTGAGTGATCTAAATCATTTTTTGAGTGATCTAAATCGAAATGTGAATTGGTGAATACTCAGATCAAACATAGTCTATATAATATGAACGTTTCTTACCACTTTTCATTGGGATGTCCGTAATGTTGCCACTGCCATTGAAGGCGCCACTGTTTTGGTCTTGAGAAAGTGGGGCTGTAGAATGAAACATTATGCAACAGTTACAAACATTAACAGTGTTATAGCACCTTTAATCAGATGTTTAATTATAAATAAAAACACAGTTAATACCAGTTAATAATCGGATTGATGCCTCTGTGACATTCTCTGAGTTGGTCTCATTCAAGGTGTCGTGGTGGCCATACTCAGGATGACCTGATACTGACTCTAGATGGAAACATTAAACAAGATTAAAAGTGTTCTCAGGTCTTACAGCAAAGTGTTCACATAATGGATGCTTACCAGACTCTTTACTTGTGTTGAGAGTTTCTTTAAAGGCAGTAACATTCAATACGTCTTGGCTCTCATTGGCTGCGTGTGGTGTTGGTGGTTCTGTGGAAATAAAGACATCATATAATGTTAAATGAAAAGTAACATGAAGACTAAAGTCACAAACAGCATATCATCTTTAACTCATATAGTTGTTCTGAATTTCATCCTAGTGTTGTTTATTGTTGAGCTGCTGTTTTCTTTATCCGCCAAAGAATGAGATGAAGAAGAAGAAGAAGAAGAAGAAGAAGATACCCTTTATTAATCCCTTACAGGGACATTTCTTTCCCCACTCTGTTGTGTTTACACACATTACACACACAGGGGAGGATATACATGCACAAACACAGAGGATATACATGCACACACACACAACCACATGCAGATAGGAGAGGTGGCAGAGCAGAGAGGCTGCCAGGTACCCGGCGCCAAGGGAGCAGTTTTGAGGTTAGGTGCCTTGCTCAAGGGCACCTCGGCAGTGGCCTTGGAGGTGAACTGGCACCTCTCCAGCTACCAGCTCACTCCAACTTTTTTTGGTCCGATCGGGACGTGAACCGGCGACCCTTCGGTTCCAAGACCAAGTCCCTACAGACTAAGCCACTGCCGCCCCAAGATGAGTCTAAATATGTAGGAAAAGATTATAAATGAAGTTCTAACTTTTAAAAATCTTTCTAAAAATAATAATAGAACAAATATGTTGTATAGAAATGATTTCAAATATTTAAGATTCAGCATTTAGGCCAATAAAATATATTTTTTAATTTTTCAACCACAATTCCTGGCTGGCAGTGTGTACAGTAGATCCCTGATTTAGATAAGATTAGATTCTGATTTAATAAAAGGAAATACAATGTTCAGACACCAAAACTTGAAAGTTGAACGAAATATAAAACGAAAACAAAATCTCAATTAATAAAAAATATGTTGTTGTTGTCAGGTAATACTTTTGTGTTAGAGAAGAACTAATACATCCCAAGTCCTTGCTACAACCGTGAAACATGCTGGTTTATTAATAATGATTCAGTGAAGATGTTCTCACCCGTCAACATGTTGTTTTGATGGATGTGTTCTTCGATGGTGTTGTTTCTCACTTCATTATTACAGTACCGAGCAGGACAGGGGGGACCAGGTGGGCCGGCTGGGCCCCTCGGACCAGGAGGACCTGGAGATATCAACAAACAACACTGCTAGACAGTCGCTCTCTACAACAAGATTAAAACATTAAAGCTTGAAGGGAAATCAAAACGTGTTTTTCCCCCAAATTAGTTCTCAAAGGTTTTGGTTCCCTTTTTTACTATATCCCACAATAGGATTAAGTTTGGAGGAAAACATGGTGACCATCTTATTATTTTACAACGTCACAAGTAGTGGAGCTAAACAGGTTACGTTTGTCCTGTATATAAAGAATATACAAAACTTCCTGATGATATAAAATAAAGTGACAGCTTTCCAAATGTTATCTTGAGTCTGATAGATTATCTCTCTGTTAATATACTCATTTATATCAGGTTAAAAAAAATACCTTCAACGAGAATGCCATTGCAGGTCTCTCCTTTAGGTTGGGGGGGCCCAGGGTCTCCTTTGGTTCTGCATTCTCCTTTTTCACCTGGACGTCCTAGTCATTGACAGATTATTAGTTTAAAACCACTGAGTTGAGCTCTGGTGCACGCCCGAGGAAGGGTTCGTCTTATTCTGTTTATTTCAGACAGCAGATCTCTCACCTCTCTTCCCTCGTCTCCCCTCCAGCCCGGGCACTCCCTGCTGTCCTGCTGACCCCGCTCTACCTGGAAAACCTAACAGGAAAAAGTGCCGTGAATGAAGTAGCAAATTCACTTTAATGTAATAGTTTATGCAATTAATTAAGGTGCCATTTTTACCTTTTGGGCCAGGTGGACCTGGGGAAAAATAAAACATTGAAATGTTTAACACAAGTTAAATAGAGTAGAGCAGCACACATAACAACCACAGCTGATGTATGTCCACAGAGTATGAAGTGCACCTGTTAAGCAGACTCCTCTGGAGCCGTTACACAGATCCATGAGGGCTTTGACCTGAAATGAAGAAAACAGAAAGAGCAGGTGAGGTCGATGTTGATGGTAAATACATCTGGAGGCTTTCTACAATTCATCGTTTGGTTTTTAAATCACTTGGATGCAAACTTTTTTTTTTCTTTCTCGTGAGACATCTCTCAGGATTTGAAAGACAAAAACAAGATACAACTATATTTACCTCCCATTTAAGAGCAGCAACGATGATTTGATTAATTGATGAAACACAATTCTCCCTGGCAGCACTTTTGATAATTGATTAATTGTGCATGTCATCTTTAAGCCAAAAGTTTACTTTTTCTTCGTCTTCTAGGATGGACGGTGGATCGGACAAAAAAAGCTATTTGAAGTTCCGTCCTCTCGGAACTTGTATCGAGCATTGTTTTTACTATTTTCTGGCACATCATAGTTAAAAACAATTAATCCATGCATCAACAAAAGTTATTCAAATCAAGTTTTTGTTTGAGTATTACTAATCATTACTTATGATTATTTATCTTTCCGGTCAATATTATACCTACATATTGTTTTGGTAAAGCACTTGTGTGCCTCTGATAAATGTGCTGTCAAAACACACAGTAGCGTCCTCCAGGTTCCCGTCGGATGTGAGTACAGTATACGGAGGAGCCGTCACGCTCCACTAAGTATTTGTCCAGAAAACACTCAGTGGAAAAAAGATCTCTGCAAAAAGACTTTTAGATTCTTTGCATTACTCAGACATGCTTCTTCTCCCAAAAGGGAAAAGGAGAAGGAAAAGTCTCTATAAAAGATGACAGCAAGGAGTTGTCGATTGCTGCCTTGTTCTGTCTTATAAAAACATTCTCCAATAGTCACATGTTCATAGAGCCCACATTAAAATCATTAGGTGTCTTACAGGAACCATGGAGTATGCCATCATCATCATCATGTCCTTCTCCTCTTGGGTCAGATCCTCCTCCTGGTGTCGTCTGCTGCGTTGGAGCTTCCTCAGCTCTCTGGCCTCCGCAGGGTCTTGGTTCAGGACCACGGCCTGCAGCCTGCAGCTCTGGGACAGCTCCTGCATCTGAGCCTCCAGCCGCACCAGCTCCTCCGTCAGCTCCTTCTGTCGAACCAGCAGGAACACCAAAGCTCCTGAGCTCAGCAGCAGCAGTGCACACAACCCCACCAGCAGCAGCACTTTCCACGCCAGACAAACTCCACTCCTCTCCTTCATTTTTGTGCCCCTGTTGCTGCTCCTCCGCTGCAGAGTAATCTGAGCTCTGACACTCACTAGCACATACAGCACATATCTGATAACCAGCCAACAGATGAGACGTCAGAGGGAAACTACGCCGGAGAGAAATCAACATGTCAAGATCTGTTTGTAACTCGTGGGACCCAAATGATGCATTGCGTAAGAAAAAGCATCTGGGAAACAGTTGAAGTGTGTAGGCCTGCTGGATTCAGAATCCACTTATGGACATATTTCAAGAATGACATACCATTCACACACAGTGTAGTGCCTTTCTTTATTCTCGTCCTCTTTCTTTCAAAATTGCCACCAGTCAGTCCTACGCAAAATGACATGAAAGTGGAATAAATAAGTGGTGAACAAGGGGGTCTTTCTTTGGATCTACAAAAGAGCTTTCACATTGCTTCCAGTAAACGACTGCAAGTGTGTGGATGTGTGTGCGTGCAATACAATCTCTATCTAATAAATAGTTTTTATTTTCATGAACACATTCTGTTACGGACATCCAAATGGAAGGTTATAGTTACATGTTGTGCTCCCCTTGTGCTGGTGATGTTTCCGAAAATCTATAATTATCAAGTTGAGTCTCTCTACTACAATGAGAGCAGGTTTGGCAGCCAACTCACGCGCAGGGCGACATCTTCTTCAGCAGAATAACAGCTTTTCATTTTGGCTATTCAGGAGCTGAGCTGGAAGGACAGCTCATCAGAAGCAAACAACTTAAACTCTTAAATGTTGTATGTGAGGGACCACGGATGGAAACTAGCTCAAAGCTCAAATCCGCCATGTTTACGTTTTTAAAGCATTATTTGTTTTAAATGTTCATCAATGTGCACTGTCCCTCTTCAAATAAACGATTAAATGAAATGAACTTCTGCACAGACACTGATTTTAAAATGTGCATCCATGCTTATTTTGGAAGTAATGGAGAACGGACACTCATTTCAAATGACAAGTGTTTCCATTTGAAAGATGACAATGTCTTTTCCCCCAGTTTCCCTTTGTGAATGGCTAGTTAAATCCCTGCTCTCTTTGACACGGGTCAGTCTGACCCAGCTAATTCATTTCCACTGAATACCCTCCTCACTGGGTGAATTGGACAGTGGGGTTTCTTTCTTTTGAAGTAATGTGAATAAACCAGAGAAAGATACAGAGTATGAAAGACCTGGGTTTTGCTTTCTTATGAATAAAAAGACTACACTTTCTGGTCCCTTTGAGGCTGCTTTGTGGTTCAGATGTGCGCTGTTATCCTGCCTGTTCACTGTTCGGCCATGTAAAAGTCCTTGTAGCCCCAAGTGGCAGTGTTCCTAAGCAACCAGTAATATAAGGGCTTAACCGAGGATTTATAAACACTATGAGGAGAATTCAATCATCCGGAAAACCAGCGGAAAGACCTGCCTCTTTTCAAACTTTCCTCTCACTCCTCAGGAGCAGGACACTAACAAGAGAAGTAAGTGAAATTATTTGATAACTTGATACATTTTAGAATTTAAATAAATGTTCGTAATAGTAACAAGATGTACATTTAATATATACTATATTTGCTATATCTTTATTTCATTTGATGCTTTTCATCCCTAAATCATTCTTACCTGGTTTATATGTATTTTAATGTTATTTGTCCATGTTATTCTTGTGTGCTGTTATTTTGCTTATTTGTGCTTTGCCTTGCAAATCAATAACATAATAAGTAAATGATTATAATAAATAGATATAAATAATTGTTTTAATAATAAAATAAAAGGTGAAACTCTTGTTTGAATTTAACATTTTGAATATTCTGCCTTGTGTTTCGATGTAGTTCTGCCTCAAATATACTCAGCTAACTGTATATATGCTCTTGGGAGAAGAGACTAATGTTATGAGCATGATAAAACTGCTGTAATGTAAAGAAGAAAAGGTAATAATACATCAGGACAAGAGAATTACAGGGATTAGTAGGGGTAGGCAGTTTAAGGTTGTTCTGTTTTGTAACTAATGGATGAGTTTGTGTTGTCCTCTGGCGAAAGGAGACAGACCTGTATGTGCAGAGGACAGACAGAGTGAGGTGCGTTTGTGAAGAGGATGCAGCCGCTGGAGAAACTCACCTCCATCCTGATGGAGGTTGACTCGGTGTCTGAAATCACCGCCGCCCTTCTTCTTCTTCTGCTGCTGCTCTTCACTGTCTGGAGTCGAACACACCGCTCACATATACCTGGTAAAAGACTTCTGTTCTTATACTTAACTTGTAAAGATTCATCCAATTGTGTACGAAGGACTGCAGGTGTTGGCAGATAGATACGATTTTTAAAATGTTCAGCGTTTTGCATTTTAGTAATCCCAGTAAATGTTCATAATTTAAAGTAAATGTTTCTGCATCATAATAATAACACAATGACATGATAGTTCACTGATTTCCATAAAGTTAGACCTGTGTTTTCACATTGGAGCACACAGTTAATGTATCACCTGTTTCCCTCTGGCAGGTCCTTTCTTCTTGGCAGGGCTCGGTCCTCTCCTCTCCTACAGCCGATTCATCTGGACTGGGATAGGAACAGCAAGCAACTACTACAACAGAAAATATGGCAGCATGGTCCGAGTCTGGATTAATGGCGAGGAGACCCTCATTCTGAGCAGGCAAGTCTACTGAAATAAACAACTCTGTACATTTACCCATTATCTGATGAATCTGTAGTAAGCCAACGCGTCTTCAGGTCCTCAGCAGTGTATCATGTTCTGAAGAGCGCCCACTACACGGCCAGGTTTGGGAGCAAGAAAGGGCTGGAGTGTGTCGGGATGGAGGGGAGGGGGATCATCTTCAACAGCGATGTCCCGCTCTGGAGTAAAGTGAGGACTTATTTTTCTAAAGGTGAGCAATTACCTTACACAAGAGAGTATGGAGTCAACGTTTTTTGGTGCATTATTTCTCCTCTTTCTTTGAAGAAACATCTACGTATACAAAAAATGTAACCAACGTGGACTTTTCACTCAATTAAAAATGTTTTAAGGGGCCCCATTATGCTCAAAGAGAATTCCAATGGATAAAAGGAAAGCTCTCAACAAACATCAAGTGTCTCTTCTGTCATTTCAAACCCCTGCAGATTAAAGTCTGGCAATCACCACTGTCATTTGTTTTACAGCTCTGACAGGCCCCGGCCTCCAGAGGACGGTGGGGGTCTGTGTGAGCTCCACAGCCAAACACCTGGACCGCCTGCAGGAGATGAGCGACCCCTCCCAACACGTGGACGCTCTCAATCTGCTGAGAGCCGTCGTGGTGGAAATCTCCAACAGGCTGTTCCTCAGGGTGCCGCTCAACGGTCAGCTGCAAATGTATAATACAAACTGTGTATCACCTGCCAGCAAACATATCACATTGTTCTCATGTTTTATTGTCTGCTTATAACTCAGAAAAGGACTTGCTGCAGAAAATCCAAAACTACTTTGAGACCTGGCAAACAGTTCTTATAAAGCCTGATATCTTCTTCAAGATTGGATGGCTGTACAACAAGCACAAGACAGCAGCGTAAAGCCGCACATCACAACAACTTAACATCTGCCTCGTGGTTTCTTCAAGATAATCTCTCTGTTCATTTGTGTGCCAACAGCCAGGAGCTGCAAGATGTGATGGAGAGCCTTCTTGAAGAGAAAAGGAAGATGATAAATGAGTCTGAGAAGTTGGATGATGATCGTGACTTTGCAACAGAGCTGATCTTTGCTCAGGTATGTCTCTTTGAATACATCTATTCCACCAGTCCTATAGTTCCCATCCCATGTGTTTGCTGTGTACCTTCATTTTCTTTTGAACAGAACATCGGAGAGCTTTCAGCGGATAACGTCCGGCAGTGCGTGCTGGAGATGGTGATTGCTGCACCTGACACTCTTTCCATCAGCCTCTTCTTCATGCTGATGCTTCTGAAACAAAACCCAGACGTGGAGCTGAGGATAGTGGAGGAGATGAACACTGTTATAAGTGAGTACATGTGTGCTTCATGAATCTCAGTTTCTCTCCAACGAAACTCTTCCAACAAACCTTTTAATGCTGCTTTTTCATTTCCAGGTCAAAAAGATGAAAACATTGATTATCAAAGCTTGAAAGTGCTGGATAGTTTCATTAATGAGTCTTTGAGGTTTCACCCGGTGGTTGACTTCACGATGAGAAAAGCTCTGGAAGATGACAGCATCGATGGCATTCAAATCCCAAAAGGCACCAACATCATTCTCAACATCGGTCTCATGCACAAGTCTGAATTCTTCCCCAAACCAGAGGAGTTCAGCCTGATGAACTTTGACAAAACAGTAAGTCATCAGAACATTACGTGGCTCTGGAAACAGAGACAAAGCCTCAGTGTTTACCTCTTCTGTTTGGCAGGTTCCCAGTCGCTTCTTCCAACCCTTCGGCTGTGGGCCGCGCTCCTGCGTGGGCAAACACATCGCCATGGTGATGATGAAGGCCATCCTGGTGACCTTGTTGTCTCGTTACACCGTGTGTCCTCGCCGCGGCTGCACGCTGGACAGCATCAGGCAGACCAACAACCTGTCGCAGCAGCCGGTGGAGGACGAGCACGGCCTGGCCATGCGCTTCATCCCCCGGACAGCATGAACCCACACAGGAAGCGGCACCGAGACACATGCAGGGGTTAGATTTGAGGAAAACGACTACAAAGTATGTCAAGTATGAAACTGATACAAAAATATTCCTTGGCCAAAATGTAATAAGTTGTAAAAATGCCACAAACATCAGTAACTTCAAAGTTTGTAATTTTGTTTGGAAGTTACATCAGGTGTTTGTACTACCTTGCCATTATTGACCTTTAGCAAACAAGGTTGGAGGTTTTAGCTGATAGAGCAGAGAAGGCTTGCTTTTCCAGCCCTTGGGATACAGTGTAAAAAAAACATGATGGACATGTATACATAGTTTGTTGTCTTGAGGTCACAAAAAAACAATATAAAAGGCAAAAAAAGAAAACTACATGTGTTGCCAACTTGCTTTTGTGTAATTTGCTTTTCACATTAATCCCAGTTCAAACGGACCTGTTCAGATATACTGTTGTTATGTCGTGTAAATATGTGTTAGTGTGTGTTTTCTTTGGAAGCTCAGAGACGCTGTTGATCTGTTTTTAAAATCTCACCCTTGTTTTGTTTTTCTCTGCTGTTTAAGACTCAAGCACAGGCCAAAAAGAAGGTTTGCAGGGATTACCTGAACCGTTTTCAAAAAAGATGTTTGATTTTTCAAACAGGAGAGCAAACCAAATTGCCAAGATTTCTTTTTGACATCATGGGGAAATGAAATGACACCTGGAAAAAATCATGATTGATTTAAGTGTTATTTAGAACATAGGGAGAGGTGCACTTCCTATCCTGTGCACCTCTCATCAGAGTATTATTAACATATGAAAATATTTTCTTTACTGTAATAATGTCTTTTATTTTTTGCTTCCAGCTAATATGTGTGTATTTAATGAATGAATAACAATTGAGTCATAAAGTTTATTTACATGTGTATTTATTCATAAGTTAGCAGAATGCAGTGACAGGCACAACATTGATTTCCTCTGTACCACAGGCACAAATCAAACACGCCTCCTGGCATTAGATCATAAGGCGTTGGGTTAGAGTTGAGTTTCACACACATCGTTAACTTCATGCCGTGCCTGCAGTCAGGACACAGGCGACAAAGAACTTCACTTCAGGTTGAATCAAATAAAACAGGCTGAGACAAGTCAAATCTCTCACAGCACGATCAAATGAAGGAGCACTATGACTTTTTTCTTTCAGAGAAATTATTATAAAATATTTTCTGTAAGAATATAAATCCAATAAATACGTTTTGAATACTGCATTGATACAAAAATATAATAATCAAAGACCACTAAAAATCCACCTTTCAGCGAAACCCACAGAAACATGAATGCATAGATCACCATATCACGAAGAAGGCAGCGTCTGCAAAACATGAGGGAAAACTGAAACGCTCCTCACATTAACGCACAATATGGACATCGAAGAGTTAAATGATCATTGCTATTTTTAAGACAACACACTCTCTTCATAAATGTAAGAAATACGTGTAACGGCTGCATTCAGTGTCAGCATGATGCAGTCCTTAAGACATAGCGACAAACAGGGATGTAAACATTTTCCTTGTGTTTAAACTTCAGCCATAAGGATGAGCAGTTAGAGTGCTTAAAATGTTCCTATCATGGTTTGATTCCTAACCAGGAAAAATACATACATTTCATTTGGTACTGCTAAAAGATCCTTCCTGTGCTTCTCCTCAAGACACCTTATAAATAACATCAAGCAACCCAATGCATGTGTCCTTGTGTCTCAGTGCTTCACTCGGTATCGCCTGTACGTCTTTTCACTGATTACAAATCACTGTTATGATCGTTCTAGCCTAGAAAATAAAGCAGATTGTATATCAATCATTTTACCAATCAGAAAGCAGGACATGATATTTGAGTATTTAGCATGCAGACCAGCAGCACAACACGTACTGTAGAGATTCATGATTTTCCCTTCATACCAAGAAAATGATACTTATTTCCTCCCTAACAGTGTTTCAACCATAGAAGTATTCAAGTCATCATGTAGCCCTGTCAAACATCTTAAGACATTATTGTTATTCTTCAACATCAAACACCCTAAGTAGCTTAAAAACATAATCTCTTGGCCCTGAGGTTATTATTACCAGCCATGCCTTTCAAATTCTGTAAATAATTACACCAGTTCAACGATTACAAATGAATGCTTCATGGACAAAACGTCGTAGTTGTAGTGGAAGAGATAAACATATGGTTAACACTGTCATATAAAGATGAAATGTTGTCTACCTTCCTCTTCAGTGTTTAGGGTCAGGTGATTGTGTTGCTCAGCAGTGTCAGTGTTTGGGGATGCGGGGGGGGGGGGGGGGTCAGTGCTCCTGTAAGGCTCTCTGACAGAAGTACATCAGGCAGTCGGGCAGGTCGGGGACCGGAGAGCGCAGCCACACGGCCAGAGTCCCGGCGTGCAGGCGACAGTGCATCAAACACGGCTGATCCTGCAGGAGACGGCAAGCTACAATGCCCTCCATGCCTGTAAGGACAATTAAAAAGGTTATTTATTCAGCAACACACATATCAATCATTAGTCAAATACTGTATCACATATGTAGGTCAATTTGTAAGTCAATTTGTAGGTCAGTTTGAGATGCCTTCAAATAATAGAAAACAATTCAACAGGTTATTTTAGAAACAGCAGTTACAAGTGGGAATTTGCAAAGGCTGAGACAACGCATTCATTCACAACTTGATGCATTTTCTCACACACACACAACCTTACAATCATTTGACTTCCATGCCTAATTTCAGCCTCCTATGGCAACAGCTGTGACCAACAAAGAGAGGGAAAATCTTGTTGCCTGGACTGACGGAGCAAGCTATGGAGCTGCCGGTTGCCTCAAGAAATGCTAAATGTGTGTTCACCTATGATTTCCACGACATGAAGCTGGAGTTTCTTCTTCAGCACACTCAGAGAAGCTGCGAGAGGTTCAGGGTCGTCACTGATCAGCGTCAGGTTCTGCTTTGTGTCGTGAGAGAAGTCTAGCCACATCGTCCCGTACTCCTCTGTGGACAGGGTCAATGGTCTGAAGAAAACATTTGAAATAACAGTCAGCAACTAACCGTCTCTGCACAGACACTGGGAGAAAAGAAAAAAAGAATCACCTGATGAAGCTGGAGAGAGGCAGTTTGTACGAGAACTGCACCGACTGAGGCGTCCCGACAGGAAACTGGTAAGAAACCGTCCCGACCAGTTCAACGTGGACTGAAGGTCTCTTCACAGACAGGGAGTACTGACACACTGCTACACTGTGGCCCCTCGCCCCCCCCACTGCACCGTCACACTCACAGGACACCTGAAACACACTGCCATTTAATATAATAATAATAATAATAATAATAATAATAATAATAATAATAATAGCAAAGTTGTATCTGTTTGGACTTTTCCTACACAGGGTGCAGCTTAAAGTGCTCAAAGTGGATAAAATAAGCGAGAGAATAAATAAGATAAAATAATAATAATTAAATAAAAGCAACACAGAAATGAGACAGAATTAATAAATACAATAAAAACTAAAAGTAATAAATAAAAAAATACAACTTTTAAAAAAGAGAAATAGATGTGGGATGTTACTAATTAAAAGCGTAGTTAAAAAAGTAGGTTTTAAACTGAAGTTAAAAAAATGTTGACTCATTTTTCTTGGTAAGGTGTTTTTAAGTTTGGGAAAATAGTCAATAAAAGCTTCTTCCCAAATGTTATTTTGAGGGACTTTTGGAATATAAAAAATATATATATGAAAGGCTGATAACTATAAGGCTAAAAGGTAATGTGCTCCATAATTACTGTACCTCAAGTTCATCCGAGTCCAGCTCCAGTAGAATCTGTTGGATGTCAGAGTCAGAGGAGTTGTAGATAAAAACCACCAGCACTAAATCACCCTCTTTCTGCACGTGACAGGCGGAGAGATCCAGGCTTTGGTCGGAGCTCAGAGGAGTGATTTCTGAGTGAGAGAGTCCAGAGAGTTCTGCAGGAAGATAAGAACTGAGCAACAAGTCTTTAGGTGGCTCTTCATGTGGAGCCGGATCAGCTGCAACCAGAGCGTCATCCCCAATGAGAGAGGGGCTGCTTCCCTTCACGTCACTGTCAGGCAGCTCTTCATCACAGGAGCCGTTAGCAGCAGCGAGGCCCTGAGAGAGGGGGGGCGTCTGTTCCAGAGGAGAAACGTCCGGCTCGGAGGTGATGTGGGAGTCCAGGAGGTTGTTACACATCAGGGTATCCACTGTGATCGGAGGAGAGACCAGGGAGTTGGATATGTTCTCGCTGGCACCAGAGGATGAGGCGGGACTTCTGGCTTTTCTTCTGAAGCGCTGGGGTGTCGGCTCAGATTTCCCCATCTGTTATAAAGAAGATGTTATAACAGATGCACTTTCAGAAATACAGTGCAGGATTTTTGGTCTGATATGATGAAAAGATTCACTATATTTGCAAAGGGCTTCAATATCACAGCAGAGTGGGAAATAGAGCTGAAGCAATGAAATTATAAAAAAAATTGTAACTGAATATCTTCAGTAATTTTATGGCTCCAGCATCTCTGATATGAGGATTGTGTTTTTTTTTGTATTATGTTAGATTTTGGAAAAACCATTTAAAGATGTCAGCTTTTCTTGACATTTTATATATGAAAAAATGTCTGATTTAATTGAGGAAATTAATGGCGGATAAATAAATAATAAAATCATTAGTTTGTAAAACATGAATCCTGCATCCCCCTAAATCTAGAATTCTGTGAAGTTGCATTAAGCACCAGATTCTTATGTCACATGTCTGCTGCTGCTTCACAGTAAATGTCTCCAAGTTGCCAAATGAAGACACATAAGTCTTCATTTGATCCGACACTAGAATTATAATATCAGACAAATGTGTGCATTCCCACTTAAACTGAAAAATATAAGAATCCAACATCTCACCAAACACACAGAGCTGTGGGAGCCGAGGCCCACAAACAGCGACGAGGCCAGCTGCTGTTTCTCTAGCTCGGGCTCGGGGGTGGGGGTGTGAGTGGGGGTCTGGCTGTGTGACCCGTCAGCCCCTCCCTGCTGGCTGGGGGACCGGAGGGTACTGGGGACCTCCACGTGGGCTGACACCTCCGCAGGTTCCCTCTGCGCCAGGTAGCCCTCCCTCCCCCACACCCGCTTCACACCATCCAGCTTCAGACTAGAGGAGCTGGTACAGAAATCAAAGTATGAGCATTAGACCAGTCGTGCATTTGTGTGTAAGCTTTTGTTGCGTGTGAGTCTACATACCCTCCTTTGTGAGAGAGGTCATTGCTATTGCCCGACAGCCCGGAGCTGATGGACAGCAGCGTGGGAGACTGTCTGTCTGTGATGCTGCAGGAGGACATGCTGAGGGGCAGGGACAGGCCGTATGGCTCCAGGCTCAGCGCTGAGGAGGACAACACAGTCAGCACAAATAAAAACAAATCTGCCACAATCTGAAGCTCAGTGTCTCACCTTTGGCCTGAGCTAGTTCCTCCTGCCGTTGGTGCGGAGGCTTGTATGGAGCAGCGCCAGCAGCCAACGCCTCTGACACAAACCCATCCAGAAATGAAAGAGAGGAATCCACCTGGAAAACAACACCAACATTATGTTAGGGATAGGGATCCTGAGATCATTCTGAAGAGTTCTGCAGGACTAAAGAAGTTACGTGTGCTTGCAAATCAATATCTTATCAACTCTTAGTTGTGCAACAAAAGACCACAAAATGACTAGAGGAAGCATCTTAAATCGTATTAAGAATATTATTATTGTTCTCTACTTCCATCCGATACTGAATGCAGTTCAATCGAAACCCATCAGACTACTTAAAACATGCCTAAACAGCCGCTTTGATTTCAACTGAAAGGATGATGAAAACAATTATTAATGTAATTAGCTGGTTGTCATGGCGGGCAAGTGCATGCAAGTCCTGTTTCCCCTAACATCAGATAATGAGCACTTAACTCTGCCAGAGAGAATGAACTACAAAGAAACATCATACTCTGTGGTTACAAGAAATACAACTTTTACGATGTTTTTCTTTCCACAAGTTTCAACAGGAGCAGATACAGTGTTTTGATGCAACCTGGTTCTAGGAATACTGATGGAAAACAACATCACATTGATAAATGCCCTACAATTGAACATCATTATTGTAGTTCTGCAGCCCCATGTTACCTCCAGGGGCTCCAGGCCGGTGTGTCGGGGTAACACCTGGGCTCGTAGCTCCGGGTCCTGGCTGAGGTGCTGCAGCTCCTGGGCCCTCTGCCTCAGCACCGTGTCCAGAGAGCTGCTGTATGTCTCAGAGACCCCCCGGGCCACAGAGACACCGGCCCCCCCCTCACAGAGCTTAGTCATGGCCATGAGGACCCAGCTCTTAGTCTCACTGCTGGTGGTCTTCATGTCCAACAGCTTGGCCAGCAGCCTCAGGACTGTGTCCATTTCAAGGTCCGCTCTCAAACAGGAGTATTCCCCAAGGACCTGTGCATGGCAGAGGGGGGGGGGGGCAAACCTTTAGTGTATTAATCAGTCAATGTGGAAGGAAAGGGTAAAAAGTAGTATTGTTGGTGATTGTTTTAAGTTTTAACTGTGACTTTGTGTATTCTTGTGTCATTCCTGTGAAAATGAGTTCCTTGGTCTCAATTTTAACACTTAAAAGTATGCTTATGATCTTGCTGGACATGTTTGAAACTCTTGGTCTGGCTCTTGTCTTGTAAGACTTCTTAAGAGCCCGTGAGCTTCCTGAAATCTTGACTGATCATCCACCAGGAGACACACCAGCATGACTCTGCTTTTATCGTCTGGGGCCTAAAACTATGATATTAATTCCCTATCTGAGTAACTTAGGCCACTAACTATTTAAGATATTTTAGAGAACTTCCACGTTTAAATTATATGGTTTCTCTAAGGCAGTGCTTCTCAAAGTGTGGTCCGCGGACAACATTTCACATTTGAAATAAATAAATACATTTAAGTTTTCTGCACTCTCGTGGAAATATCTCCGCAATGGAGCGAGCTTAAGTTTCACTTTCGATTGCATGATATAGCCCAGCGCAACACCTTCATCACACATGCTGCCACTTGTTTGTACCATTTTCAGGCTATTTGTAATCTGTTCTAGAAAAACGATGTGATTTTAGATATTTGTGGAGTTAGGTGGTCCGCGAGTGTTTTTGTATTGGTTAAGTGGTCCTTGGTATGAAAAAGTTTGAGAAACACTGCTCTAAGGGGATTGCAGTATAACATTTATTTTTTATTTTACTGCATTTTATTCTAAACTGTCTGAAAACCTAATTCCTCCTGGGGACCAAAAAGTCTTCCTGTTCTGATTCTGTATGTTATCTTCTTTTAAATGCCTGCATATTGTGAAGTTATAAGTAGAGTATGAATTAAACCAGACCCTTATGGTTACGCTGCTTTTTGTTCTTCTTTTTATCATTTCAGAACATTTATACAGACTGCTCTTTGTGCAACCAGCACTCACCCAGCTGATGACTTGGAGGAAGCGCTGAGGCAGTTTGCCAGGCTCTCCTTGCAGCAGAGAAACATACGAATCCACAGCAAACAGCCTCAACTTCCTGTCTTCCTCCACGCTGTCAAACCCTGGGTCATTAGAGGAAACCATTGCATTACAAAATGATAATAAACGTCGGTATCAAATGACTGAACTGAAACAGAACAACAAACACACAATAAGTGTTGGGGTATCTCACCCTCAGACAGCAGTTTCAGGAAACTGTTGGGGATGTCCGGCTGCATCGTGTCTCCTCCCACTGAAAACACCGTGCTCATGGTCTCAATGAACCACTCATTGTCCGGTGCATATGTATAACGGTTCATAGGAAAACATTAACACAATAAATACGAACAAGCAAGGGATAAATAATGATTAACAGAGTTTGTAACCCTCTCTATTTGAAAAACCAAAAGGTTTGTTTGTCAAGATCGTGAGCTTCCAATTGTCTGAAACAATACTGTATGTTGGTTGGAATAGGCCTGATTAATTGCCTCTTTGTTCTGAGTTGAGGTACATTAGGAACCTTATCTTTTAGGAAAGTTACTTTTCTCCACGATGAAGTTATACAATGCAAAATGTGCTTCTTGAATCAGAAAAGCAATTCCAGTTGGAGGCTCTTATTTCAACAAGTATAGCAGCGTCGTTATGTGACTGGTGTACTTCACAATTTTCTTTCCATTTTCTGGGAGCAGTGGGCCACCAAAAGATAAAAATACATGTATTAAAGGATATTTTTCCGCCAGTTCTGCCACCTTCCCCACCAGGTCAATGGTGGTGTAGTCGTCTTTGTTGATGCGCAGAAACTCCAGCATCTTATCCACGATGACTGTGACATTCTGGGCGTTGGTGATCCGAAAGAGTAACTCCAGAGTCTACAAGAGAACAGAACAAGAACTATAATGCTGCAAGCCCGCCATACTAAGACACCTAAATCCAGACTCCAGCAGTATCTGCCTCACCTCACGCTTGATGATGAGGTCGGGGTGATCGAGACACTCGATGATGGTCATCTGATGCTGCAGGGCCAGTTTGGGATCCTGCTGGACCACGTAGGTGAGGGCCTTCAAGCCTACAGAAGCAATTCAGAAAACAGTTACTACAGTGTACATCTGAAATCCTGATTGTTGGAGAAACACATCATTTTAATCTTACCGAGATATTTGAGATTAATCTTCGGTGACAGAACAAAGTTGCCAATGCACTTTGCAGCTTTTTCCAAAAGTTCCGATTTGGGATGAATTGTGTAAATACATTTTACACACTCAAATAATATTGCTGTAAATATAAACAGATTTCAACAAGTCATTAAAGACATTACTGAAATTATTTCACACAACCAAATGTACCAAAGCAGTATTTGAAATGTCACATACCATAGGTGATGTTATGATTAATCTCTGCTCTTCGCAAAGACTCGTCGAGGACTTCATACATGATCTCACTTGTACTGTCAAAATAATAACAGACTCAAAACATGTACTTGCAAGCATTTGAGCACAAAAACATCAAGGCATAACCCGCAGATTCTTGGGCAGAAAATAATGAATATTTACCTCTGGTCATTCTTCCCAAGTAAGCACAGTATTCTGAGGAGCTGAATTTGCAGCCATGGAGCAGGAACACTGTGATAGTTAAAATCCATGGGCAGTTTTCCTCCCACCACTTGCTTCAGTATGGTGACAAAACTTGTCGTCAGGTCCTTATAACCTTCTGGATTCTCCTGTAAGAAAAATAAAAAACCAGTGATGAAACTGTCATCAGTAAATCAAAACAGAAATTCCAGAGTCTAGAAAAATGTATTACCTCGATCAGCTGTAAGTAGATGTGTAGTGAAGCCGTCATGACGCCGGGATCCTTGTCACACAGAGCTTTGCGAAACTTGTTGTGGATGTGTTGAACTTGATTCGGTGCTATTAAGTAGAATTTATACAGTGCCAGGACTGCTTTTCTTCGAATGATTTCCCTTCAAAAAGTTAGAAGAAACCCTTACAATCAAAAGATTTAGGCAGATTTTTCATGTTGTAGTTGAACACATATTGGTATCTACATAGACTTGAAAGTCAACGAGCATTTCTTACTTTGGGTGATTTAGTTTCTCCTCCACCAGAGGAAGGATTGCAGGAATCATATCTTTGGGAAACATCTGGCTGACAACAGTTAGAGCCATGCACACTTCAATGAGGTTTGTGCTCTGAAGATCCTGGAAACACAAAATACATCAACACCTTGTGGAAACACAGCAGATAACACATGCTGTAATACCAAACACCTACCTTTAATACAGTGTTCACAAGAAGAAGAAGCAGCTCATGGCTTTCATTCAGAAACAAAGACACAGCGAGATAACCTAAAAGTCAGACGCATAGAATTATCTTTCTGCCTAAAGCACTATAGGAAGAAGCAATGAACTATGGTCAAAAAAAGGTTTAAAAGTGATACTTATTTAACTTAAAAAAATGCTATTCATGAGATTTAGTCAGTATTGCAAAAACATGAATGAGTAATAATGTCAAAAGAACATACCGACTCTTTTCTCCAGAGCAGTGCCTTGTTGAGCCAGTTTGATGGCATGAATATAGCTGAACGAAGCCTCATAGCCGAGCATTTCACAGTAGATCGCTCTCACCATGAGCTCCTTCATCTGCCTCTGAATCAGATTATGACACAAGGAAGAAGTGAACAAAAATATCTATCATTTTAGACATCAATGGACCTATTTCAATTATTTGTGACCAAATAAAATTGGAAAAAGAGGAGATTTGTACCATGGATGTGTTGGGGGAGGAAACTTGTTCTTTGATGGATGTTAGCTCACGTTGAATCAGTTTTTCCTCCTCCTGTAAAAGGAGTAACACAATTATTATCACATACAGAGAAAATGCTTGTTTATGTTGATAAACGATGACATACTTCAGCTGATGAACTACATATCAGAATCTCAAAAGTATTAAACAACTTTTGTGGTGACGTTATTAAGTCAGATATTATTTGGTGATGTTATCTCTGACATAGTCTGATCTGTATTTAAAAAATATTTAAAAATAAAGTTGTTAATAAATCAACCAAAACAAATACAAAAACCGTTTTCTTTACCATAGCATGGCCTAGTTACTAGTACGTTATGCTAGTGTACAATGAAAGACAAGTTCTAGTGACTTAAGCGATAGACAATGCTTCAAAGTGAACATTAGTTATTATGTCTAGTTAATAACATTGACTGTGTAACTCATTCCTGATTGGTGCGTTCAGGTGTGTGTGGGAAACTACAAAACCAAGGACTTTAGAATAACAACAGCAGCAACACTTTTTAATAACGTTCATATTTTCCTTCAGGATTAACTTTTCTGCAACCCAGTGTGTGAATGCAAAGCATAGTGGCAGCTGACTCTTAACACACTTAATATATCTGGGTTTATAACAAGCTTATCAACGCACCAGCAATAACAAGTTTTAAAAATAGTCCCAGCTCTGATTTCACCTGTGGTAGCACGTGATAATAACAACAACAGAAAGGTTGTCTATAAATCACTCCAACACGTAAGGAATATAATAGAAACAGAATATAAAAGCCATTCAGTAAGTAGATTAAAACACAAATGCCTCTTTTTTAGTTAGCCCTAAGCTAACGTTAGAGCACATGATCAACAACACACATCTTATTCATCCTAAGCTCCAGTTTTTGGTGAAAGACTCACATGTTTGGAGGTCAGCTCGGTGATCCCTCTGATGAGGTTTCCTAGCTTCGAGCTGGAGGACAGTTTATTGGATCCAGGCAGGGAGTCTAGAGACAGCAGACCCGGCAGAGCTGTCAGGGTTTTCTCCACAACATCGCTCATTTTGTCACCGAGAAGAGGGTCCTGGAAGCAGGTTTGTTTCTTTCTTAATACACTTATTTAATCATCTATCCATCTCAGTAAGAGTTTCGTAAACAGAGTCAGGGAAAGTCTATTGTTAAACAGTTAAAAATATCATAAGAGGTAAAATGCTAGCTTGCAAGTCGGCCATTGTTTTGATTCAGCAGACTGGCCAGTGGCCAAGGCTGGGTGGTGATGTCACTTCCGTTTGTGTTTAGGGAACTTTATTTAAACCTTCAAGGGAGACACAACAGGGAATTGGTAAACTCTTTAACTAATAGATATTAACATGACCTTTCCCGTTCGATTACTTACATTACATAAGTTACCTTACCCATTAAATTGTTTGTTTAAATGTGCAAATGATTAATGCTAATGTAACGTCCGAGGTGCTTACACTAATTTGCATGGATTTCCAGAAAAGAGATCTGAACAGGAGGGATTTTTTGGATATCTCTTTTATTACTTCGTAAATTATCCTGTCATCAACAATACAATAAAAAAAGCATAGACTCAAAAAAGTGTATTAAAAAAAGACACCTTAATGTGTATTTTGGTTCTTATTGTCTGAAAGATGACATGTTATGGAAGCAAAATAGAACAAAAACTCTAAATTAACCAGTGCATTAAACAGAAACAGTGGCTGAAAAGTTAAAATAGATCAGTAGAATAAACTAAAAGAATACAATAAGGTAGAGAACAATAAATACAAAGGGATGATATTCAAAACTCAGTTTATTATGTTTTGTAATACTTTAATAAACAGTCCCTTTATTAACTGTACACTTAACTACAATAAAATAATTACATTAAATATGAAATTACAGCCATTGGACAACTGCATGAGAACATTCTATGAATTTAAACATGTTTTTATATATTAGTATTTAAATATCTAGAGGGCGACCAAAGGTTCAGGGTGTTTGTAGTTACTAAATGTGCACATAGAGCAGGACATAACAGAAGGATGAGAGGTAAACCTTTGAAAATCATAAGGAAGGGAAATCATCAGCATGTATTGTAGGTTTACCTGTAAACATGTGCTTTTTTTAGAATAATATCGGCAGGTGAGTTGCTGTCAAGGCTTCTTGGGCGCACTGGGTGTGGAATTAGATATATTTCCATCTTAAATAAATCACAATTCTTTAATTTTGTTCACAATATATTATAGGCCAATGCTCCTTCATGTCAAATTCTATTCATAACTTATATTGATTCATTTCGACAAGCCAATCTAAACATCCTCACTTCTAATACTCCCATCGCGATACATTTTTGGTCTCAAAACATGTCATAAAAACCCTCAGTGCTTTTCCTACAGATGCGTTTTGTTCCTAGTATCCCATTTTCTTCTACAGACTGCATTCCTCCATTATTTATTGTGTGCAAAAAAACAAATTATTAAATAAGTAATGTCCTTTATGTGGGCACATACAATACATCACTTTATTGTATCACTTCTATCCTAGACTGACGCTAGTCACTACCAATGATATTTTCTGTAATATACATTTTTCATCTTGAGTTTTAAGTACGTCTGTGCAATTTTCTTTTGAAACATACCGTACAAGCGCGTGCCATTTGGATACATTTTCTCTCTGAAATATGTAAATCTACCATGGCCATGAGACTGGAGTATATACAATGCTATTAATATGCCCTATGTGCAACCAAAACTGAGTCTCTATCTCTGTGATTGTACTCTAGCAAACAGAAACGTTGGTGTTTCTCAGTAGGTCTGTCTACCGTTTATTCCTCTTCATCCTCAAGCCCAGATCTGGAAGAATCAACAGAACACAATTAGATTTCTCCCCAGAAATGTCACTACACATTGCAAAGCTGTCGGATCAGATAATATTAATAACGGACGTCTCATACCCGAAGAGTGTGGTCCCAGGAACCTGTGCAGAAGGACGTCCCATCCGGGGAAACACGCAGCGTACTGACGCGGTTCTCATGTCCGAACAGAATAGAGACCCGTGTTCCTTTGAGAACATCCCAAACATTTATGGTGTAGTCGTTATAGCCAGCGAACAGTAGCCGCCCTGAAAGAGTAAAGAATAAACATTAATCATTTTAACTCTAATAAACAAAATAAATCATTTTCTAAGCTGTTTGGTAGATGTTATGAAAGATATGACACATAAAAGAAGAAAACAATTCTATTTAACAATAGGAAACACGGTTCAAAGTAGAAAACCAACAAAATAATGTAAAAAATTGAATTAATTATTTGATTATTATGAAGATGCCATTTATAGAAGTTACCACACTTAGCTCTTACTGAATACCTAATCTTATGTAATATCACCAAACCAGTGTTTATATCTTACCACTGAGAGAGAAATCCACACTGGAGACCCCAAATATGATGCTCTCTTTGGAATAAATCGCCACTTCTCTGTCTGCCCTTAAGTCATACAGGCGGCACTGAAACAAAGGTCAATGTTTTAAAGTTAATAAGATCACTTCAAATGTTTTAAAGTGCACTAAAGTACACAGTAAGTATCTTATACTTACTGTAGCATCATCTGAGCCAGATGCAAATGCATCCCCACTGGGATAGTATCTATTCAAAAAGAAACAGACACTTAAGACCAAATACTTCTGTTTTGATAAGATTTAAATTTAACTGACTTTTAGCGACTCCCAGTGGTGGTATGAATAATAATACTGCATCTTAGAATGAATTAGCTAAAGCATACAATTTAAACCTAAATTGAAAAATGTTTTCTACAAACAAAAACATTGTATATCAGAGCAACTAAAAAAATGTAATTAAAAAATAGCTTTTTACACCTAAAAAGTACCTACCGCACACTATTTATGTCTGATTCATGAGTTTCAAAGGACTGAATACACTGCCCTGAGCGCATGTCCCATACATTGGCCTTCTTATCACAGCCCTGCAACAACAGAGAATAAAGCAGAATATGACCAACTATTTAAAATAATTCAGAAAAGTTTAAATAGTAAGTAGCTGTAGTGAAGGGTTTTCTCACCCCTGAAACAAACGTGTTCCCAGTCTCGGAGGGGGCCAGGTCCAGACAGAGCACGTCTGCTGCGTGTCCATGGAAACTCTGCAACAGCTGACCACTCTCAACATCCCACAATGCACATGTCCCGTCCCCGCTGGACGTCAGGATCTTTAACATAAGCAGAAAATGAGGAGGAAGGAAACTGGCTACTCTGAAGATCAGTAAAAGTCTATGTGGGCTAGCAAAGTGCTATAAATGGATTGTCTTTGTCGTGTTAAACATCATGTGACCAGGACATAAAACCAGGAGCAGCTGTGAATTATTAACAAAGTGGGGGAGCTTCTTCCACTGGAATACTGAAGGCAGTGATTTCTGATTAATTATGAGAGAAATAGGAAGGAAGAAAAGCAGCTGTTTTTGCAAGACATTTTAATTGGTAGAAAACATGTATTATCTTTCCAACTGATATTTCTATAAACATTTGAATTACTAGATGTGTTTTTGTGTTTGATGGATATTCTCACCTGCATGTCTGAGTTGGTGAAGCTGCAGGCTGACAGGTAGTTTGTGTGCATGGCCACCGACTTCTTCTTAGCAGCCAAGTTCTCATTCTTGTCCAGAGACAGAGGATACACTGAGCATTTATTATCCAGGCCCCTGCGAAAAGAAGATAACCCCAGTCAAAAAAAAAGGGAAATCCAGACAGATAATAGTCACATTTGGATCATCACGTGTACGAAGGCACTCACCCACATGCTACAGCACAGCCGGAGGGGGCGTAGGCGCAGGCCATCACCCAGGTGCAGGGCATTGTCACAGCATGCTCCTAATAAATATCAAAAGACACAGCTGCATGAGTCGCGCCGGGACAGTCAGATGAATCAGATCAATTCAAATCAAATCATTACAGCAGAACATGAAGCTTTGGTTACACATTATTGTTGTTGTAGTTTTTCCAGAAGCAAAAATGTTAAATATAATTTACTATCACTATTGTACATTCCAGTTTTTAATGAATTTATAATTAACTTTATTTTCAAAGCTATTTACACACACATATTCGTTAATATGTGCCTGTTGTCTTTTCAGATTTGCAGTTTCTGGACAAAGTCACGTTAAATTAATAGGTGTCACTAATTTAGAGTAAATAATAGTTTATTATAATGTTTAAGAGCTTTATGATTTTTGCTATAACATGCTAATATTCCTATATTTACTGGATGCATACATTGTTATGAAGTTTTTTTCTTTGAATGTCATATTTTACTTCCAAAGTTTTGTTGCATACATTTTTTTCAAATAAATAGATCAGAAAATGAAAAACAATGGTTGACTTTGTGAAAATCCTTTTCTTAAAAATCTCAACATTTTAGTAAAAGGGTTCTGTAATAAAACACAGGTATGTTGAAAAATAGACATTACCTTATTGGTGGTGAAAGCATCCCAAACGATCACTTTCCCATCCTGCAAAGAGATTAGAACAAGATCGATATAAAACAAATTGACTGTAGGCCACATGCAATTCTAAACCAGCTCTCAAACGAACTATTAGAGATTGAAAATATGGACTAATCACTAAAGCATAAAAGTCAGCAGGAGCTTAAAGAGTGTTACAGAGTGTGTTACCTGAGAGGAGCTCACGATCCTCCTCTTGTCCTTACACCAGTCCATACACAGGACTTTGTTCCCATGGCCCTTCAGAGTCCTCCGGGTCTTCATCACAAACTGACCCAGCCCCTCCACCTTCTCTGCCACCTGATGTACTGTAAACACACACAGACACACACAAACACACACACACAGACACAGAATGTACAGTACATTAAACACTGTTTACATCCTGGATTAATTTGTCCAGAAGCAATAATAAGGATTAGGCCAACCATCAAGAGAGCAATATTTTCATCTTTGCATAATCATGTCCTCAAATAGCTCATGTGAGCATCTCATGAAGCAGCATAACAAGAGACTGTTTCTATGATTATTTCCTACAGCTTATTTTACATTTTCCATTAAGGCAAGCTGAGACATGATTGGTCAAAAAGCACAACATAGTAGAAAAGCAGTGGGCTGTAGAATGGGGAAGCAAACAAACAGCCTTCTCAGGTCGCCTGTCAAATATCTCAGGTACCGTCAAGCCTACCAGGTCAATAACAATCAGACACATTAACGCCTCTGTCAAAGTGGGCGTAAACAAATCCAGATAAACAGATTAATAAAGAGATGTTTTTCTGTGATTCGTCCCGTCACACTGAGCGCAGCGGAGACTCGAGGCCTCTCCATTTTCAGCACTCACGCTCGACATCGTGCAGCTTCGCTCTCTCCTCCTCCAGCTTCGACTTCAGCGTCTCCGACTCCGTTTTCAGATGCACGAGAGTCTCGTTCAGCTGTACCTCCTGTGTCGCCATTTCAGGGATGAGAGGGGATCTCATATATTTCCTTTGTGCAGGCAGCGATCGGCAGCGAAAAGGCTTAAAGCAGAGCTAACAGCTGATGCTGCTGTCATGACGTCACAGGGAGAAGATGCTCCTCCGGTTTCCAGATGGAGGAGGAAGAGGAGGAGGAGGAGGAGGGTCCTGCATCCTGGTGATGCTGTTGCTACATCCTCAGCAGCTCCACTATTCTACCACTGAATAATGCATTTAAATAGTTCCGACATGGAAAACCCAATACTGTTTGTTGCTGATTCAAAATCACAGCAGCAGATAAAGGCAAATATGTTTATGGAATCAATTATGCAGCAAACATGTTTTCATATTAAATAGATGTAACAAGAAATGTATCTTTAAAAATATATTATGTTATATACTCTTCTGTTTTAGTTAATTATTTAAAATCTTCCAACATGGAACTCTAGGTTTTTAACATATAAAACCATTTATTTTAATGGAAACATTTATTCAGCTAACATGTTTTAATAGCTGTTACACGAATCTTTAAAGAAATAGATGAACATGTTCTGAAATCCTCTGTTTTGAATTAATTATTTAAATACTGTTTTATTGTTTCCACTTCCTTTCTTTTACACTTTAACAGCGCCTGAAAGCGCTGAGGTCATGTCCTTAGTTGGATCATATGTCAGTATGAGACTTCCTATATTTCAATTTGGCTACTTTGGCTAACCTCATCAGAAAGACTTTAAACAGCATTTAAACCTTTATGTTGGGAAAAGTATTATTAAAGGCTGCTTTTTCTAGATGGATTGAGCTGAATTCAGGTAACAGTGATGTAACATAGAGACACGTACAAATCCTAACACTGAAGAAGCTAAAACCAGGGAATGGCTGGGGTTTTTATTGAGAGAAGATTGAAACACCGAATCAATTAAAAAAAAACAGTTGTAGCTGGTTCATTTTCTGTGGTTTAACTTAATATGAGAATATATGGGTTGCAGTTCGAACAAAATAAATGCTTGAAAAAATAAGAATCTATAGAAAATATATTTCCTTATTGCGAGACATGACTTCTATTACACCTATATGGTGTTTACTGTTTATTTAAAGTGTTTACATATTTATATATACAATGACATACACAGCCATAGGTTGCTGCACTATGAATCAGTCATGAGCAGTGAAAGGTCAGGATCTGTGTCAGATCCTGGAGAGGAAGCCCAGGTGGAGGCTGCTGGGGACCTGCAGCAGCTCCAGGGCCTGCGCGGACGGGCAGAAAGGAAACGTGACCTGGAAACGATAATCTGAGTCCAGCATCAGCTGCGTGGACCCGTCACGATCTTGTAGTAACGACTGCAACAAGGAGCAGATAAGCATATTTAGTGAAGTACAAGTATGGCAAGTCTTTGAAGACATTACACTCTATTTTAAAAAAACTTGCTAAATTGAAAATCACCAAATCAAGCTCACCTGAACTTTTCGGACAAATGACGACGTCACTCTTTTCTCAAAATCATCAATGGGGGTGTAGGAGTTCAGAATCTTGACAATCTGCACATTTGAATGAGAGTATTGTTTCAGTGTGAAGCTGGATTTAGTTATATAACAGAAATACTGCAGGTGTGAAAATGAATGAAGTACCTGAACGGGGTTCAGTTCAGTGCATGTGCCGGTGATCTCCTTGGCGTCCTCGTCGGTGGACTTGTTGACCTGCAGCAGCCAGGCGGCCTGAGACAACGGCTTCAGAGTGTCCATCGCATTCGAGCTCTGCAGCTCCTTCTCCTTCAGCCATTCCTCCAGGTAACTGATGTTACACCTACACAAACAGAGAAGCTATGAAATAATATATTTTTTGTATTTTCTTTTAGGCATTTAATGGCTTTATTAGTACCGCTAAAGATAGACAGGCTGCTGGTCGAATTGAAACCTATATCAGTATTAGTACAAGGGGCATCCTTCTACGCCAGGTGAGCTACTTGTCACCCACTATAACTATTTTGTATCAATGTAACAATACTATTTTATTATCAAAAAACAACCACACACCTGATTTGCATCCCCTTCCTGCAGGAGCACATGTCTTTGCGCAGCATGATGTTGTTGAGGGTGGTCGCTCCCACTTGGTAGAACATTTGTTTGACAGCCTGTTTGATGAGGCGCTGCTCCATGCCATGCTGGCTCATGGTGGATTGGAAGACACTGAGCTGCTGAACGATGGAGGAGATGGTGTGTGTCTCTGAGTCCTCGTAGATGCTGTTCGAACGCTTTCTAAAACCCGTCGGCTTCATGCTGGAAATCCCTTGTAGACTCTCGTGCTCCAGCATACCAGGAACTGTCAGGAGAAAGTAAAGCAGCACATTTAAGGTTGAATACGGTTCACATGTGATAATGACGAACTGATGAGGAAATACCAATTGCAGGAGAGAGGGTCTTCTCCATGATTGAGATGAACTGATGGTAGATTTGAATGGCCAGGTCGCTGAGAATCTGTCTGTGTTCAGACAAATCAAAGTTCTGCAGGCAGTGTTTGTTCTGGCAGGGAGTATTTTCTTTTAGGAACTCCTTTTTTAAAACAGAAAGAAAAAAAGAGAAAGTGAAAATATAATTTCTACTGTACAAGACTTTGTTAACAGACAAAAAAACAACAACAGTGTAACCCGTGTGAGTTCAGTGAAGACAGACCTCCTCCCCGCTGTACTGCTTCAGACAGTTGAGCAGCTGATACATGTTGGAGAGCCAAAAGGACAGCAACTCAAAGTCTTTGTGGTGACTCTGAAATGAAAAAATGTCCTTTAATTAATTTTCAGCAGCCAAACAAATGATTTCTTTCTATATGTGTAGCTGTTTATCCTTTGCACATTATCAATATCACAACATGAATTAATAATACTAAATGAAACAACTGCATACAATCAGGCTAACTAATCTTCGATAGGATTATTAATAACAGTATTTGGATCATAATCATTATTCGTTTAGCAAATCCACAGTCAAGATAAAGGCTAATGAAATTAAACTCAATCTCACCATGATGACTTTTTTGACAGCACCGATGACTCCATTCATGAGAGTCTTGAGTTTGACTTCATCGTTGAGGTAGTCGGCGTGGCGCACGCACATGAAGAGGATGTAAGCCGGCAGCCCGGGGATCATGTTGACCACCACACCTTTGGGCTTCAGATCTATGAGTAGAATGTATCAAGTTGCAGTTCAAATGTATTCCTGCTCTATTAGCATTAGTAGACCAGACAAAGTCACGAAATGAATGTAGAATAATGCAGAGGATGAATACCCAGAATGATGTTTTGAATGAGTCTGGATTCATCCTCTCTCTTGTACTCCAACATGCCGAGGAAGTCTTTGGGGATTGCAGGCGCAGACGTTTGCTTTGCTGTGTGAGAAACATAACAGAGATGAATATGGAGGAGGTGAATCAATTGTATGAAACGTTAGCACAAGCCACAATGCTACCTCTCTGTGATGTTTCAAGGCTTTTCATTTGCTTCTGGAGCTTCTTTATTAATCGGTCTTTCTGGTCGAGCTGCTCCTCAAAGTCCTGAAAGGAAAAGCAGGATTTGTTCAAGTGTTTCGTTCATACAAGACATTCGGACACTTGCATTGTATCACACACCATATTGTCAGCGGTTAACTGTGAAGTCTCCTGTCTCAGTTTGCTCTTGGCCTCGCTCTCCATCTGCAGCTGTCTCTTCAAGTGATCGTTCTCCTCTCCCAGCTCCTCCACTCTGCCTTTGAGCTCCCTCTTCAACTCCTCCAGCTCTTCACTTTTCTCCTCAAAGTGCCTAACGAGCAACAAAATCAGGCCGACTCAGAAATGACCATCACTTCTTTAATCAAGAAACCGACATCAATCTACAGTAAGTATCTTACCTCCGTTGTGAGCTCTCTTCTTGAATCTTCTTTTGAAGCACGTTTGTGATCTCTTCAGTTTTGTCTTTCAGAGTACATTAAAAAAAAATGAACAAAAGAACAAGGAATGTGCAAAAGAGCTTCAAAGTGAAACAGATGTACCTGTTAGTTCTCTGCTCTGCTCCTCTACACGGGCCTCCAAATCTTGTTTTTGTCTCTGAAGCTCTAAAGCCTGAACTTTCAGCTCCGGGATAACCTGTGGATGACGTTAAATAAAGCACAAATGACAGCATGTTCCAAAAACCCATCTATACCAAGAAAGTAAATGTGGCCAAGAAGGCAATTACGCACTGAGTTCTCGCTGCTGAGCCTGGACAGTTCTTGGCGAATGTTCTCGTTGACGTTACTTTTCTCCTGGAACAGGTTTTGCAACTTGCTGTTCTCATTTTCAAGGTGGTCCACTTTCAATTTAAAGCCTTCCACTTGGGTCTCACAGCCCTCCTTCTGCTCCCTCTGGTGGTTTTCCAGGATTCTGCCACAAAAGGTGAAACCATGTCAAACAGGATCAAAGGTAAACAAGTTTGTCAAACAGGCACAAAACTGTTTACACAGACATAAAGTGAGAGGATTGCTACAGTCGTCAGTCAATATAGACCTGGTAGCTTTCTGAAGACCATCAAAGGCTGCCAGCAAATCTTCAACTTCACAGATCTTCTCAGAGTCGTCTGGAGTTAGCCTTCAGAGAAATAATGTGTGAGATTAAAATCCTAAATGAGATATGGAACAACTGTGTGAAATAAAAACCTCAAATATTTGGATTACCCCAAAAGAACGTTCTCTTCAACGATACCACCAAGAAGTTGTCTCGTGATATCGTTCATTTTAGCTGCAAAGAGATATTCAGGGTTCATCACAAGTCTTTATTTATGTATAATGACATACAGGTAAAAGTATGTACCTCTGGCTTGTTCCGACTGCTCTTTCATCTTCCGGTCCATGTTATTTCTCTGGTTCTGCAGGTTGTTGAGATCCTTCCGTAGCTCGGGAATGATTTTGACATGTTTGGTGAGTTGGATGACCTGCTCCTGTAGGTCAGCGTTCACCTGGTCCCCCTCCTCGATCTTTCTCTGCAGGCTGACTCTCTCCTCTTTCAATCTCTTAATCCCCTCTTTCAGAGTTTCCACCTCCTTCTCGTGGTCAATCCTCTGGATCTCAATGTTGTTCTCTGCAACTCTGCTAACAATCAACTCATCACCCAACTTATTCACTTTAACCACAGAGCCACAATGTGCTTTTGCTAAACAAATATTTGATCAGTGCTGTAGAAAAGATGCATTCATGACTCACTTTCTAAACCTTGCTTCATGTTCTTTCTCTTCCTGAAGATTCGTCTTCATATGGTCAAAGCTCTCTGTAAGAGTGTTGAACTAGTTACACATGTGGTACAAACTACAATAAGGATAGCATATATAACAATCATGACTCCTTTTACCTTTGGCTTCTTTGGAAGAAGCGTCAAACTTTTTCTCCAAGTTCTGCTTCTCAAGTTTGAGTGCATCTATTTCCTTCTGAAGCTGTGTTGTTATCTGCTGATAGAATCAAACTGCTTTAAAGGGGCTCCTGAAGTACACTTCATAACCAAACAAAATGCTGCAAATACACCAACTACTGTATTCGATTTCAAGCATCAACTTCATGACTAACCTGGCGAGCATCTTCTTTCACTTTCTTCTCTCTGGCCTCCAAAGACACTTTCTGGTTGGTTGATTTTTCCAGTTGCGCCTCCAGACCGTGCAGCCTGTCCACGGTGTGAGAGTGGGAGTTGGCCAAGCTTGAGAGTCTTTCCATCAGTCCACGGTTCTCTTTGTTCTGGACGGAGACAACTATTTAGATATATCCTCGTCATAAAAGCCACATCTGATAATGATAATAACCTTGGAAGCATCTCTACCTGCTCTTCAATCTTCTTCCTGAGCTGCTGCACCCTGAAGGAGAGCTGGACGTTGATCACCAGCCGACGCATGGTCTGAAAACGCCGCCGTGCCAGCCATGCTCGGGCGTACTTCTGTAAAATCAGGGCTTTCTGCTCCTCCACCATCTGAGAAGAGAGTTAGCAGAGCATGAATCCCATGTGGTTACACTTGGTAATGTCACCATATCAAATACATAATTAATCAACCTCTCTCTGACCTTTTTGTAGCGTTTACGGGCAATCCAGCCTCGTGTGAAGGACTGGATGGTGACGGTGGCCACACGGACTAAATGGAAGATCTGTCTCATGCGGTAACCTCTCCAGCACCTCTGGATCACCAGCGCTGCCCAGCCCTGCTTCAGAGCCGCAGCAGTCACTGTTTTACTGCAAAAACAAGTGGATGTTCATGTCATAAACCTGACATACACAACAGGGCATGCAGGAAGAAATAACTGTAGGCCTCTAACCGGATTGTCTTTGTTCCCCGGATGTACTGTTGCAGGATGATGGCCGCCTCTCTCATGCGCAGGAACTTCCTCCTCTTGCTCCACCCGCGGACGTGTTTCTGCAGGGTCACACAGGCTCCTCTCAGCCGGTCCAGACGCAGCTTCTCCAGATAAGCTACCTGACCAGCCCGGAAGAAGATCTTTGTCCGACCAAACTTGTACTGGTTGGAGTCCTAGAGATCAAACCACAACAATTATAAACAAACAAGCAGTGCCCAATATTGCATGAGAACGATGCATTTAAATTAAAAGTTTGTTTAACCCTCCTGTTGTCTTCGGGTCAAATCTGACCGATTTACTACTTTCATCAATCATAACTTTTTTGTTTTACATTCGATTGCATTAAGGCTTTATGATATCCTTCACAGTAGACATTTGAACATATACAATTGCTGATCACCACTTTCATTGAATTTTGGATGATTTAGTCAACTTTGTAACACCCATGGTGTTCCCGGTCAAAAATGACCGCCATAAAGAAAAGGAATTAGTAACCATCACACACACAAACACCCATACCCACACACACACATACTCTAGATGTGTTTCCCCCCCCCCCTTATGTGCCCAATCCTCCCATGTGAATCACACCTGACACACACACACACACACACACACACACACACACACACACACACACACACACACACACACACACACACACACACACACACACACACACACACACACACACACACACACACACACACACACACACACACACACACACACACACACACACACACACACACACACACACACACACACACACACACACACACACACACACACACACACACACACACACACACACACACACACACACACACACACACACACACACACACACACACACACACACACACACACACACACACACACACACACACACAACAATTTGACACATTTCCCGCTCTTATGTGCCCATCCCCCCATGTGAATCACACCTGGCACACGCAATACATGTTCAGTGTCTATTCTTTGTATATTTACTGCAGTTTTTCATGTATACCAGTAGTCTGATACAATATTTACAGTTTGAAAGGGTGTTAAATGAAATTTGGTGATGATTAATGGTTTTTGTGTTAATGTAATAGCAGTTCAAACAGGACCGGTCAAATTTGACCGCGAACACCAAAGTAAGGGGGGGAAACGAAGACAATAGGAGGGTTAATGTGGGATGGATCAGTTTGTTTGTGTTATTCTGTGACTTATAATATAAACAAGATATGAACAAGCTAAGTAACAGAGGCAGCGATAGACCAGCATCCCCTGTGGTCTGCATGGTTGCAAATGTCCCCTCTGTGGGACTAATAAAGGGATTCTGTTTCTGATAATAACTGTTTTTTCACAATGGATTCTGCTGGCAAGGGGAGTTGATTATATAACGGTGGCAGTTTCCCGTTTGCTCCCTCCCGTTGATAGCATTACATTGTTTTACTTCCTTGCCGATACTCTTGCCTGTTTCTCTTGACTATGCATAAGTACCTCATACCGCCCCACTTCAAATAAAGCAAAAAGAACACTTAAAAAGGGGAAAAAGAGGCGTCTAACCTGAATCAACCTCTGCAGCACGTTCTTGCAGGTCTGTTTCTTGTCACTGAGGTCTCCCTCCTGATGTGACATTAGGATACTGTATCGGCTGTAAAACTCAATGTATGTCCACCTGCAGACAAAAAACATGTTTGCCTTTAAAAACATGAGCATTTGGACATATTTCTGGGAGTCTCATATCATTGACAGTCACCTGGAGGGATAGCTCTGTGCACTAATACGAATAGTTTCCAGGACTCCACAGGCTCGCAGCTGCTGCACCACCCTCCTGGAGTCATATCTGGAAAAACAAGCAAACACACGCTTACACCTCAGACACAAACGTGCACAAAGATTTAGGAGAACACACAGTGGATGGTGTCAAACACAGTTTAACCAGCACTCACTCAAATGGGAGCTTTTCGTCATTGGGCTTAATGCAGCGCACATAATGAGGGGTGGTAGCATTCAGTGTTTCCATCAGTAAAGAGAGGGAGCTGCAGAACTATAACAAGGAGAGAGTAGAGAAAGGAAACAATGACCTTGGTAAATACAGAATATTATGGAAACTCCACTAAGGGAGTTTAATCTCCAGTGAGCAGCAACAGTAGGTAAACATGTTCACCTTATCTCCCACTGAGGCTCTCTGCTGTTTATTGGCTGGTTTCACTACGGGTCTGGCGGGCCTCACTTTGACAACTTTCGTGGTCACAGGTTTTTGCTTCTCCTCTTGGAAAAAGTTGGCCACAAAAGGAAACTGAACGCAGTAGAAATGTGATACAATTAGACGAAGAAAGCTGCATTGGTTGGCAATCATGACACAGATACTTAATGACAATTAAAAGCCAAAATAAAACAGGGCCTTTGATTACCTCACTGACTCTCAAAATGTCAACCAGTTCCTCATAGAGAGTGTCTCTGTTCTTTTCTAGAAAGCCTCTGCATTGATATTCCACCTGTTAATGTTCAAACACAGAGATACAAATCAGTCAGGAATCCAAGAGGCTTATTAATGTATAACAGAAGAAGTAACTTTGTTGCTAAATCATGCGTGAAACGGGTTCCTAAGGATTATTGGACTGCACCTTGTCGGCAAAGTGTTGAATCACAAACGCCTCATTTGATAACCTGGGCTTCTCAAACAGAGGGTTGGCATCGAGATATTTGAAGAGCTTTTGCAGCCAGCTTCGATCTGTGCCCTGAGGAAACTGTGGAATAAAATGAAATATGTCAAGGATGCAGAACAAAACAAACATTAATAGTTCAAGTTCTCATCACATCCATTAAATTACCAAACATTCTTCATCAAGCAAGTCCAGGATCCCCATCTTTGCTTCAATCAGGTCAATGACCGGCTGGTTGTCATAGAAATCTATCAACGTCCATGGGATGTCCTCTTTCATGTACTCCTCTTGCTCCAGCTTGAACACGTGCTGATTGAAATGAATAAAGACAAGAGAATGACCCTCTGAGTGGATGAAGGTTTGTATGCAGTGTTTTGCAATGATTTGGGACGAGTGTGAAGTTTACCAAGTTAAACTGCTGCTGAAGCTTCTCATTTGCATAGTTGATACAAAACTGTTCAAAGCTGTTGATGTCAAATGTTTCAAACCTGAGGGCAGAGGACACAAAGATAGCATCAAAAATAGCAACTAAAGTGACCTGAATCATCAAGCAGCTGAAAAAAAAAGTGATGTATCTGAAGTACCCATAAATGTCCAGAACACCAATGAAAGCGTGTTGCTTTCCTGGAACCTGCAGTGCTGTGTTTATCTTGTTGATGATGCAGTCAAACAGGTGGGCATAGATCTGCTTGGCTAGGGCATCTCTGGCGTTTACAGCCCGCTCCTTGGGCACCGGCTTCACCACCGTCTCCGCCACCAGAACAATCCTCCGGTGGCACAGCCAGCGAGCCAAACCCTCTGCACTCACACCCAGCAACTCACAGAAGACTGCCAGGTGTGGATCGCTGGGCTGGAAGATATGGAAACCATATTTTAAGATCTCACCTCATAAACAAAACGCATAGCTGAAGTAGTTGGGACTCACTGGAACTGATGATTTTCCATCTCCAGAGTTTTTGATTTCCAAATTCCCCAAATGCAGAACTGCTGCCAACACTTTGAACACATCTGACTGAAAGTCCTCCATCAATCCTGGAGAGGCAGAGAGAGCAAGGTTACATAAGCCACACTAAAAGCCAGTTACAGTCTGACAGATTACGTGTTTTTTTTACCCAGGAGTGAGAAGGTCCGCCGAGTCTCCTCCATGTCTTTCTCATCATCCACACCTTCAATAGTGATCTCACCGCCCATGCAGGTGTACGCAAACTCATCTGCACTCACTGATGACAGGAATTTATAATCATATCATCATACAATCTTATAGTACAGTATTTATACAATGAAAATGTGTATGATTGGACTGTAGAATAAACCCTCAGGACAGACACTCACACAGTTTTAGATTCTTGAACTCAGGCAGGTGAGCACAGGAACACATCTGGTAGAAGATGTGATAGTTTCGCTCGTTGTCTGCCTGAATAACAAAGGTATTATTGTTATGGATCGGATATATACTATAAAGAATGTGCTAACAACATCTTTCATCTTATACACTACCTGAAAAACGACTCTGGATTTCTCTAAGAGATAGGTCCTCATGTTCGCTCCAATGATCCGGTACCGCCTGTCAAAGCCGATCTCTGTGTATTTCCCAAAACGGCTGCTGTTGTCATTCCTGGTGGTCTTTGCATTTCCTATTGCCTGAGAGAAAATCACCTCAGGTCATCAGGTCTCTTTTGAAGTTTTCACAAGGATATAAATTATCTTAAATCTAGCTCACCACAAGTTGTCTTAAAAAGTGCTAAATATACATTTTTCGTTGTCAGAGTACTGAAACATTGCCCATTTATCAACCTTTCCCAACTTAATAAGCTATTGTTAGCTCTGTTCAAATAAAAAATAAATAATGCCATCTTTTAAAGCACTGTGAGCTGTACTTTTAGTATAAAAAGTTCTGTACATATAAAGTCATTACTATTGTTTATTGGAGATTTTACTAAAACATACCTCTGTTATCGGATTGGATGCCAGAACTTTGTCTTCAACTCGAGTCTTACTTCCAGATTTGCTTACAACAGCAAAGTACCTCATAGCGTACCGAGCAGACACTGTTTTCCCGGCTCCAGATTCACCACTGACGATGATGGACTGGTTCTTGTGGTTTCTGATAATACAAAAAAAATATACAACTATAACTAGACTGTATATCCTACTTTATGATCAAACCAGCTTTTATTTACCTGGCCATCTGTTTGTATGCTTCCTCTGCTACTGCAAATATGTGAGGGTCCATGTCTCCCATGTTCTGGCCTGAGTAGGCATGAATGATTGCATCTCCATAGATATGAAGCTGTTTGTAAGGATTTACAGCTACCAGTATAATACCTGAAAATGAGGAAACAGTAAACTGAGCCAGGAGCACACACAGTAGTGCTTATATAAAGTGTGCCAGTGAAAGGAGACAGTACCACAGTAGGTGTAGATGATTTTGGACTCCACAAAGCGCACTTTAAGGTTGTGCAGGACTGCAGGTTCATGCAGGTAGCTGAGAGCCGTGAGGTCGTTCTCCCCCACCAAGATGTCCGGGTTGCGAAGAGGAGGGAGTTGTGGTTTTGCCGGGTCAACAGGGTAGTGGTTCTCCTGTACAGAGATTATGTAAAGTCAGCTGTCACTTCCCACCATCATAAATCCATTGCAGTTGCATGTGTATGTTTTATTAGTCACGTTTTACTTACAGTGCCATCTTCAAGAAGCAAGTCAAGAACATTATCTCCAAGATGAAAGTCTCTCAGAATCTCAGCTGATCTCCACACATGACCTGCGTCTGGTATCCACACTCTGTTGTACTGGAACGTTTTAAAAGTTACAATTTAAAAATAACAAATAACACTGTAAATGTAATGATATTCCCTGTATGAACATATATGAAGTACTTTAATGTACTTCTCATTCATACATTCAGTACAGTTTATATCTATATTAACAAGTAAAAAGATTCAGGTGACATTTAAAAAGTTAAGTAAAACAGTTATATGAGAATATAAGTCCAGCTTCCTCATAGTTATATCTCTGCAACCTGCCAGAGCCCTGAGAAAGTTTCCATATGTTTTTGTGAAACTACATTAAGGTATTATTTTCTCTATAGTATCACAGACATGTAACTTTTCTCTTACCTCGGTGTAGAGTTCCAACAGAGCCATGTTTAATCATTATTGTCTTAGCCTCTTTTGTCAGTATATTTATGTATCAGCTGTTGTATCATTGTACTTTCCAGGTTACCAACTCACTCCCTCCCCCTCACAGGTTCACAACTATGCGAGAATCACCAGAGTCAAGAGAGATATATTTACTTAGCTTACCCGGTTGTAACTTTCAAAATAATGCTCAATGAACATACCAGAATATTTTATTTGAAATTCAGTATAAATTGTATTTCACTATTAAGGCATACTTTGTTTTTTAAATGGCATAAACATTTATGGCTGTCTGACAGGTTCAATTAGGCTATGTGTATTTGTAATATTGGGTATTTTTTGCATTTACTTTGGAATTTAAAGGTGGGGTATGTAATTTATTTCAGAAACACTTTTTGTTATATTCCATGAAATGGGCCCTCATCTATTTGGACCTCTGAAAGTAGACATTGCTTCATTTTGAGAGGTAAAAAGTGAACATTATTGAGGCTGCTATAACATTAATAATCTCAGTGACAAACCTGATGCTTTTATTTTGAAGGCCTCGTCCCTCCTCCTGCAGTTGTTTCTCTTCCTGTTTGACAGTCGCTCACCTGCTGCGGACTTTGACTGAAGACTCCGCCCTCTCGTCTTGTGACACCTGATTGAGTGGGAGTGTTTCTTCAAGGATTCTGACAATAGAAACCGGATGCTGATCCTCTGTCAGCTCACCATGAGGATGCACTTCAGCCACTGCTTGACCACAAGGACTTGAGCAAAGAATTAAAAATATGACATGATTATGATACGAGTTTTACAATAGCACTGCACTTGTTGAGGAAACAGTGGGAATGCCAGGGTTGTAACTTCTACATACAAGGAAACACATTCCTGGTGTGCACAGTCTGAAGCTTTTAAAAGATGGATTAATCAGTTATGAACTTTTAGGTATTCACAAACACAGAGCTATGATGAACAAGGAAAAAATGACATGCTCTTGCTGCATGTACGGTCCAGATATCACTTTAGACTGGGAGAAAAGAGTTACACTACACTGCATATACATTTTCTAGATCCTACATCCCCAAACAGTTTCCTCTAAAAAAAAAAGTGGATTCAAGCTTCTTTTGACAAATAGATGAGGATTAGAGTGTACATACAGTATTTACCATTGTATACCTGATAACACGACTGATCATTACAACAGTGAGTGTGTTAGTGTCAACAAAGACAATACTTAAACATCATTTAAACATCATTTAAATATTCTAAAAACTCAATGTGGGACTCCCTGTTGTTTCTTGAACTTCGAACAAACATAAAACCCCACTGAGCTTGAGAAACCAGATCCAAAGCAACTTCTGAAGTAGTGAAACTCTTTGTGTAGTACTGTTAAGCCCTTCAAAACAATCTTTCTGAAAAGCCAGTGTGACGACCCCTGCTTCAAGGTCTCCTGTGGGGTGCATGGCCCTTTAACGTTTCTCCTCTTTTGTGTGACGCCCTGATTGAGGACACCTGGCGGCTGTCGGAGGATTTAAGAGGAGGAGCCGGGGTCCTTCTCAGGTCGACTATTTTCATTTCCTCGGTCCTCGGTCCTCGGTATCACCGGAAGTTGATTTGTCTGCGCCATCTTGAGTAGCGTCCCATGGCTCTTATTTCTGCCGGAGGACCGAGGATCGAGGAGCGATAACCGAGGAACCACCAGACCATCCTCCGGTGAAATCCTCAGATACTCTCCCCGCCCCCTTACTGTGTATCGCTCACTGATTGGACGATGCAGCGCATGCACTGATCTGATGCTTCTTGACATGAGAGCAGAGTTTCCCAGCGGAGTGAAGAAAACACATGAAACTCACGGGACTCACTCCTCAGTTTATACTGTGTTTTGTTTCAATTAATGCATCATTCAGTTACAAATATGTGATATATCTGAACAACAAAGTGGTCAAAAATTATTTTATTCATTTATTGGAAACATTTTCATGATCGCTTTTTCGTTTTACATTTTCATTTATTGTCATTTCCATTCAGTCAGTCATTAAGTGCTATTTAACATGTTAATTTGCTACATATCCACACAAACTAAGTGTGCAATCCAATGAATGTTAATCTAACTGGGTTTTGATAGATAACATATCTCTTTTTCTTCTCTGAATTATTTTATTTCTATTGTGCACTCTAATCAATATTAATCCAACTATTGTTCGTTTATACATTTTAAGAATGGCGTTTATCTTTTTTGAGAATGAGTTCTTATTTTATTTAATGTATTTAGGTCTACAACAGATGATACAAATGTTTGTGTCAGTAAATGTGTACTAACAGAGGCGGGGGTGTTTGTGAAAATAACGGGGACAGAGCTGGCTGCTGTCAGACGATCAGCTGTGCAGCGTCATCACAAACGGACGTCGCTTCACGTGACGCTCCGGAGGAAAGGACGTCCCATTGCTCTTAAAACTCATTTCCCTGCTTCTCGTGGTTTCCTTGCGTCTCTCCATGCTTCCCTGGTGGGAGGGACTAAACGCAGGGAAACGACGCAAGTGAGGGACGCAAGGATTCCATTTAATCGACCTGAGAAGGACCCCCGGAGTCTCGAGCGCTCTCTCCCGCAGAGGACCTGACCACGGAGCAGCCACGTTGCTTAGCCTTTTTTGGCTTTTTCCTTTGTTCTTTGTTTATGACAAACTTTTGTTAATAAATATATTTTTCATACATGTTTTTGTCCTTTCCCACGCTTTTTGTTATGGCCAAGAGCCAGGCCATGACAGATGGGGGCTCGTCCACTTCTTTTACCTGTGATACAGCAACGGATAGGTAAGATTTATGTTGGGAGTTGGTGCGCGTGGATACAGTTTGTTGGGAGCGCGTTTGCAGTGCGGCCGGTTTCTTTGTTTCGGCTCGTTGTGGGAAGGACATTTCAGATTGTTGTTTGGGGACTGATTTGATTACTTTGTGAAGCTTTGATTTGTTTGGTATTATATTTCGGGAGAGAGGTTGCTAGTTGTTCTTAGCCGTGGTCAGCTGTTTGTTTTGGTTTGTTTTTCACTTTTTTCTCTCTCGGGGTTTGTTGGTGCGTTGCAGGTGGAGCAGTGCGGAGTTTTCCCTGGCAGGTTAAGCGGCGGTTCCCTTGGGATTGTTGAGCGGGGTGTGTAGTGTTGCGGAGAAAGTGGTTGAAGCTTTGGCTTGGGAGCATGGCCGTGGTCACAGTAGTGTTGCTAGCTTGCTAGTCATATTTATGTTACAGACAATATTGAGAACTGTGAAATACATATTTTATATTAGTCGTTACAGAAATATATGAAGTTACAGAAATAAAACAGAATCTCATCTTCAGACATTTTAACATTTAAATCGGTTGGCCTTTTCTTTTTTTTTAAGATTTGTCCATCAAAACAGTCCTAGGATACATTCATCTATCCCAACAAACTTGCATGTTTTATGATTTGTCAAATGTCCTTACTTATATCTTATATTAGGAACATTGTGAATACCTGTTTTAGCAATACGAGGCGTGGCAATAGATGACCTTAAAAAAACTTTTCTTGCAGATTCATTCAGTTCTGAGTCTTTGGCTGTGCAGTGCTGAAAAGCTATAACATAGATGCATGTAAACAAAGTCGTGTAGTGCCGAGAGAAGGGAGTCTGAAGCGGTGCATCGAAGGTGCAAATCTGTACTTTACTGAGCAGCAGGAATGTACATGCTGTCTGTCGCAGCACGAGAACAGAAGAGAAAGTGAAAGGGGGAACACACAGTAGGTACACAGTAGGTACCGTCAACACATGTGTCCGTGCGGAAACAATACCCCCAACCTGTAGTTCCATGATTGGATTATGTAACCCCAGTGTATGAAGCAGTGATCACTACACAAGTCTAATTCTGCAGCAGTCCTGCAGTAATCGGTGACATTACAACGTGTAGAGACTTTGGTGTTTTTCCTCTCGTAAACACAATTCAGTCTCAGAGGTTTCTGGTCTAGATGCGGGCGAGGAAGCCCAGATTGAGGCTGGCGGGGATCTGGATGGTCTCCAGAGCCACAGAGGAGGGTGTGAAGGGGAGGGAGACGGAGAAGATCTTCTTGGCGTCCATCAACAAAGTGGATGACTCGTCTCTGTCTTTCAAAAGGTTCTAAAATGTAAAGGAAAAAGCAGATTATAAAAAGCCTTACTTAACATATGACTGAACGTGAAAGAGCCCTGCATTCCTCTACTCACGTTAAGAGTTGTGAGGAACGTGGATGACACTCGCTCTTCAAACTCAATCACTGGAGTGTACAAGGTCAGCAGTTTTACAATCTGCAAAGAGAAACACACAAAGGTCAAATCACTAGCAGCAGATCCTGTCTGCAGATTAAGAAGGCAGAACATGTTCTGATGGAGGACCTGTGCTGTGGTGAGCTTAGAGAGAGGTTGCTAGTTGTTCTTAGCCGTGGTCAGCTGTTTGTTTTGGTTTGTTTTTCACTTTTTTCTCTCGTCGGGGTTTGTTGGTGCGTTGCAGGTGGAGCAGTGCGGAGCGGTGCAGAGTTTTCCCTGGCAGGTTAAGCGGCGGTTCCCTTGGGATTGTTGAGCGGGGTGTGTAGTGTTGCGGAGAAAGTGGTTGAAGCTTTGGCTTGGGAGCATGGCCGTGGTCACAGTAGTGTTGCTAGCTTGCTAGTCGCTTTGCTGGGCCAGCGGTCTCCGGTGCATAAATACCCACCACAAGTAACTGCATGAAGACTAGGGAGGAGATTAGTCAGTGGGATGGTGAGTTAGTGGGGAAACTCCAATCAGAACATTAGTGTTGTTCCACTTTGGACGCATAATAAGTGTGGTGGTATCTGTCCGGTTTGTTTTTGCGTGTGTTCTTTCTCATCTCTCGGTTTAAAGGTCCGGTGTTGTGTTCCGGTGAGGGGTCGTTGGAAGTTAATATGGCTGACGTAGAGGCATTTATTGAAGCTCCGTCTCAGGAGTTGCTTGGTACTTTTTCAAGAGAGCAGCTGCTCTTAATTGCTGAGCATTTCTCTGTGTCTATTGTCGGGGATAGAAGGGTGAAAGACAACATAAAAGACTCTATAGTGTCAACGTTAAGGGAGACGGGAGTTTTTGCTGCAAAGGAAGAGGGGGTTTTGTTAAAACCTCGTTTTCAGGCAAGTGCACTTTCTTTTGAGCAGCAGAGGGAATTGTTGTTGTTGCAGCTGGAACATGACAAAAGGAAGTATGAGTTGGGAATTGAAAAGGAAATCACAGTGGAGCGGATGCGACAAGAATCTGAGAAAGCCAAGATAGAGTTGGAGGGACATCGTCTGGCTATTCTCAGAGATGGCGCGTTGTCCGGTGAGGGGCTGGGTGAACAGGTGACTAGTACCCCATTCACACCAATGGTGTTTCGGGGCCGGTTCGGTGCTGGTGCTTGAAAAGCACCGGGTTTTCCTGTTCACACCGCAGCGGAGCAGCCTCTAAGCTCCGGAATCCGGTTCGTTTCGAGCACCAAAAAGTTGTCCGTGTAGAAGCAAGAATCGCATACGTCACGCTTACGTTGGAGGCGGGGGCAGGGGCGGGATCAACCTCTAACAACAACAAAAAGCCTGCGCGTTATCCAGTTTGTACACAACGATGGAAAACCGAGTTAACAAGCAGCAGTGGTCCACCGAGGAGACTAGCTACCTACTGGGAATCTGGTCTTCGGAAGAGGTACAAAGGAAGCTGGAGGGGAGCACGCGGTCCAAGGCAATTCTACAACAATTGCAGCACGACATGGCAAGCGCTGGGTTTGACCGTACCGTTGAGCAGATTGCCAACAAATTGAAGAAGGTGAAGAAGGATTATCGGGACCAAAAGCGAGACCTCGGACGGAGTGGCAGCGGTCGTCCTAAAGCAAGTCCACATTATGACTTGCTAGACTCGGTCCTCGGAGACAGACCGACCAGTGGTTATGGATCGACGGTGAACTCGCTTTGTCTAGTCGATTATGGTGCAGGTCGAGTCGCTGAATGTGAACCTCATCCAGCCAGTGGGCCGAAACAAACAGGGTAAGGTTTACAGTGATCATTATAGTAATACTGTTCCCTGTTGCCATGTGCATTTATCATGGCATAGTCATTGTAGTAGTTGTTCAAGTTATGCAACTGCAGCCATAATAACAATACAACATTTCATTACACAGTATATAATATACATCTCATAAAATGTCATGAATACTGTGTTGACTTTATTATTTTTCCCTTTGTAGTCAAAAGGAAGCGGGATTCGTCATCTGGCCTTCTGAGTTATATGGAGAAAAGTGACGTGAGGGATGAAAGGCTACTGGAGCAGGGCCAGGCGATGCTTGCGGAGGTGCATACTGCCAATACTGAGTTCCTAAAGGTGTTCAGGAGAATTGAGGAGAACAGCCACTCAATGCTTGGCTTGGTAGACAGGATTGTGAAGGTCATGGAGACCAACAAGAACTGACCTTATTTTTGTATGTAAATAGTTCATCCTTTTTTTGTTCATACCTTTTTTTAACACCCTTTTTTTTCCCACACATTATTATAGTATATAAAGTATATTCTCCACACTTTTTTGGAATAAATCTTGTTTATATACGAATATTGTCCATACTTTTCTTTGATTTGTATATAAAATAAACAAAAGTCCTATGTCTGATATTATAGTTTCATATGATCTTACTTACAATAATCCCCCCATGCACTACACAATAGTCTTGAATTTTCATATATTACATATGCTACATTGTCTTATTTCTTATTTCACTGATATAAAGGCAAACTTATCTCGATGCAAAGTGTAAGCTGCTCTGCTTTTCTTTACATTTAAATTAGTATTATAGATTGAAATTGGACAATTCAAACATGACTTAGCTCATAGCAAACAAATGTAGCTCATAAACTGGATTTCACGTAAACTCTTAACTCTTAACCGATTTTTAAATTTTGGCCCACTGTGTATTTCAGTTAATAATAGTCTAAACCGTTTGGGTATGCACTTTTTCTATAAGAATAGTTAAACCATTTGGGTATGCACTTTTTCTATAAGAATATAGTTAAACCGTTTGGGTATGCACTTTTTCTATAAGAATATTGTTCATACCTGTTTGTATCTTGATTCTGTGATTTGTATACAAAATAAACACAATTCAAGTGTGATCCAGTGATTTTATTGTAAAAAAAAAAAAAAAGAGACATGATAAAAATTGGATCAGGTTTAACTGCAGTAATATCAGTGGTCCTCCATGTTGAAATAGTCCATCAATGCGGATCTAACGTCAGCTCCTTGTCTACCATGTTCTGGACAGGGGTGTAAAGGGGGTTGGTTGTACACAAGACGTTCATGGCAATCTTCAGTGAAGTTGTCGCTATGTTCCTCACACATGTTGTGTAGTACACAGCAAGTCACGGTCATTATTTTGCTGAGCTCCAGCGCGCAGTCGTTCCTTTTTAGGAGGCACCTCCATCTTCCTTTTAGCCTTCCAAAAGCCATCTCAACAACCGACCGTGCACTGCTCAGCCTGTAATTGTAGGTGTGCTGTTCAGGGGTCAGTCTCCCAGTGTCCGAAAATGGTTTCATCAGCCATCTTTGCATTGGATAGGCTGGGTCACCAATCAGGTAATGTCCCACATCACAGCCAGAGATGGCCATTTTGTTTTGGCCTAGCAACACTCCATCACTGATAGCCTCCCAAAGATTGGATTGTTTTAGCACTCTAGCGTACACTACCTGGGTCGCCAACACACACATCCCAGAACATCCCCCTGCCATCAACAACAGCCTGTAGAACAACAGAATGCCATCCTTTTCTGTTATAATAGTCCTTGGGATAATTTTGTGGTGCTAAAATAGGGATGTGGCTTCCATCGATTGCACCAACACACTGTGGTGCTCTCCAGCGGTTGTTGAAAAAAGTGGCCATTTCCACCAACTTCTCCACATCAGGAAATTTGATATGTAGTGGAAGCAGCTTTTCCATGGTTGCCCTGCAGAAATCCTGAACACAGACGCAAACGGTGGTTAGGCCTACCCCGAAAAGATGGCTGATGGTCCTGTATTCACCTCCGGTGGCCAGCTTCCAGAGGGCAATTGCAACCCGTTTTCTATTGGGTATACACAGACGGTAATTTGTGTCTCTTCTCCCCAAAACGCCGCTGACCTGGTTGCAGATGTAGTCAAAGGACACCCTGGACACGCGGAAATTCTGCATGAATTGCAGAGGGGAGAAGTCGGAAGCAATGGTGTCCCACCAGTCGGAAGATCTGGGCTGTGTCCAAATAACACGCGACATCCGCCTTTCCGCCAGCTTCAACATGATCTGTGGAAATAACATTGAGAATCAGTTTTAATGTTATACCATAGTAATGAATGCTGCAAAGCTGGGTATTTTGAGCTTGGCGCATGCAGAGGCTAACAACAGCTAGCTCTAACGCCATCGAATAGGACGTATATTTACCTTCTTTCTCCTAACGAATCGTCGTTGAAGTTGATGATGATGATTGTAAAGAAGTCTTGAATGTAGCATGTAACGACTGTAAAGTTGGTAGTAAAGTCGTCCCATTTCGGCCATTTCGTTTCGACAGAGCAAAACCACAACGAGTAGCGCTTCAATACTATCTGCCATTGTTGTTGTTGTCGATGTGAGGGGTTTCCGCGCGGTTTGGCTTTATGAAGCAGGCACGCAAACGGTTACGTCATGACGCAAACGGTTACGTCATGACGCAAACGATGACGCGATGACGCAGCACCAGTCGGACTCTGGGCAGTGTGAAAAGAGCCGGCGCTAAACCGAAGAACCGGTTCTGAACCAGAAAAGCTCTAGCACGGAGCTAGAAGGGGAAAAGCCTTGATGTGAAAGGGGTATAGGTCTCCTCATCGCTTTGATATTGGTAACCTGCGCTTGCTGCCTCACTTTAATGAAAGTGATCCTGACACGTTTTTTTTGTTATTTGAACGTGTAGCTAGGGCTAGAGAGTGGCCTGATGCGGACTGCGCTTTGATGCTTCAGTGTGTTCTCACAGGAAGAACGCAGTCTGCATATTCCTCCTTATGTCTGGAAGATAGCTCTAGCTATAGTAAAATAAAATCAGCGGTGCTTAGAGCATATGAACTGGTGCCAGAGGCCTATCGACAGCGTTTTAGGTTCTTTGAGCAAAAACAAGATCAAACATATGTGGAGATGGCGAGGGATTTGTCTATTCATTTTAAGTGTTGGTTAACTGCTCTTGAAATCGATTCTTTTGACGATTTGTACGAACTCATGATTTTGGAACAGTTCAAAAATATTCTTCCTGACAAGATTGCTACCTACATAACAGAGCACAAGTTAATTTCCGCGGCTGGAGCTGCTGTGGCAGCTGATGAGTTTGTGTTGCTTCATAAGAGCAGGTTCGGAGGGCGCTCTGGGGCACTAACTGTTTGTGAAGGAAATAGAAGGGATGTTGGGATGGATCCAAGGAAATTTAGTTTGGTAAAACCTGATGTGGATAAAAAAAACTTAACTGCTACCAGAAAAATTACTCAGTGATTGAGAAGGAAGCGTTGTCGCTCATCTGGGCGTTGCAACATTTCAATGTATATGTGGGAGCAGGAGGACCTATTTTGGTTTACACAGATCATAATCCTCTGACGTTTCTCCATTCTATGAAATGTCCTAACCAAAGACTGACGAGGTGGTCTTTGTTTCTCCAGGCTTACAATCTTGATGTTAAGCACATTAGGGGATCGGACAATGTTATTGCTGACGCGCTATCGCGTGCTCCATGGCACTAAGTAGGTGTTGGTTGGACATTGAGGTTTATATATTACCTGTCACACTGTTTTGCTAAATCTTTCTCGCTCTGCCCATCTTTTTAAAGTGTGCTTCCCAGATACCTGTGTTGCTAAAGATGTGGCTGGTTGCTGAAGGCGGAGATTGCAGTGTAAGGTGGTATGAATTTGTGTTTTCGTTGGGGATGGGGTTGGTTCGGTATGCCGGTGGTCCTGGGGACACCGACTTTAAGGGGGGGGGTGTGACGACCCCTGCTTCAAGGTCTCCTGTGGGGTGCATGGCCCTTTAACGTTTCTCCTCTTTTGTGTGACGCCCTGATTGAGGACACCTGGCGGCTGTCGGAGGATTTAAGAGGAGGAGCCGGAGTCTCGAGCGCTCTCTCCCGCAGAGGACCTGACCACGGAGCAGCCACGTTGCTTAGCCTTTTTTGGCTTTTTCCTTTGTTCTTTGTTTATGACAAACTTTTGTTAATAAATATATTTTTCATACATGGTTTTTGTCCTTTCCCACGCTTTTTGTTATGGCCAAGAGCCAGGCCATGACAGATGGGGGCTCGTCCACTTCTTTTACCTGTGATACAGCAACGGATAGGTAAGATTTATGTTGGGAGTTGGTGCGCGTGGATAAAGTTTGTTGGGAGCGCGTTTGCAGTGCGGCCGGTTTCTTTGTTTCGGCTCGTTGTGGGAAGGACATTTCAGATTGTTGTTTGGGGACTGATTTGATTACTTTGTGAAGCTTTGATTTGTTTGGTATTATATTTCGGGAGAGAGGTTGCTAGTTGTTCTTAGCCGTGGTCAGCTGTTTGTTTTGGTTTGTTTTTCACTTTTTTCTCTCGTCGGGGTTTGTTGGTGCGTTGCAGGTGGAGCAGTGCGGAGTTTTCCCTGGCAGGTTAAGCGGCGGTTCCCTTGGGATTGTTGAGCGGGGTGTGTAGTGTTGCGGAGAAAGTGGTTGAAGCTTTGGCTTGGGAGCATGGCCGTGGTCACAGTAGTGTTGCTAGCTTGCTAGTCATATTTATGTTACAGACAATATTGAGAACTGTGAAATACATATTTTATATTAGTCGTTACAGAAATATATGAAGTTACAGAAATAAAACAGAATCTCATCTTCAGACATTTTAACATTTAAATCGGTTGGCCTTTTTTTTTTTAAGATTTGTCCATCAAAACAGTCCTAGGATACATTCATCTATCCCAACAAACTTGCATGTTTTATGATTTGTCAAATGTCCTTACTTATATCTTATATTGGGAACATTGTGAATACCTGTTTTAGCAATACGAGGCGTGGCAATAGATGACCTTAAAAAAACATTTCTTGCAGATTCATTCAGTTCTGAGTCTTTGGCTGTGCAGTGCTGAAAAGCTATAACATAGATGCATGTAAACAAAGTCGTCTAATTCTGCAGCAGTCCTGCAGTAATCAGTGACATTACAACGTGTAGAGACTTTGGTGTTTTTCCTCTCGTAAACACAATTCAGTCTCAGAGGTTTCTGGTCTAGATGCGGGCGAGGAAGCCCAGATTGAGGCTGGCGGGGATCTGGATGGTCTCCAGAGCCACAGAGGAGGGTGTGAAGGGGAGGGAGACGGAGAAGATCTTCTTGGCGTCCATCAACAAAGTGGACGACTCGTCTCTGTCTTTCAAAAGGTTCTAAAATGTAAAGGAAAAAGCAGATTATAAAAAGCCTTACTTAACATATGACTGAACGTGAAAGAGCCCTGCATTCCTCTACTCACGTTAAGAGTTGTGAGGAACGTGGATGACACTCGCTCTTCAAACTCAATCACTGGAGTGTACAAGGTCAGCAGTTTTACAATCTGCAAAGAGAAACACACAAAGGTCAAATCACTAGCAGCAGATCCTGTCTGCAGATTAAGAAGGCAGAACATGTTCTGATGGAGGACCTGTGCTGTGGTGAGCGCGGTGCACATGACGCAGATAGCCTGGGCGTCCTCCTCCGTCTTCTTCTTGATCTGGAGGAGCTGAGCAGCCTGAACCAGCGGCTCCAGAGTCTCCTTGGCTCCGCAGTCGGCCATCTCCCGCTCCGCCAGCCACTCCTCTAACTGCCAGACATTGTACCTGGAGCCAGAGGCATTGGAGACATTTAGACAAAACGGAGGTATTGCAGAGCAAAGTCAAACCTGACATCTGAGCTGTGACACCAGAGTAAGGACATTTCATTGAAGAAATTCTTAAGCATCATTAAATAACTCCTTCCTACTCTTAAAGGTGTTTACCCCATGGTTCTCCAGGAAGCAAGGATTCTGCAAATAACTGTTATCTTTTTACAGCATCTTAGTTGTTGACTCCGCTGTGCATGATGTTTTTGTTCAGCCTAATTTATTAACAACCCCACCATTGGGTGTCTGAGGAACAAGGACCAGCACACCTCAATCTAAACTCTCCCACTTCTCTCGTTGCATTAAATAAACTAACGACAGGCCAATGAGCATTCTGTGCAGTACCTGATCTGCAGGCCTTTACTCCAGGAGCACATTTCCTTCCGCAGCAGCAGGTTGTTGAGTGTGACCGCACAGATGATGTAGAACTGCTGCTTGACCAGCTGTTTGATGAGCTCCAAGTCCATCCCGTGCTGACACATGGTGGTGTAGAAGAGGCCGAGGCGCTGCAGCAGGACCTCCACGGTTACAGCCGCCTCTGAGGAACTGCTGCTCCTCTTCCTCAGGCCGGTGGGTTTGGAGCCCAGAATACCTTGGATGGTTTCGTGCTCCAGCATGCTAGCCACTGCACATAAGAAACAGAACAAATACATGTCATGTGCTTATGGAAAGGAGAAGGAAACATGATGTGTTGTGAGACCTTCTCACCGATCAGGGGCTGCAGGTTGTTCTCTGTGCATTTGATGAGCTGCCGGTAGATTTGGATAGCTAGATCACCAAAGACCTGCTGGTACTCCGACAGCTCAAAGTTGGCGAGGCACTGCTCATTCTGCTTAGGAGTGTTGTGTGTTATGAACACCTATATGAAGAGGATGTACAGACGTCCAGGGTTAAGTAAGGCAAATGTACAGCTGTGAATATATCTGTAGTATAAAGGCTTACCTCGTCTCCACTGTACTGCTTCAGACAGTGCATTAATCGGCATGTGTTGGCCAGCCAGAAAGACACCCTTTCAAAATCATGTCCTTTCCTCTATAGAAGAAGATTACAAATTAATTCAAAATAAAAGCATCCCTTAAGTTTCTTTCCACAAATCAAAAAGGTATATACACCCCACCTTTATGACCCCCTTGATGCTGCTGATGGTGGAATTAAGCAGCGTGCTGACTCTCTGATCGTCATTCACATTGTCTGCATATCGCACGCACATGAAGATGATGTAAGCCGGAAGGCCAGGAATGAAGTTGACCGCTACGCCTCGTGGCTTCAGATCTGAGAAGATTTGAAAGCAAAATTCACAAATGTGTTTTCAATCTTATTTATTTAATATTGTTTACATTACTTTTTATTTATTTTTTCCTTCTTATTTCTTTTCATTCATATTATTTCAGCCCTGGAAATTGCCTTGTAATATTTGTATTGGTGTGCATTTGTGTACTTATACACCTGAACATATGGTGCTTATGTATATTCTGTGTATGTGTGAACATATGAATGTAAAAAAGTCACTTGAAAATAAGTGTTCACAATGTTTATATGCATATATTATTATTATTATTTATTTGTGTACATATATATATTTTTATATATAGTATTTTCCTTTTCAAAAAAGATAGTCAACTGCTATTGACATGTGCAGAAAATGACCCTACATCTAGTTTTCATATATATATATATATATATATATATATATATATATATATATATATATATATATATATATATATATATATATATATATATATATATATATATATATATATATATATATATATGCATTTATTTATTTTTTCCCCAGTTTTCTTTATTTCTTTGTACTCCTTCATTTCTATACGTTTTTGACGCAATAATGCCAATGTTATATTAGGATGATTCACGGGAGGGCTACTTCCCATAAGCTATGCTTCAGCCCTCCCGCTTCTACTAATTTTGTTTATCTTTGTGTGTATGAACTATATATTTTTCTTTTTTGGATGAATTAGTAGAATAAATAAAAAATAAAAAAAATCTGTGAAAAAATGTGTATGTAATTTTAAACCATTCAGAAAATGGTTTCCTTTAACATACCTGAGACCAGATTCTTGAGCAGGCGGCTCTCGTCGCCCCCCCTGTACTCCAACATGCCCCGGTACTCTTTCTCCTTGCGGGTGATATTCACTGCTCTGACAGGAGCAGTCATCACGGCGGTCTTACTCTTTTGCTGTGAACTCGCTAAAAACCAGAGACACATTATAAGAAACCACAGAGGTTATGACGTACAAGTTATTTAGAAAATGCGCTGTATGAGAACAGTCCATGTGAATACCTTCAACATCTTCAACTTTTTGAATATAACATTTGAGATCTCTTTTCAGCTGGCGCATGGTTTGGTTCTGTTGCTCTTGCTTCTTCATGAGTTCCTAAAATGAAGTCAACATAGAGGTTAAGTGTGTGTACGACACTTTAACACGGTGCTCATGCTTATACAAATGTGAAATTAAAACATCTTAAAATTGCCGCATTGTGAATTATTTTTAAAAGTCTTAAATCAAAACACTTCAAAAACATTACATTTCTCTTCTGTATTTGTTTTGCATTTTATTCTTTAGCAATGCAACAAAAACATGTACCTGAAAGAACAGAACATGTCATCTCATTTGAAAAAGAGGAAACAGGTAGACGACCCTTTCAAAGGTACAGATCCAAGATGAGACATCTAACTGTTGACTATGTGGGAACTCTGCTTTGCGATCATATGTGTACACAGTCATGATATGAATGAAAGTGAGTGAGAGATCCAGTCCAGAGTGCACACTCACCAGGTTCTCATCGGTGAGCCGTGTGATCTCGTGCTTCAGACTGGCATCGATACGGGCGCCTTCAGGCAGGAGGAGGCTCTGGACCAGCAGCCTCTGCTGTTGCTCCTTTTCAACCTTCAACCTGCTCACCTCCTCCTGCAACTTCCTGTTCTCCTCGTTGTGAACACGGTGCTGCAGCTGCATCTGGCACTCCACGATCCTGTAAGATAGAGAGATTGTATTTACTTCTATGTGGCATGGACTTGCTTGAATGCAACTACAGGATATTATTTGATTACCTATTGGTCTCTTTCAAGCCTTCATAAGCCAGCCACAGCTCCCCGTCTTCATTCAGTGTGTGGATGTCAGTGGACCTGAGGAACAGAATCAGATCATTTCATTAACAACACTTAACTCTACTACCTGAAGAGTTGAAACTGGAGTGGGGGCCACATCTTACCTGTCCACATCTTGAAATGAGGGAACGTCATTGAGGTCCAAATTCACCCTTTCCCCGAGCGCAGAGTCCTAGAGGTCAGTTGATGCAGGGTAAAGGTTATTTAGGTATTGTCACATGTCTGTTGCATTAAATACAAATATACTAAATAAACAATAAGAACAAAGTCAATGTAATTCACTTTTCACCTTGTATTTGAGAGCTTCTTGGCGGACCATATGTGAGCGGAGGAGCAGCACTTCCTCTTTTCGCATATCCAGCTCCTCATTGGAAGAAGTGAGTTGTTCCAGCAGGATGTTGTAGGACATAGAGCCAGCAGCAGGGGGCGCCATATCACTGTTCTCATTGGTCAGAGAATTCCGCAGCTCATTCAGATCCTGCTTCAACTTCTTGTTGTCAGACTCCAGTTCTTGCCGCTAAGACATTTAGAGAAACAGTCAAACATCCCAAAATGTAGTTTTTTTGTCTCTTTTCACCTTACATTTAGAATAGAAAACAGTTTTCAGGAATACTATTGTGATGGCTCTTTGTGGACATCTTCTTCATGGGATGTTGGAAGAGAGCTATCTACATGTACCTGTGATGTTTTCTGCTTTTACTTCCTGGTAAAGCCAAACTATCTCCATGAACAAGTTGTCAAATAAACTGTTGGCGGATACAGTTCATTTGTATTCAAAGGTAGTTTTATCAACTCTTCAACAACATCGTGACATCCTTACACGTGTGCACGTAACTCTGACAACCAACCTTGTTTCCCATGAGCCCTAGGCTTTCTGTAGTAGCTCTCTGATTGGTTACACCATATGTCTGTCTATTGCTATTAGCCAATACCTTGACACAAGTAAACAAATGGGACATGGTACACCTGGAGTACTGCCATTTTTATCACTATCTCTGACTTTTTATTTTTTATTTTATCTCTCAAATTTGATCAGTGTCCTTTGTTGTGAGGCGCTTCGAGATTTGTCTTGGCAGATGAGAAGCGCTAAATAAATTAAATGTATTATTATTCATTTGTCATTATTAAATGCACATACATACACCTCTTCAAAATATAACTACACCACAACAACCACAATGGAAATAACTCCTGGGACGATATTGTGTTGTCCTGAACTTTGAATAAGTCCTACCTTTAGTGTTTCCAAATCCAGTTCTGCTCGGCCAACAGTTCTCTGCACCTCCACCTCCTTTTAGAAAGAATACACACAAATCCATCAAATATCAAGCCACAAAATGACCACTAGCTTATTGGCGAATAGCAGAATAACACCATTAAGAAACAAGGTTATTTTTTCATTCCATACTTTGGCCTTTTCTTGCTGGGCTTCTTCTCCCTTGTCCAGCTGCTGCCACAGAGAGTGTTTTTCCTGCTCCAGTTCCTTCACTCTTCTCTGGAACTTCAGCAGGACCGGCAAGTCTACCGCTGCCGGGGTCTCCTGCTAACAAAACACGGAAAGCATCGGGTGAGGAATCTCTTCACAAACTAACTACAATGCTGCACTAATAGGATTATAACACAGACAAGAGCAGACAAAGAAAGTCCCACAGCTGTTCCAAGGAATACGTCTCCAGTGTTTTGTAAACAGAAACCTTATAATCTAATTATTCACAGTGATCATTCAGGGCTATTCAATTAGTTTGGAATGGGGGCCGGTTGATGAAAATGATCCAAAGCAAGAGGCCGGGAAAAAGATGGCTTGAAATATGAGCAATCATATTAAGAGCTTCAGATACAGTAAATACTACAACAGCATAGTGGAGTGCAGATATTGTGTTCAACAAACAAAAACATTTGATTACTTTTTAACATTATACTCAAAGGGCCAGTAAATATCACCCCGGGGCCGGATTTGGCCCGCGGGCCGCCCATTGAATAGCCCTGATTTATACCAAACATTGTGACTGACACGTCATGTCAGTAAAGCAGTTTTCTGTAGATAACACCAATTTGTCCATTGTGAAAACTGGAATGTGTTGTAACTGTGTTCATACCACAGCTGATATATAGCGTTTAGCTCTCAGGGGGGAGCTTTGGACACTCAAACATTTACATTGTATTTCTATCAACATCATTCTGATACTGTGTCTGACATTGTGTAGTTTTCAACATTACCTCTGGTGTGATTGGGCTGTCCTCTCCCTCAGTGGAGCCTAAGCTCTGACCGAACCCAGATGAGTTGCTGCTGTAGTTGGAGTCTGGCCTGGTGTGACTAAATTTGCTCGAACTCTGGTTAAGTATTTAAACAAATTAAAAAAACGTTAAGAAGCATAAGATAGTCAGACACTATTATGTTTTTTCATGACTACTGAACTCTTAAATTAAGGGATTCAATTGTGTGAGACCAATATGAAATTGCCATGTTGATTAAATCCATAGACCAACTATTGTTGTAATGTCAACAATGTGGCAGCAAATGAAGAGTTCCTCACAATGCTGAGGTTCAGCTCCTCCGTCAGGTCTCGGTGCCGCTCCTCCAGATCCAGGTGTTCGCTCAGCAGACTTTGGTAGCGAGAGCGCTCTTCAGTTAGGTCCTTCTCCAGCTGGTCTGCATTCTCAACGTTGGTTTTGATTTCTGAAACCAAACAGTTGTATTCATCCATTCATTGTTAATGCAGCCGTTACTGAGAGTACGAGGATGGTTGAGGTAAACTGCTCAGTACCTGTTAGCTGATTGGTTTGTTCCAGGAGTATTTGGTTCAGTTCATCTTTCTCGCTGTTCAACAGAGTGTTCTTCCTATTAAGGTCTTCTACCATCTGATTGGGAGAGGAGGCAAAATCATCTTAGTTTTTAATAATCATTTCAATCATGTCTTTTGAGGTTCTTGAAACTGAAAAGAGTAGGAAACAATAAACTACTAAAGTTCATCAAATGCCCAAAGGGCTACCTTTAAACCATGAACTCTGGAAATGCAGATATTTAACAAAAAGTGCCATGTAGAAAATGGTATTGAAGTTACCAGTCAGTTTGGATAAGTTCAGAGGAAGGAGACATACCTGTTGTGTGTGCTCCTTGTAGACCTTGGTCTGCTCTGTGAGGTGTGTGTTCTCTCTGCGTGTGTCTTCCAGCTGGTGCTGGAGGAAGGAGAGCTGCTCCAGGAGCGAGGGAAGCGTCGCTGCCTTGCTTTTGGCCTCCTGCTCTGATCTGCGTAGGTTTTCAATCTCTCTGCTGTGCTTCTCTCTCTCAGTGGTCTGAGTCTTCTGCATAACAGTCAGCCTCTCACTGAGCTCTCTGTTTTCTTTGTGCTGCGGGGGGGAAACAAACACATGTTGTGCATGTGATGCCACCACTCCCAATGACCCAATGTTTCTTCAGCCTCAATTCCTTTCTTTTTACCATAGATTCCAGAATGAAGGACTTACCAAAGACTAAACTAAACACCCACACAGTCACTACTCACCTGCTCATTTATCTTGTGCTGCAACTGCATAATCTTGTTCTCCATGCCACTGTTGAGCTTCTTGATGCGCTCCACAGAGCGGGCCTCCACCTTCAGCTTCTTTAACTCCTTCTTGGCCCTCAGGCGACGCACACAGCTCTGCAGCAGCACGATGGCTGCCAGGGTGCGTCGGTAACGCCGTCTAACCAGCCAGCCTTTCACCCATTTCTGGATGATAACTGCTTTTTGTTCATACATCAACTGTGAATGAAATATATACATGTTATGTCAAAACCAAATATAATTTAAAAGTGTAAAAAAGGGTTACAAGGTCTCCATTAGTAGGATTGAGTTAATGATTAAGCTAAACTCAAAAGGCAAATAGAGGCTGATGTTGACATTGCCTCCTTATGTCATTAAGATCTTATTTTGACTTTAAAGCCTTACATCAAAGTACAAATGAGTGTGAAATGACACCATATCCAGTTCCTTAAGCTCAGGGTTACCTTAAAGTACTGCTTTCTAGCCATGTAGGCCCTCAAGATGCACTGAATAGCAATGGCTGCAGAGCGCTGCTGCTGGTAGCTTCTCCTGGTCGCCCACATACGCACATTACGCTGAATGACAACAGCTGCTCTGGTTCTTCGCAAAAACTTCACATAACTGGGAGTGGAAAACAAGTGTAAGAAACATGATAGATCAGCTAGAAACTGAGTTTACCATCAGCTCTTATTCTGCTTTTGTTGAATGTCTCCACTCACCAGCGTGCCTGGTGACCCCGGACATGTCTCTGTATGGTGAGAGCAGATTGCTTCATCCTCAGGTACTTTTTGCGAGCGAGCCAGCAGCGGATAGTCTTCTGGATGCGAACACAAGCATTACGCAGCTTGTCAAAACGAAGCTTCTCCAGGTACGCCACCTGACCAGCCCGGAAGAAGATCTTGTTTTTGCCAAACTGATACTTCTCTTGGTCCTAGGAAACAAACAAAAGATACATTAGCAAATATAATATGTGTTGTTTTATTGGGTCTGTAAGAGCTCCAATATTTAGTTTGCTTAGGCTTTTATAAAACTCAAACATACCTTTATTAGTTTTTCCAGGAGATTTCTGCAGGTTTGTTTTCTGTCAGAGAGCACATCCTTTTGCTTCATCAGGACCCGATAACGACTGAAGAATTCCTGATAGGTCCATCTGCAGCATTCATATAAACAAGCACATTTGATAGATTGTTTTGAAAGGTGAATGTTATATACATGTATAAACTGCACTTGGCCCTGTGCTCTGTACCAGATGCCGTTGAAATTCTACCTCGATGGGAAGCCTGCTGCTGATATCCGGATTGTTTCGAGGATGCCACATGCCCGAAGCTGCTGAACGGCCCTCACAGGGTCCATGCTTCATTCAGGATAACACAAAAACAAATGTTTTCAAAATAAGAGTACTACCCCTTCATCTGTGCTTCTTTCTGTGCTACTGCAGATATAAACAGAAGAGTGAAATCATCCTCACATGAATGGAGATTTGTCGTCATTAGGCTTTATGCAGCGTACATAGTGAGGAGTCGTGGCATTTAGTGTGTCCATCAGCAGTTGAAGAGACTGCCGAAACTAAGTCAAAAGAAAAGAATAAATCCTTTATACACAATGTGGAAATAAGGGAATTGTAAAAAGTGTGGTGAAACATTCAGATGAAATCTCTATTATCAGATTTTCAGAGTCATGTCTTTTTTTTTAAAGGCATTTAGATCTGACCAGCTGTGGAAGCAATAAATGAAATCATTTTACTTCATCATTTTTTTGTATTAAAGGTAGGGTAGGTAAGAATGGAGAAACCAGCTCGAGTGCGCTAGAATTTGAAAGTACACAACCCTTCCTTCAGACTTCCTTACAGAGCCCCTCCTCCAACACACACGAACGCGCACATGACCAATGAGGGCACGAGATAAGTTTGTGCACAGATGGAAGGCTGACAGGCAGGTAGGCCATCCAGTTATTTTAGCCGGGCCGGCTCAGATGATTGGTCGTGCTTTTTACAGTACTATGGCTTCCACAGATGACATTTTTTTATGGATTTATTGTCAAGGCATTTAATGTATTCATTGCTATCGGGATGTTAAGAGCATTCCATGGAATATAACAACAAGTGTTTCTGAAGTTAATTACCTACCCCACCTTTAATCAAGTCTTTTCGCACTCCTTCCAACATCATGTCACCTGCTCTTTATGTTCATACCTGCAGTCCAACTGTCTTCTTGTTATCCCTCGGAGTCGGACCAGCTTTTCCAGAGACACCACTTCGCTTCTTTGTTGAACTTTTTGACTTCTCGTCATCCTCAAACAGCTTCCGCAGCCAGTCAACCTAAAAACATTATTGTTCATGTTCAGAGATTAAAGTTGCAAAATGCAATCCTTTCATTGGACAGCAGGTGGCCGTGATTTCAATCCGAGATTCAAAAGTGGGTGTATTTCCGCCAATAGTTGTGGTTGAACAATTCTAGGGTCTGTGCCCAGGAACATGCAATACAAAATACACATTTGCTTTAAAATGTGGGGTGTTGACATTGAATCCCTGCAACTTCCGTGAATAGACTGATTGAAAAGAACCAGGAAGTTAAACTATAATGAACTATTAATAAACATTTCACCTGGCTCTTTTTCAGCACATTTATATGCTCCTCGTTGACCGTGTCCTTGTTTTTCTCCAGGAAACCCTCACACTGGTACTCCACCTTGGCAATAGGAAATAGGTCAAAGTGTTGTTTCAAAGTAAAGGTCATATTCATCGTTCAAAGTTTAAAGTGGACTGATTTGTAATGCTATAATAAATAGAATCATTGAACATTTATTGTAAAGGCATGAAATGGTATCTTTGCCAAAGCTCATGTAATATCACAGTTGACTTTTGATGCTCTGCAGAAGTTATTACAATGTCACACATGACACATGAGTCATGCATCCATCCACTGACCACTTAGACGTAATGCCAACTCAGCAGGAGATATACAGCACTTTATTACCTTGTCTGCAAAGTGGAGGATGATGAAAGCTCGGTTTGATAACCTGGGTTTATCAAAGTGAGCATTCTGCTTCAGGAGTGTGTTGTACAGTTTCTGGGCCCATGAGTCGTCAGCGCCTTTGGGCATCTATGGAAACAGGAAGGGCTGACACATTAGTTAGTCATCTTGGCCTTACTCATAACTTCCAAAAAGAGCCCGGTGGAGATTTCTCCTGTGGAAAGTAGCTCGACATAAAACTAAATAATAAAACTGGCATTTTACCTTGCACTCTTCATCCAGGAGGTCCAGAACACCCAGCTTTGCCTCAATGAGATCAATACAGGGCTGGTTGTCGTCAAAGTCAATCAGTGTCCAAGGGATCTCCTCTTTCATGTACTCCTCTTGCTCCAGTTTGAAGACATGCTGGAGGAGGGAAAGGATTTACGGGAATGTTCCGAGTACATAATGAATGTGTTGAGCAAGAGGATACACATACCAGGTTGAACTGTTGTTGAAGCTTCTCGTTGGCATAATTGATGCAGAACTGTTCAAAGCTGTTGATATCAAACGTTTCAAACCTGAGGGGAAACAATGGTTTTACATTAAGAGCTCTGACAATCCAGCGAAAAATGAAAACGCCACAAACCTGGGAAAAAAAACAAACCCGTAAATGTCGAGCACACCGATGAAGGAGTGTTGTTTTGCTGCAGACCTCAAGGCATTGTTAATACTGCCCACAATCCAGCTGAAGATTCTGGCATAGATGTGTTTGGCGAGGGCATCTCGGCCATTCACCGCATTCATTTTGGAGACAGACTTCACATATGTTTCTGTGGTCGTCTTGAGTTTCCTGTGACATAACCAGTGGGCCATCTCTTCACTGGGCACCCCCATCAACTCACAAAACACCATCAGGTGGACATTGTCTGGCTGAAAATACATTCACAATAAAGCTCTTAGACGAGTACAAATGTTAACATCCTCAATACAACAATCGAATAGAAAAAATACCAAATACTAGTGTTGTATTTCGAGGAAATCAGTGTTTACCAAGATGCTGCTTTTGTCTGCCGAGTGATCCTTCACCTCCACATTGCTAAGATGGAGAATAGCAGCCAGAATTTGGTAAATTGACATTTGATCACTTTCACTGATTCCTACAAAGAAACAAACGACAATAAAACAACAACAAAAAGACAGATCATGTAAGGTAATCCAGAAACAAAAACAATGTTTGTCAATTTTGTATACATCAGGGGTGTGAAACTTAAGGCCCGGGGGCCAAATCCGGACTGCGATTTCATTTTATGTGGCCCCGCAAGAGCTTGCAAAGAATATAATACGTTTATTATACGGTTACATGCCGCTTGACAGAAGCACGTTGCCCATAAACTACATGTCCCACAATGCATCTCAAATTAGATTTTTTTTTTTTGAGAATTTGACTTTTTTGCTTCAAAATGTGTCTTTTATTTGTTAGAATTTGACTTTTTTTCCTCAAAATGTAACTTTTTTTTTTAAATGTTAAATTTGGCTTTTTTTTTTTTATCATTTTGTGACATTCTCACTGAAGAGTTATTTGCTCTAGACTTCTGCTTTCAGACGTAGTTATTTATGAAGTTACCCGATAATAATCCAATGCAGAGGCAATAATATAATATAATACATACGTTTATATTGATTAAATATTTATATATGTATTTTTATATAGTCTTGAAGTTACAGCCGGCCCTTTGAGTGCAACCATAATGCTGATGTGGCCCGCGATGAAATTGAGTTTGACCCCCCTGGTATACATGATAAATGCAAACCTCATTGAAAGGCAACAAGCACTCACCTAACCGTGAGAAAGCCCTCCTGGTTTTACTCATGTCTTTGGCATCATCCATTCCATCAATGACTGGGCTCTGGCCCTGGTTAGTGAAGTGGAAGTCGTCTGCACAACCTTCAAACAGAAATCATATCACATTTTAAATTAAATATTTACCAAATGGATCCGTTTTCAAATCCGGCTTAAATGACAACTGATATTTGAGTGACTCTTATACCTAACTGGAAGGCTTTGAACTCGGGTAAATGTGCAGAGGCGCACAGCTGGTAGAAGATATGGTAGTTCCTCTCTTCCTGGGCCTAAAAGTAGTGCAAGGGATACAAAAGAGGAATCAAGTAAATCACAGATGTATTGCAAACATATTTAGGAAAATGTATAGTTCCTTCAGTTAAAGGCGCAGCGATAAACTGCAAGCCCAAGATTATGTCTCTTTTAAATGGTTCACAAAGCCAAGTATGTTGCCATCTTTCTGAGTGAAGGGCCAAGCAGGCTAAAGGGAGTGTTGTTTATGATTGTTGATATTACGTTGCTAGGATATAGACATGTTGAAATGTGACATTCACATGACACTGTTTTAAATCAATTAAATGCGAGGAGAAACACAGCAAATGGAAAGATATGGAAGGCCACATTCAGATGGTGGTCAGATGATAGCATACCAATGAAAATTACCTGAAACACAACTCTAGACTTCTCCAGTAAGTAGGTTCTCATGTTGGCCCCAATAATGCGATGCTTCTTGTCAAACCCAATCTCAATGTACTTCCCAAAGCGACTGCTGTTGTCATTCCTTGTTGTCTTGGCATTCCCAAGAGCCTGAGGAAACATACAAAAGGCTTTCAGAAACCTTGGTCATTTTATAATTGGTCATATTTCCCTGTTGTGTGAATCACCTCCATGATAGGGTTGGAGGCTAGGACTCTCTCCTCAATGTTTGCCTCGCCCGAGGAGCAGCTGACTGTGGCAAAGTAGCGCATAGCATACTTAGCAGAGACAGTTTTGCCAGCTCCAGACTCACCACTCACTATGATGGACTGGTTTCTTTCATCTCTGTGTGAAAAGATGCGATGGCATACAGACGGAGGGTATCAGCATAAAGGGAAAGTAACATTTAATTCACTTTGAGATGTAAATTATAATTTATTTGGAGGTAACAAAACCTGGCCATCTGTTTGTATGCTTCCTCTGCGACTGCAAATATATGGGGGTCCATGTCTCCCATGTTCTGCCCACAGTAGGCATTGATGATGTCCTCTTCATAGATGGGAAGGCTCTCATACGGATTGATGGCAACGAGGACGATTCCTAAATACCACAAAGATAATCAGTCAGAATCTGAATATGTTATCTTACATGGATTCATAAAGTGTGTGTTCCTTTAAGAGCAGCCTGAGCCACAATACTCAGCATGATGTACTGTAGATTATCTCAGAGCGTACAGTGAGCAGGGTTTCAAAGTCTACAGTGACATTGATAGTGTGACTCAAAGGAGATGAAGCTAGTTACCACAGTATGTGTAAATCGTCTTGGAGTCGATAAAGCGCACTTTGAGGTTGTGTAGCACTGCAGGCTCATGCAGGTAGCTGAGAGCTGTGAGGTCATTTTCGCCCACCAGGATGTTAGGGTTTCTCAGTGGTGGCAGGTTGTTGGTTTTGGGATTTATTTTGTGTTCCACCTCCTAGAAAGACACAAGAAGGAAGCTATGAGTACCCACAGTATGAGACTTAAGATATAAGGTGGCTTTAATTATATCGAAGAAAAAGACAAAACAAAGTAAAAATAGATGGTTAAGGAATAAAATCTTAGCATCAGTTGCACTTCATGGTAAAAGCTAACCTGCAAACACTGTGCTTGGCTTGTTCATGTTCGCTCATGATAATGCTTTGGCCTTATTTCCATACCTGGAGAGCATGCCCAAACTCGACCTCACAGCTTCAGGTAGCAAAACCGGAGTGAACAGAGTGTAAAAACGTACTGTTGGTATTTTAATCATCAGTTGACTTATTTTAGACCCAGTGCATTACCCTGGCTTCCTGTATTCAAGGTGTTGCATTGTTGCATACAGAGGCAGAATGTTTTTGTCTTGCCTAAGTATTTATAAGCGCTAACCAAACAGCACAGCTGCCTCAAATAATCCCACAGCACAGAGAGTTATGAGTCTCTATTGCCAGTGCTCTTGCAGAGAAATGTGTTCATGGCTTTCTGACAGAATATCACACCCATTTCCACCTCAATGCCTCAACTGTGCATGTGTCACCGTGTGTGTGTGTTTGTGTGTGTGTTTTCCTGTCTCACCGTGCCATCCTCCAGCTGCAGAGCCAGCTTCAGGTCGCCAGGAGTGTAATCTTTGATAAGCTCTGCTGACCTCCACACTTCTCCTGCATCTGGCAGCCATACACGGGCATACTGATGGACACAGTGGAGGGGATAAGGGTCAGAGCCATTCAACCACTTAACATTACAGTCAAACAGTCATTTTTACAAAGCTACAGAAAAACCGCGATGACATGTAGCTCAGGAGAAAAGCAGGATGGCAAACTTGAAGTCAGCAGACAGCAGTCATGCGAATAAAATGGATGGACACGGGGCATTTTAAGTGGCAGGCAGATGGTGGAAGAAGTATTCAAATGCTTTACTTGTGTAAAAATACCAACATTATGGTCAAAATACTTCAGTACAAGTAACAGTAAAAGTACAAAAGAATTGTCAGCAAAACATACTTTAAATATAAAAGTAATCATTGTGCAGGAAAATAGCCTTTATATGATTATGTGTATATGTGACATTTATAAATAATATTGTTGCATCAAGTAGCATATTAGTGTTGTAGAAAAATACTCCGATTGACTTTTTGTAATTTGACTCTTTTGTGACTTCTAAGACTTTGTCCAAGTTACATTTTTAGAGACGCATTTTGTTAAAATAAACTAAATCTTACAGGATGTATCTTCTAAATGTAGTGGAGTAGAAGTACAAAGTAGCATAACATGGAAATACTCAAGTAAAGTACCTCAAATGTGTACTTAAGTACAGTAGCCTACTTAGGTAAATGTACTTAGTTAATTCCCACCTCTGTAAAAGCAATACATTTAGTTATCAAAAGGCTAAAAACTGTTCTGTAAACAACCCTGACTAATTAACGCGAGTAAACCAACATTATTCAAATAAACGTTTTTATTTACATTTTCGACTAGCATGACATTAGCAAGAGGAAACCGTTGAATGAGCCGGAAAAACCGTCACAGAAAAACTGTTCCTACCTTCGCGTAAAGTTCAGAGGCTGCCATGTCTCACAAGTCCCTCAGTGAGTCCTCAGAAACGTCCTCTGCCCGCAGATAAAATAAACAACATTTCACTGACTCTCGGAGCAGGAAAAGTTAACTTCTCTGAGCTGCTCTCAGAGCTGCTGCTCTCGCCGGGAGGACAGTCAAACGTCTGCTGTCAGCTGCGCGTGCCCTGACACGTTTTGCTCTCGTGCGTGTTTCCCGCCACCTAGCGGCCAACACGCTCGTGGCAACTGTAGGCACGGGTGGATTTTGAAACAATGGGCCCCCGGGCACAGTAATGCAATAGACTACTATAGTAATGCAATAGACTACTATTGCATTACTGTGCCGGGGGCCCATTGTTTCAAAAATAGTATGAAGCTGCAGTCTCCGACACTGCAGCTTCGTGCTACTCCAGTAATGGGGAAAAAAAGGCCCCACCAACTCTCCTACACAGTAGCAGGACACACAGATTGTAGTTGTTTTTAATCTTGACTGTTCTTTTCTGTCTCTTTATAGTAATTTTAAATCAAGTTTGTGTGTGTCATTTTGTAGTTGTTTAGTTGTTTTTGTAGTCATCTTTTTGTATATGGTACTTTTGCCCATTTTTGTGCCTCCTGGTCGATGTTTCATGGTAATTGTGTGTGTCTGTTTTTGTTAAACACCTCTTGGTGGTTCTTGTGATCTCTCTGTGGTTCGTGTCACATTGAAATTGTTTAGTTTTATTTGTATATGTAGGTACAGGCAACGGTTGCAGTAAACTCTGCTGAGTGAGCCGAGGATAAGGCTCAGGTGGTGTAAACATTACTGCCATGGGATGGAAAATCACACCATGAGGCCTAATAGCTCTCTTATTTTGGTCATAATGTAAGAAGGGTAACTTTACAGAAATACATCTAAAAAGGGATCGTTATGGGACTGTAACTAGTTTATTTTGCTTGCACATAACTAGCAGTTTACATCAGAAAAATATAGTATTGTATTTAAGATCATTTCAGTAACTGACTATCACGAATATGTAATAAACTACAATAAGAAGACTGTTTCATTTCATCTGAAACTTCTTTTACGCCACTTGCAGATGAAAATATACTTAAAAATTTAAGTTTTTATTTTTACTTGGCAGGGTAAGGCTTTACATAAGAGGTTAGACCTGAGGCCACACAAGTGCATGGGAGTTTGCCTCCACAATAAACTAGTAGTCATTGGTCAAGGTATCCACCATATAACGTTGTAAATGACTGCATGTTAAGTATATGTTCTGCTCTAGTCTCAACACAATTAACTCACTTACATTGACATTAATCAAGCATCCATTGTGGTTACTCTGTTGAATTTATTCACACATGTTCCTCAATTTTAGTGATTCATATTTCAGTAAATATAATGAAAATACCAAACCATGTAAGTTGTTTCTAATCTTAGGTGAGTACACCACAAACTGGGCTACTTTTAGTGCAGGTAGTATTAGTAACATTTGAGGGCAAAAATAAAAGCAAGGAAACATTCAATTGAATAAGTGTACTTGTAACATATTATGCAAAACTATTTTATTTACAAAACAAATGGCACAGTGTGACTGCACAGTAAATGCACATGCACACTCCAGACATGTCATGGGAGTTTCTTTCCATAAAATCCTAAGCGATTCCAGTCAGACAGTGACAGACATTTCAGGCAAAATTCATAACTAAGATTCTCACTGAGGGAGCAAATATTGCTCAAGAGGAACAACGATTCATTACTTTTAAGGCCATTTTAGATGTCAGGATGAGATGGAGACCAGCAGCAGTCATTGCAAACCAATGTCACTAAAATGAATTAAATACAACTGGCTACAAAGCATGTGTGATCCAATCTTCAGTACTTGGAAAGCACAGAATCGAACGGCTTCAGAGAGAGAGGAAGGGAAACAACCACGGGTTAGAAACAAAAAAGCAGGATTTCACCACTTTTCACTATTTATGTGAAATATCTGCCTCCATACGAGCAGTAGAATAGTCAAAACCATTTGAAACTGAAATACATATGTGTGAATTACACTTCTACTTTTTGAGTACATCAATGCCAATGGTCTGTGGTGGTGACTAGTATTTTTGCCTGTGATGATCAGTTACATGGCGGATTAAGATTCCTCTGCTGCTCTTTAGCTGCTGTTAGACAGGCAATTTGTATGGAGGTATATATCCTTAAAAAGTGAAAATGTATAAGATAACATTAACTTCCACTCATATTTATAATATATTTTTGTCATCAATCACTATTCAGTATTTTTAAGATCTTGAGAAGGATTTGCAGCTTTAACTTTTTGTTGGACTTAGCTCACTGGCAATTCAGTGCCTGGCAGTGGCCATTTTTCTCAAGAATTTGGCTTAGTTTATTACTTGTTCTTAGAGAATACATATAAAAAGGTGAACATAAACAAAAATAAACCAAAAAGAAGATATAAAGTGGGGGTTGGAATGGTAACATAACGGTAAACATAAAACCCATTAACCAGCCAGTTTGCTGGCCACGATTGATGTCTTTCTTTGAGGCAGATCCTGAGGTGTTGGGATGTGCCCCCCTGTGATCTCGGTCTTCTCCGTTGGGGCTGATGGAAGCTGTTTATTCTTCATCTTGGCCTTTGCCATGTTGTAGTCACCAGAGTCAAAATACTTTGGCTGGGAAAAACAAAAATATATAAAGTGAGAATATTAGTATTGGTATTTACTCAGCAAAGAACTAACCAGGTTTACATAAGAAACGCACCCCCTTCTGAAGTCTCTTCCTCAGTAAGTCAGAGCCACCAGGCTTGGCTGCCAGGTTAGGATACCTGGCCTTCAGCTTGGCCTCCTCTGCCTTCTCAGGACTGATTACTGTGTCCTCCATTTCCTGCAGAGAAGAGTAGAGTGTATGGATGGCAAATGCTCCACTCAGCTCACATAATAGGAGAAACACTGTTGTTAAAAATGCATACGACATAAATGATTCATGAATCGGCAATGATATTATGGTACCAAATACAGCTAGCATGGCTAACGTACAATTCATATTTCAAAATATGCAAGGGCCGCCATAAGGTACAACTCCAACTGGTGTTTGCACTAGCATGAATCTTGCTAGATCACTTAAGCTACATATGAACCCATTTCAGATATGCTATTGACTCCGAAACAGCAGGGCTTTTGTTTTAGTTTATCAATATATGCTAGGAGCTATTAGCTCATTACTTGGCGGTTAGCCTCGTTCATGTCATTAGCTAACTAGCTTACTGCTAGCCGTGTGCTAATTCACAAGATTCGACGTGCTAGCAGCGCAGGCTAACTGGTTAAATTAGCATTTTTTCACTTGTAATTTACCTGCTTTTCCTCCGCAGTTCTTGTTCCCTCAACCTCTTCAGACATCGTTGTATTTAATCCCTGGTTTTCTCGCAAAACTGCGGGTGTAGCGCTAGCCGTTCAACCAGCTCTTCTGGGATATAGAAGGTGGAAACGTTATTGGGAGCGACTCGGCGGGCGACGAGGGAACAGCCTGTACAGCAGCAGGCCGGGGAGTCGATGCAAGAGCTGCGGATGGGAGACAGAGGATGTGGTGCAGGCTCCTTCAGTTTATTATTGTAATCATATATTTGATACGTTGTGGTCCAAAAAGTGTATTCTATAAAATATTAAAGCTGATTTGTAAAAACGTGTTAAAACATTATTTTAAACAAGTATAATATCGTATTGTTGTCTGATTTTAATAATTTAATTTTCAACATTGAATAGGCTATGTTGCGTTATGCTCCAAATTCATCTGTGTAACGTCTTTCATGTTTTATATAAACATTTGTAAATTCATATTTAAGACTTTCCATAACTCAATTTTGCCTCTGTAAAATAAACTTAAATAATCAGAATTGTTCTAATTAAAATGTAGGAATATAGTTTTTTGCACTTAGTTAGGCTTGAAAGATTAGTTATTTTATGTTTTGCCAATATGAATAACACATATCTCATCTGATGTAAATACCAATCAGACTTACTTTCCTCACATTGAAGCCTTCATATTTATGTGTACAAATAACAGACATTATTCCTCTGCTAGCAAATAATGAATATTTGTAATGTTTATCCCTGTTATAGCCTAACGGTTTAGATTTGGAGGCTGAATGTGACATTGCAATGTATTTTTAAATACAAATAACACATTTGTGGAATGCATAAATGATAAACATTGACTTAGCCTACACTGTTAAATCTGATGTAATGTGTAGATTATACATTTTTTTAATAATTTGGTTGCAGTGTGGGAAAGGCAGCTAATGACCATGGGAAACTAAGGCCCTATCAACAAATATCCACAAGTAATATGGAAGTTGAAAGGTTTATCGCTCTGAGAAAATATTTTAGCCAAAGTATATTCAGCTGAAGTATAAATACTATGCTTATAGTGAATATGTCGCAACAAAAACGAAAGTTAAGAAAAAAATAGTTGAAAAGATGTTTATTACATTTTTGTTTGTTACCTTTTTTAAACTTTTCTGTATTACTCTAATACACTTTACTATGCAAAATGATCGAGAACATTCTTTAAAGCACAAACTACCACACAGGAAAAAACAAACAAACAAACTTGGAGGCATGTGGTTAATTACTGCTGGTTTAGGGGCAGATAATAGTCAGATCAATGCGTTCAGTCCTCTTAAGCTTTTTAAAACTCAAAAGGATTACAGAGTCCATCATCAGCCAATTGGACATTTTAATTCCAAACAGGAGTACAATATAATACATGTTAACTTGGTCATGAGAGTCTTTCTGAAGATTACAGATCTTCATCCGCCATGTCCACGTCTTCTTGTAACTTCTGCACCATCTTGGCTTCCAGTTGTTTGGCCTTTCCTATAGACAAACAAACACAAACAGATTTTTAACAGTGCTAAAATGACAACCGTATCTTATGTATATTAGTGAAAACAAACATTACAAAATATCATCTCTAGATTTTACCCAAGACAAATGTCTTTCCAATCAATATCCACCTCTACTGATATGAAAAATAATTTTGTTTTATGTCCGGACATTAGGTGTTGTTTGTTTGATGTATCAATCTTCATTGTACTAAATGGGTCACATACTATCAGGGAACAGAACACATTTCATCAATCAAAAATACTTTTACCTGATTAC